AACAATTGTTTCTTCAGCTCCTCCCACTCGACCGTCTCATATCCCTCCATCTCTTCAACCTCATCCTTCAAATCGCCTCCTCTTACAAACGAAATGATCTGTTTCGCCAAGTCCGTAGCGCTAGCTCCATCCGCTTCTCCCGCACGCTCATACCGCTTAATAAATTTCTCTATTGGCATATTCGTTCCATCGAAAAATAATTCCTTGTCTAAAGGCTTAATCTTGACTACCCTTCGACTATCAGTTGGTCCTGCGTATTTAGGAATTTCGGGTTCTTTTTCGAGGAAATGAGTGTTGGATTCTGCTACTGAATGATGAGAGCGAAGATGGTTATCTGGGGTAATAGGACTAGGCTGTGGCATATCTAATCTAGTGTCCAGAGGATGGATGAGGGAACTTCCAGAAGAAGCTACGGATGGTTCTCGATACTGGGTAAAGGCAGTGTTACCAACGTTGATGAGAGGGGTGTATTCAGACATTTTTCTTCTTATCTGTTATAAGGGTTCTTAATAATTTAAGGTGAGATTTGAGAAAGGTTCAGGTATTGAGTAAGACTAGCAAAGGGAGTAGTATCTTTTTAAAGACTAAATTTATCTGAGGAAATCGGCCACTGTTGGGACACCACTTGTGGAACTGCTCAGCAAGTGAGTAAAGAGCTTAGAGGGGATAAAATAGCTAATAAGACTATAGAATAGTAGAATTAGTATTGGTGTGTGGGTGAGACTGCCCTCCTGTCTAGCTTGCGGGAAAGTTACACTAAGAAAAATAAGAGTGTGGCTTATTTCTAAATTTATCTTAGTGTTGATACTACTGTTGTTGTTGCTTAAGAAAACCTGTTGAGAAGGTAAGGAGTTTTGTGGGGTTTTCTGAGTAATAAGGGTTTCTATAGGGTTTCTCTGTTAAATCTGTTATAACTTCTCTCTGGTTCTCTGTTCTTATAAGTCTCTCTGGTTTCTCTGGGCTCTGATAAAAGGTACACTGATTTCTCTAAATTTTAAAGAGGTGAGAATGGCTAAGCAATATTTCTGGATTACTTGTCTAAGGACAAAATTGAGGTAAGGGAAGTTCAGGGGCTCTAATAATCTCTGGATTTCTCCAATCAAGGGGTGATGAAAGCTGAGTAATATCTCTGATTACTGTTCTGTAGCTAGCATGAGGAGGGGGAAAGGAAAAAATGAGCCAGAGGAGCCTCTATTTATAGACAAATGGTTCTGCAGTACATGGGTTTTTGGCCTGAACACAAGTTCGTCTGAGAAAGGTACTTCTAGAGTGGTTTTTACTACTCTGAGATGGCCTCATCTGATATGAATCAATCTCTAAGTGCCTTTCTACTACAAGAGGTTGTAAATCTACTATATGAAACCTATTCTTAGATTAATTAATATGAGAATGGTATTCTTAGACTAATTAGTATAAGAGTTATTTTCTGGAACTAGTCTGTGAATCACTTTCAAATCAGTAACTTGATTTACCAATCTGAGATGGATGTAGTATCTTTTATGGGTTTTTACAGTCTATTTGTATAATTATTATTCATAAAGAGTTGTGTATTTTAGGCCTGATTTGTGCTTTATTTTAGCTATGTTTTAACCCAGTAATTATTATACATTTTATGCTGTAATTTCCCCCTTCTTCTCTAACCTCTTAAACACTATTTATGTGTAATAAAATGTTTTAAACTAAATCTATGGGTTTGATCAATCTTACCACAACGTCCCAGAAATTTGGGAGTCGGAACTCCAATTTCTGGGAGTCGTTTAACTAAGACCCTTATTAATTTACACAACATTTATTAACATAAATAATACATGTAAAAAAGAATAACATTACTGTATAATTATTAATTCAAAGATTTCATATAATAATATTTATTATGTAACCCAAGGGGGTTACATTCTATCGTAGACACCTGGGCTAGTGTCTCAGTGTCTGACACAACCATTGGGGCTGCTGCCTGAGGTTATCTAACCTAGAGATCGTTCCGCGGTACCCTTTGCTAGGTACCTAGTACCGCTTGGGGGGTACCCTTCACACCCGCCCCGCACCCGTTGGGAGGTGCCAGGTGCAGTACTTGGTACCTATTTTTGTGAAAAATTGAACAGGTACCTAGGTACCGCTACAGGTACCCCCTCACTTCCCTACCAAAATGATGGTGGCCTTCTACTCCAAGAACTCCAAGAAGGTACCTTGGCTACATGGAAACAGGGACTCAAGGATAACAAGAAGTCTAACCAAAAATCAAAAAGGAAGGTGATAGTTTTGGACAACAATGAAGATTCTTCTAATAATCTAATTAGATATAATTTGTAGACAGTTTAAGCTTTAAAATAAATTATTAAATGTGAACAAATGAAAAAATTGACTAATGGTGGATTTGGTTATATTTGATACCCTCTAATAAATATGAAAAAAAGGCAAGATTCTTCCCATTAGATGTAGATACTTGACAACAAATATGAAAAAAATGCCAAAAAAGTGACTTGAGTAATATTTTACAATAAATATGAAAATAATAATAATAATGAAGTAAGGTTCTTCCAATTAGTTTAAGATGTCTTACAACAAATATGACAAAAGGAAAAACAGTGACTTGGGAATGATATTTTCAATAAATATGAAAATATAATAACACAGTAGGATTCTTCCAATTTGTTGTCAACATTTCACAATAAATATGAAAGAATGGAAAAAAATTGACTCGGGACTGATATTTTACAATAAATATGAAAAAAATAATAATAAAAAAGTGAATTGGTAATCTGAAAGTGAACCTAGGTTAGAAAGAGAGGGGAGGTACCCGCGGTACCTGCCAAAAGTACCGCCGGTACCCGCTGGGAGGTGCCTGGTGCGGTACTTGGTACCTATTTTTTGAAAAAATTCAACAGGTACCCAAGTAAGAACAAACAATCTCTAATCTAACCTGTGTTACAAGTCTGTTCCAAGTAAAAATAAGAGTTCACTGCCATATCTTTCTCTCCAATACCTTCCAAAGCCATAATTTGGGCACTACCATTTGGTATTTCAATCTGAGGCCAACTGTAACCGTGTAATTTTGCAAAACTTTATATAGATATATATTCCTGTTTTCAAAATCATTTTTTGCACCCCATTTTTCACCACTTTCCAATCCCCATGACTTCAATTTTTCTGTTCAAACTTCTGAAGTTGAAAATCAATGTGTCAATAATAAGGGCCTGTACCACAGCCCCAATTTTCAGTTCAATTTCCAATTTCCAGGTTGGAAATTGACTCCACCAGAAATGGTGTACCATGCACACTCAATTTCCCACAGTACAGCAGCCTGATTTTCAGTGCCAACCCCAAAATGAATTTTGGTTAGTGAAAAATAAAAAGATCAAAAATGAAAATGAAAATGAAAATTGGCTGGGGTGCTATGGTACACAGCGGGACGGATCGAATAAATCCCGACCGCCGTGCCGGCGCCCCGGCCGGAAGGGCGACCACATGACGCACCAGGGCGCCAGCGGGACCCGGGGTTGTACAGGCGCCCCGAGGCCGGTCAGGGCGGCGCTCTGGGTCAGCATGGTGTCACTGAGGCGTGATCGGGTCGACCCACAACAGGCACGTCCCGGTGGCAATTGGGGGGGTCGACTTGGGGTCGTCATCCTTGTGCCATGGGGATGACACCGACCGAGGCGTCAGGGACGGTTTATGGTTGGGGCGGCGTCATCCTTGTGACCCGGGTCCAAGGTCGATCGTCTTGTTTTTTCCCTCTCGAATAGCATCGGAAAGGATGGTGTTCACTTGTCACTTCAAAAAAAACTACAGCCAATTTTTTTTTTTTTTTTTCTTCGACTTCATTGTTTTTTTTTTTGGATCAGAGCTCTCTCAGGGGGGAAACCTGGGACACAACTTCATAAATTCCTTTCTCTGACAAGTCGCACTGGTGGTCTGGTTAAGTCAACCATTCCACCGGTGGGGAGTCCGATACAAGTTCGATACAAGTTCGAACCTTGTATGAGCAAACTTTTTTTCAGTGCTATATGTGATGTACCCAGCCCGATCTGACTCAGTGGCCCAGAACTGGCGTCACCATTCGCGTGTTGGCTGCATCCCGCCCTCGACTGGAGGGCGAATCCCCTGGGCGCCATTAAGGGCATGCTCCAACATGTCTCCCCAGGGCGACCCTGGCCTAGTGGGCTGCAAGGGCGCCATGGGCATCGCCCGGCTGGCGACCAACTAGTCCCGGGGTGTACAGGCCCTAAGATGACCCACTGGACTTCAATACAAATGCACTTATTATGCAATGGTAAATATTGCAATATGTTCAACACAGTATATTGTTATTACCTCAGGGTATTGTTATGCATTTCTACCAGGCTAAGCACAATGCTGCATCATTCAACAGAGAATTATGTAGTGTTACCGGTATTACCCTGACACTGCTATTTGCTTATTTGGCCCAGTATTTCCAAAACCTTTATATTTTGTAGCAATCAATTCACTTGAAATAATGACAAAAATCAGGTTTTTTCTGAAGTCTCAGATTTAATAACCATAACAACGGCATATTCCTATCAGGCCTACTACTGGTATTAAGATTAGGTAGTCTACATGAAGGCTATTCTACTGCATCACTTTGAGTATTTATAACTATTCAGGCCTGATCACTTGTGAGGTCATCTTTCACACAAAGAAGTGGAAACCAGATACATATCACACAATTTGATATAATTTCAGAAAACAATTATATTAAGGGACACATTGAACTTTGTGAGCAGTCTAGCATCTAGGTTTTCTATCAAGCTGAAACCTATGCGCAGTCAATTAGGCCGCCTGGTGTGGCTGAAAATCGAGTGTGCGTGCACATGAAGTGTCAGGAAGATGGCAATTGTGAATAGCACTGGAAATGAAAGTACTAGGGTAATTCATCAAGAAATTTCGCAGGTTGGGAACCGTCTAACTTGTACTTCGGAAATATTTAACCAGGTCAAGCTGGCAAACCAAAGGTTGATATAACATGGTATATATATAAGCATTCAGCAATTATGGAAACTTTTGTATGGTTCTACCAAATGAAGTACGCACAAGTTTCTGAGCCACTGCATCATGCTCAACGAAATGTCGACATCCGGGGCAATGGCGAGAAGCATGTTTTTCTCCAAAAGCTCGTTCAGTTCCTTCTTGCAAACATCGTTCAACTTTTTCTTCGAAAAGTCGTTCCACTCTTTCTCCGAGGCACTTCTCAAAAATTTGGATGAAATTGTTCCACTCGATCTGGTTTTATCCCCGCGTTGCGAAGAGACTCTTAGCTTAAGCTTGCCATTATTTCCAAGTGGGAATTTCTCAAATTCCAACATAATTCTTTGAAAATGATCCCAACCCATGTGTTGTACAAACCAGCTGGGTTGTGCAAATTTTTTGCTCGGTTCGGTATGATGATCTTGCTCGAGTATAAGCTGCCTTTTCATCAATTCTGGCAGAGAGGGGGGTTGGATTTTTTGAAGAGCTTGGGCATATACAGTCATTTCACCTGGATCCAAGTCATCCAAAAACCAACTCAAGCGAGCGATCGGGTTGCTTGTTAAAAAATTGACATCGAATTGTCCATTTTTCATTGGTAAGCAAAATTTCCAAATTCCAGGAGAGATTTGATTGACTCTTGTGTACAGATATGATGAATCTTGATGCACCGTCCCGGTCTGTACATCAACATCCGATAACCTTGGTTTCGGTTTGTTCTTTGAAATTGAGTTTGCAATCCGAGCTTTCACCATTAATTTGTCCGAAGCCTTCATCAGATCTTGCGTTTTGAGGATTATGCTGACTTCATTCAAAAAATTCGTATTCAGTGAGTGCCAAGAATCATAAAGCTGACACCACAATTGTAATTTGTCTTCTCTAAAGGATTTTGATAGAAAATCAAACAAATTCATTTCAAAACTTGATGCACCACCTTTAACACCTTTGACGACAAGGTTCGAAATCTTTGGACCTGATGCTAATATTTTGAGATTCCGATTCAAAATTTCAACATTCGGAGGTGTGAAGCGCTCCTTCAGTTCTAGTAAAGCAAGGGTGTCATAAATCAGTCGAAGATTTTGATGTTGTTCTACTTTCAGTCGCTCATCTTGAATATTTTCGCTAGGGATTCGTATCTTGTAATTTTGAATCTTTTTATATAATTGCTTGTCACGAGAACCATAGTCGCCACTTGCTCGAAGTGACTGAGCCTCAACCTCCCACTTTGTGGTTGGTTCTAATAGACGCTGAGGATAAGCTCTCTTTTTGAGGGCCTGAGGGTGTTGAATAAGTGGCAAGCATTCTTTCTTACTGGCCGCGCCAAAAGTTGAGATCACAAACAGGATTGGCGAATCTCCGATTAACAAAAGCAGGAGATAAAGCTGAGTAGGAATCATTGACGGTTCCTTCAAGTTTGGTTGCGAACTCGGCGCACACTGACTACCGCTGCAGTGTAGAGGAATAATGACCCTTCGAAGCGGCTACTCGACTGGTGGAGGAAAGGCAATCACGGTGGGGAATCCCCGGCCAAGGAGAGCATGCCACTGCGCTTATAACACTCGCCGGAATGATCTATCATCTTCTAGATACAGATCACATCGCTATGCACTTTCCGTGTCACACCTCGTTGTGCCCCCCCCCCCTTCCCCCTCCTAAGCAACGTCCTGTCACGCTGCCTTCGAGAGTATATTGGCAGACAAACACTCGATTTGCAGCCGCTTGGACCCTGTAGGCCCACATCTACAGACCTCTACTCGAGTATCCACGCATGGCCGACAGGAAGTACCCAGTGTAAGTGGTCTCCTAAAACAAGTTGTTTGGAATTGAAACAAGTCGCGAAGCAAGCCACCCCGGCGGAAAAATGGTCGATTGATGGCCGCGGTTGCTTCTCACTATCCTGAAAAAACGCCCCTATTCGGCTTTACTGCATTAATGAGCTACATAGCCTTTAGGTTGCGAGCCTATCTGATAAATATTCCCGGAACATCAGTATCAATGCGAGAATATGCTAGGGACGCGTTTTGGCCAGCGTTTGGAGCGCGGCAGACAAGAGTGGAGGACTTCCCATCAATCTGGAGCCATCAATGTAGACCTCTGAAACCTAAATGCTAGATTTATTTGCTGATGAAGGTCGAATCGGCGATGGGCCCCTCACCACAAAACGCATGATTTGCAATTTCGTTACGGGGGCGAAATCAACTGTGAAAGCATGATGATGTGTGTCAATAACTTGATATCACCGACGGGTCTGGATTTTGAAAAGGGGCTGTGATAAGTCTCCGGATGCCGTAGAGCTTTTCACGGCGGAGCCGGCTTCTCCGAAGTCTCGAAGAGGGACCGCAGTCGAGCCCATCCAAGCCAGCGAATAAACTCGCCCGCGGATCCGATAAACCCTTCTGTCAAGTTTGCTCATTAGCTGAGAGGTCATCGGCCTTGATCCCTGAACAAACAGTCCGCATGTGCCACACAAATATGGACCCCGTAAAAGGTGTCACAACACTCGCTGCCCTTTCCGTCACGCTACTCTCCTACTGATGGAGCCAAAGTCTGCGTGATTACAATGAAAGTGGTAACTTTTGACATTTGGTTCACAAACTCCTTGCCAATCATGCAAGCCGTCTTGCAAACAAGTGAGCAGCCGAAATGTAGCTCTAGGAGGCTCAATGCGGGCAATGCGGGCGTAGTCTTCAAGTAGGCTAATATCTGGACCAGATAGTATTCCGTTTGACTTAAAAAGCAGCGCTGATCTGCTTTCTCCATCAGATTTCTCCAAGCAATCAACGATTTCATTCAGATTTCAATCCTTGAATCAACGTATTCAGTTGGATAACGCGCACCTGTGCTATTAAGAATATGAAGAAATTATTTGTGCTCCCTTTGCTAGTCTACATTAGTTTCACTCAGCCATATGGAATCAGGTCAAGCCAGTCATTCAACGTTACAAGCGACGTAGAGGTGAGTAATCTTAGTTTTCACCGCGAATCTTTGGATAGATCAAAAATTATGGAGCGGCTGATTTTTGCAATCGGCTTTTTTTTGATTTGCTACAAGGGCGTGAATCGCTCTGAGACTAAAGCATTGGGACCTCAAGCAGGCAAATGTCGTAACCCTTGCACCTCACAATCTCACCCAAATTCTTCTTTTTACGTCTGCGGTGATCCACGCTTGGGGCCGGTTCAACTACCTACCAAACAACCACTGAGTGCAATGACGTCCTCCTACGATCGGTTTGGGGGTGTTTGTCCGGAGGCGTTTTTAAAAAAGTGGACGGCACACGGTTCATTCGACATCCCTCCTCATGACGGTTTTCTTGTAAATGTCGATAATGTACCAATATTCGGAAACGTTTCGCTGGAAGTTGGCAGGCGTATCGATCGATTTGGTTCAGAATTCGGGACAATCGCTCATCCCGCTAGAGCTCCTTACGCCGAACGTTCGTTACCGCCTTCTAACTTGAATACGCCTATAGATCAAAACGGTAAACCCGGAAAATATCCTTTCAATTATCACCTCTACGAAGTGCAAAAAAGAATCGTAGTTCTAGCTGGACCTATCGCTCCATGGTTTGGACAGCCCGGTATGGGGACTCAGTTCAAATTCTCACAAAATATACTAAATTACGTCAACCAGGGTCATTTGAAAAGAATTGAAACGTGATATTTTTGCCTTAGTTTTGTGACTTTCAATTCTTGTTAGTGCCAATTACCTGGATGTTTCACCAGTAAAAAGTGTATGAGTCCAATGGATCTTACTGAAATACTGCTCATAATCAATGCTTATAGCAGCCACCATTGCTGAGATAAAGATGACGTGTTTTAACCCTAACAATGAGGTATCGCAAATCAAACTCAAAAATAGAAAATAGAAGTGCAGTGACCCCACAATGTACGAATACACAATTTAAGCATAGAGGTTTTCTCCATCATTTTTGACGTCCAGAGAGTTGCACTTGAATTCTTCATGCATGATGGTTAATTGATAAAAACCAAACTTGAAAGATTCAAGTGTGCTGACATAGGACAAGGAAATGTGGTCAAAATGGAGGTATTGCTTTTGAATTTACTCATTCCCGGTATAAAATCCTGTGAAACCTTTTGTAAGCATAAGCCTTGGATTGGGTGAGTCTTAGCAATTCTATTTTTCCCTTCAATTCCGGAAAATGTAACACCAGGGAAAAACAATGATCACTTGATGACAAGTGACATCAGCCTGAGTTCAGCATGCTACCCATTACATACTTAGCTCATCTTGTCCTCAGCCCCTTGTAGCAAACAAGGGGCCATTGTATTTGGGTTGTAGCAGAGTTGGAGCTACAGAGGAGCAGTGATCACTGATCAAGGTTACATGATGTCACCTACCATCTAGTGAGCATTTGTTTTTCCTGGTGTAAGGGTATAAAATACCTGTGCTACTACTGGCTATGCTTGTGTAAGACAATTTTTACTAATTCAGCAAGAAGGATGGGGATATTGTTCACCATCCTTACAATGCTGGAACAGAGACAAGACATGTATTTGGTATTCTATTGTATTGCCTTTGATTTTAGCCTGATGCCTGGTATCAGTATTTCCTTGGTTGGTGTAAAATACACCGTCTCAGATTTGGATTTACAAATGCAAAAAATGTCTTTTTTTCTTCAATACGTCCAAAGATCATGTGTATCAAAGACGTTTTTGGTGGGATCAGACCTTTGTACCCGCCTCCGTTACACTTTAGAAGTGTAGCAAGGAATGTATTCAAGCACACTTCTATAGTGCAAAAACTGTGGTTTGGGATCCAATCCCGCAATCCCGCAATCCTCCAGGCTCTCTCTTCAGTACAAGGGAGACTTGTCAACGATCCCAGTGCTAACCCCCTATCCCTATCCCTATCCCTAACCCTAACCCTACCCATAATCCCTAACCCTAACCCTATCCCTAACACCTAAGGCCTATTGAGGTGATTGAGAAGGGAGGGATGTTTGTTTTTTTTGGAGTTGAACTTTGATCAGTGTGAGTTGAGATATTGTATGAGGGGGGGGGGGAGGATTGCGGGATTGCGGGATCAGGATTGGAAGCGGGATTCACGGATTTTGCACTGTAGCAGTGCATTCACACCCGTTTCTGACTGCACTTCTACAGTGTAAGGGGTTTAGGTCCACATAAGGGTGGGCCCCGACCCCGACTCAGTTGGGTATACCCGACTATCCGACCCGGCCCCTCAGGGCGCGGGAAGTTTTTTTTGTGATTTTTACCCGATCGGATATCTCGGGTAGGAAACTCGGGAGGAGTCTGTAAAATGGTCGGAGACCAACTGTTCTTACGAGCGGAGTGGTCTCCAAAGGGGTCATGCAAGAAAAAGAGAGAATGTAATTACTTGATATGAGATAAAGACAATGTTATGGAATGTGATCTACATAAAGAGTGGATTATAAGTTCAAGGTGTGTCATCACCCTCAAGGTCTCCGATGTCATAAGGGGTTGGGTCGAGAGTGCCGATCGTTCGATACCAGTCCTTCAGGCAAAGGAGGTGCTCGATCGATGTTGGATTGAGACTACCTCGATGAGGACCGATGACAGTCTTTGATCTGGAAAATACTCGCTCCGAGGGAGCACTAGTGGCAGGGATGGCAAGATAACATCTTGCCATTGCTGCCAGTGATGGGTACAGTGACTGTTTCCGTCACCAATAATCCAACACTTCGGTCTTTTGTGGCTCGTTGGATTCCGCTAGATAGTTCCGGATCTCCGCGGCCAAGTCGCTGGCTACCTGATCGCCACAAAAGATATCGGCTAGAATTGAACACTCCACTTTAGTTGGCCGAGACTTGGTTGGATTGCATCTGGCAGGGCTGCGATCAAAATGAGCAGCTTCGAGTTTAAAATTGGAAAGAGCGGTGTCCGGATCAAAGGTGGGGGAGACTTCCGCTTGGATGAAACTTGTGTTTTTTCAATGTACAACATCTTGATTCGGGGATCGAGTATCATCGCACAGATTGGTGCTGGCTTTTCCAAAGCAGACTTCAGGTACTTTTTCAATTTTTCTATCATCTTCTCTGCTGCTGAGAGAAGCTGAGAGGCATCGTAGGTGGATCGGACTAAGGATATTTGCTTCATCAAATATATGTAGATTGGGAGAGACATGTTGAGGGTTGGGTATTGGGAGGAACAGAGAAGTTTAGTCGCATCGTTAAGTGGTTGCAGGAACTTCATCAGCTGATCAACTTTTTCCCACTCAGCGGAAGAGAGTGCAAATTTCTTGGAGTCGGAGCGCTGACAGAAAGAGTCGTAGAAATCTTTAAGTTCTAGAGCTCGTTGAAGCATGTCTTAGGTTGAGTTCCAACGTGTCTTAACATCGACTACAAGAAGCTTATCCTTAGATTCAGAACCGAGTCGTGTATTGTTTTTTTGTTGAGATGTATCGGTGTGCCGATCTTTCTTTTGATGTGTTGGATCAACTTGATGTCACTCGACCAACTTGATTTTGGTTTTCCACTGATCTCGACGTTGAGGTGTAGCTCTCACAAACATAGTAAGACTGTGAATTCGTGAAATCACAGTCTTGAGGTCAACATTGATCCCATCGGGTGGTGTAGTGATGTGACTGATTCTCATTGGATTGCTATCCATCTGATCAAGAGTTATTTCAGCCTCAAGCTCTTCAGGTCGAAATCCAAAGGCTTCGAGTCCATCTTTTGCCGCAAGATTGATAACATGGGCCATGCATCCCAGCAGATGCTCGTGTGCATAGAATTGACCGTTCAATACATTCTCAACTCTTGCTGCAAGGGTTGAGTTGTTGCTAGCATTATCAGCTGTAATGCTGACTAGTTTATCAGAAATCTCGTAACAATCAAGGACCTCGATGAAGATTTCAGCGAAGTTGTATCCAGTGTGAGCACCTATCCAAAGTGCAGAATGGTACAAAGTGATTGATCAGACTGTGAATTTTGATTTTACATATTATTGAAGAGGAACTCACCATGGACCTCCGGCATTGCAACAACAACATCAATCATTTCCCATTTATCTGTAATAGCATGAGCCGTGACCCCCAAGAATGCGACCATATTGGGCGAGGTCCAAGCGTCAAGAGTGAAGCCTATATGATCAACATTCTTGAAGACATCCTCAAGATTTAGGGTGTGTGACTTGTGCAGGTAGTGCACTTCCATTGCGATCGTCTTCCTTGAGAAAAGCATTTTACCAGCTCGAACCGATGGATTCAAAAGAAGCATCAAATCTCGGAATGATCGGCGCTCCACAATTGAAAAGGGCAAATCGGCATCGGCAATAAGATAAGCAATGGCTTTCTTCAAAGAATTAATAGTGAGCTTTGTGTCGAAGTTCTAGAAAATTGCAAGGTTTAAATTTTGTTAGTTATATATTGCTGTATAAGAAATATCAAGTACTTATTATCACTTAGCTCGTTGTTTTTTTGTTTTTTAATAATGACTGAGATGTCCTGTAAGCCAGATTCTACTTTGGCTGGATCAAGTATATCATGTTTTCGAAATAAATGTTCACTCATTGACTTTGTACTTGAACTTTTGTCGCAAGTTAAAGCTGTTGGGCAGGTCTTTCCATCTTCTTTGACTACTGTACATTTGACCTTCTCTTCTTTGGGGTCATCGACAAAATATTTCCAAACCCACGATTTCCGTCCTGGATGAGAGACTTGAGGGGGCTGAGAAGCCGGCTGGAGGGAGGTTGCTGGGGAAGACCTTTTTTTGGACATTTTGACTCGTTTTCTGGTGGTAGTGGCAAGAAAATTGAGTCAAGAAATCTTAATAAGTGGGATTCTACGTGGCAGTGTCCCACAGAGCTGCTCTGCAACCCTAAGGGGCTCGGTCCCCGTGGGGGGTATCCGATACCCGGCGGATATGGCCCGGGACCAGCAGATTTGATACCCGACATCGGGTATACCCGCAGGGTATCAGCGCGGGATGCTTTAGATACCTCAGGTATCACCCGGGGCCCACCCTTAGGCCCACAGGTCTGGGATCATCCCTCTGAGACAATACAGAATATGTGTCTCACTTTCCAAAGACAATATGTGCGTATTGTCTCAGGAAAGTGAGACAACACAAATCTGGTATTTTTGGGTATTCAAATTCTGAGACAATACAAATAGGGGGTTGGAAAAATGACAATTTGGAGGAACGACTCCCGCCCAACGACCCCTTGACCAAAATGGGAGTTGTCAGACAATTTTTGGGAGTCGTTTTTCCGACCCCCTACAAATAAAGTTATAAATGCTTCATATCATCTTGTCTCATCTCTGTTTCAATGTTGATCCTTATACTCACATCACAGGTTCATTTTACATAGTGCATAAAGATAATGAACAAGGAATAAATAAATAAATACAGATCAAAACAGTCAGAAATCAGAAATCAGATAAGAAATAGAAAACAATATCAGGAATTTAAGCAACAATGGGCCCACTACGCCAACAGTAGCATAGCAGAATTCCGCTAATGTTTGGCAAATCACAACAGAATTCTTCCACAACTGTGCTAGTGCTACACGTGTGGGATACAAAAAAGGGCCCACCATGCAGTGCTACAGCATGTTTTAGCGGGGTTTGGGCCTTTTTTGCCTCTAAAAGCGCTGTAGTGCAGCAAAGCCTAGTGGCACTAACAGTGCACTAACACTGCTGGTTTGGTGTGCTGTTTTGAGAGCCACTACACTAATCTTAGTGGGCTGTCTAGTGTAGTGGCCCATTGTTAATTTAATTGATTGTTAAAATGTTCATTTCCAATTGGATCTACAAGCCTATAAATAGAAACAGGAAGTCCCGAGTCCAATCAGCTGTGCTGATTTCCTTTTGTTTAAATTAGTTTTTGAGGTCAGGGCTCTGTGCATTTCCAAGCTTAACAAACTAACTTCCTTGCACAAATTGAGTAATATGGTGTGTTGAAGTTTTTGCTAATTATATAAGAGAGTGAGACAAAGGTAGGCAGGTTTTTGACAAGGCCGAGTGTGTCATGATTGGATAAAGGGGGGAACCAACAAGGATGGGCTTGCTTGTTGTACATGCATGGACTAGAATATATAGACTGCATACAAGCATGTCATTTTCAAGTTGTGGTTGAGAAGAAATGAATAAGAAATCTGAATTGAATGAAATACTTATCAGTGTATGATCAATGGGACCTCTGCTGCTGCATTAGACTACATAGAATGATTCAGCACAATGCAGCTAATCATCACAGTTCAAAGACTCATGATAGTGGGATGACCAGATACCTTCCTGTTGTGGATCTCAACAGTTGTTTCAAAGTTGAATGAAATTTTTATGAATGAGAAAATACAAGTGTGTTGTCAGCAGGAGTTAAGGATGGTAATTGGGCCGGGTGTCTAAGAGCATCTCCAGCAGAGCCGGGGTGGATTGCAGTCCCAATAGCCGGCTGGGACCGCATGTCACACACCTATCTCAGCTCTGTCACACTAGTCCCACAGCAGCCTGGCAATAGCAGGGGGTGGATGGCCTGGCATGTACAATGCGAGAGTAGGTATCGCAACAAGAGTCGTTGGTGGTTGAAGGGGTTGAAGTTGTTGTCCGGCCAGGGTAGTGTAGTGTGTGTATGGTCGGGTGTTGTGATGAAAAAAACGGGGAATGGTGAATAGCGGGTCCCTTCCAAAGCCGCTATAGCCTTGGGTTTCTAGCCGGCCGCGAGGGGAGGGGCGATTAACCACGGGTCTTGTAGCAGGTCTGCTGGACCCCAAATTCCTCTTGCGGCCTGCCAAATCTGGCCGAAAGTTGCCCAGTCGCGGCTCTGCTGGAGATGCTCTAAGGGGCTGCCCAAACCCAAGCGGGTTCAGGCCGGGTTCAGGCCGGGTTTTTTTGGGGGGATCTCTTAACTTAGGCCCGCCCCAGAATGGCCCAATTAAATTTTAGGTCTAGGCAGGCCGCCCGTCGGGCCGGTGCAGTTGGGTGCGGAGTCACGGACCCTGGTGCTCCTGCTCGGTCAGGTCCGATACGGACCTATCACGCTGAGTCTGACCTTTGGTATTGCCAAAGCCCCACCATGGCCGACGGGCAGCCCGGATTTCCTCCTGATTGGCGGCCTGGCTGCCCATGGGCAACCCGATGGCTAATTGGGTTCGAATGAGACCCGGCCCGTCCCGGCCGGCACAGTGCAGGCCCGAGACGGGCTGGTCCGCGGGCTCGGGGATCACCATCCTTAGCAGGAGTTGAGAAAAATACATTTCACTTGGCCATGGCACCGCCTCTGAAAACTTCGGTCCGAACCATTGAAGCTTACAACACTGCATAGGCTAGCTTCTTGCCCTCCTCTAGGTACCAGCTTGGCCTCCAAATGGGAGCTGTTAACCAAGGGCCTAAGGCCCTCAATGCACAGTAACTGGAGTGGTATATCATTTCATTCTGAGATCCGGCTAGCGCCTCTGAACGCAATTTCTCTCATCCATTTGTAACCTCTCCTGTTGTTCGATCTTGGTGCGATGGATATAAGGGTTAGGGTAGCATCACTAATCTATTGCTGACATGCCAGAAACGGGAAAGCTTCATCAAACATGTCAAAATAAACGTTGAGGGATTAAGCAAAACAAAGAAGATGTATGGATTTATTATTGTACAATTAGTTCCGATTGTTCACTAGTCCGCTTTTCCACCCCCTCTACTCCAAAGTTTTCATGCATTGATTCACATTAACTGTTAAGAATTTAAAGAACGTGGGGAGTGATTAGTTGCAAGATTTTCGGGCCGAAGCGTAGCAATGTAGAGGAAGCCAAACAAACCCATTGCCAGAATTTGTGGAGTGTCCCAACCGCTTCGACTTCCTTCTCTCTCTCCATGGCATCCATGAGGTCCAACTCTCGTCTGCCGGTGTCGAAATCCATCTCATGAAGTCGAACAAATCCCGTTTTGTGGAAGATCTTCCATCCCATGAAAAACAGGATGAAGATCGGAAGGGCGATGTAGGCTGATACAAATTTGGATATCGACCTGCAAATTATACATCATATCATCGTCAAGGGGGGGGGGATGTTATTAAACAAGGGACGTAAATGAAAATTTCAATTTGCTTACCATTTGCCACTCAAGAAGACCTCAAACCCATTGAAGATGATGATTAGAGTAATCATGGTAAATCCGAAGTAAGATAACCAGGGTTGATACGGTGCCCGATAAGCAAACGTATTGCGATCCATTCCGTTGTATCTCAATCCATGAAAAAATCGGATGTACGCCTACGGGGACGAAAATACCCGGTGGTTAGTATGGCAAACAACGAGCGACAGGGGTGAACAGGTATACGAACAAGGAGGATTGACCACCACGTCACCAGCCCGGTGATGGATGATATGTTCGAGAACCATTCGAATACCGTGCCTCCAGAAGTGTCAACATTCATGTAGGCCAGTAGGCCAAACATCGCCGTTAGTCCTAAACCAGCAACCGGGATTCCCTTGGCCGTGCAATGCGAAAAAATCCGTGGTGCCATACGATCAGAAGATAATCCAAACAGAATTCTTGAACCAGCGTCTGTGATACGAAATAGGCTTATCAGATCGGGAACGCCGCTATCGACAATGTGTCTTCCGCATTTATGGTAAACACCAACGGCCACAACATTGACCACAAAAGAAGAACACTTACAAAGGTCTGAATTTGCAGCTGAAAACACTGCAGTCAGGATGACGACGTTCACGATATCTGGCAAAGCCGAGATGCCCGCGGACTTGATTGCGATAACGAATGGCGATGACGTTGCATCACTGCTACCGCCCAGCAGTTGTGGTGAAGTGTAGGGCACCAATAATCCCACGACGGTCATCCCACCAATGTAAAAGATCAAGATCCGATAGAACACTTTGTTGATCGCCTTGGGCACATTCCTGCGCGGGTTTTCGGCTTCCCCGGCTGCCAGAGCGACGATCTCGGTACCTTGAGATGGTTTCAATTCATTTTTGTTAGTTGAACTACATGGCTATTGATCCATTCTTTTTTTTTTAGAAAAAAAAAAACGTCCATACCTTGATATGAAAAGGCAGCTTGAACCAAGACCGACCAGAAGGCTAAGAATCGGCCAGTAGAGCCAGGGATCTCATTCAATTGATTGAAGGCCCCAGGTGAAATCCAGTATCTGTGATCAAGTCCCAACAAACGGGATCAGTTGGTCAGCCTTGGTGTGTAAGTTGGGAGTTTGCGAATGTTTGATATACCTGAACCCGATTCGATCATGATTGGGACCGCCGCCTAAAGAGATATCCGAATGGCTTAGAATTAATGTTGAGATAAAGTAGCACGAACGCTTAAAGCTTACCCAAATCAAGGACGATGCCTAGGATAATCAGTCCTACTATGGCGGCAACTTTGATGGCAGCTGTTTCAGACATCAGAGGAAATCAGCATACAAGCTCCCAACTCTTGACAGCCTTACAAAAATCACCCACAGCAGAAAAACTCTGCCTGTTCAGAGGATGCAAGAAAACCCCACATCAAGACCGTGATTCTTGGCAACTCATATAACTATCTTTTTTTGGCCAAGAGAAAACTCACTTCGCCATACCACTTAACGCCAAAGAAGTTCACAGTCGTCGTGGCCACTAAGAACTACGAACGGTTCAACAAAACAAAACAGAACAAAGCAAAAAAAAAAGTTGAGACGCATTCAAATCCAAATCCGAATTCCGTAAAGCACATCAACACATAGAAAAAACTCACGATTGTTATCCACACAGCCACATTAACGCTTTGAGTCCAGTACTTGATCTGCGAATGAAAGATGACAAATGGGTGTTTGAAAACCAGTGGGATGTTTTAGGATTAAGGTATGGAGAGCCTCTGAGTTACTTACCACGATTCCTGCAGCGGTGATCTCTGTCGGCAGAGTGACCGCGAATGAGTACCTGCAAGAAGAACCAAATTAGATGATCGACAGGGTCTTCCGATCGAAACTGCTTATCTACATACCAATAGTTCCAGCCAACTACATGTTCCATTCGAGTGAAGTCGTGTTCAACATTGATAAGAGGGTTGGAACGCTAAGTACTTATCACAAAAGATCTTTGGATAGTTCGAGTTAGGAGAAATGTTATAGAGCAAAAGGGCTGACCTGCAAACCCCAAAGCTGGATCAACAAAACGAGTGGTGTAGTGTATGAAGGCCCCAGTAACCTGTTTTTTTAGAGAAAGTCTCAAGATGAATACATCTTGAAGTAATGTAGAGTTGGGAAGTTGAACCCAGGGGAAAGTAGATCTTGGACGGAAAAACTGACTGGGAACATGGTGACCATTTCACCCTGAAAAATACAGACGTTGCATGTGATGAGAGAGTCTCGAATGGTTTAATCAGTCACGCTTCCCCAGGACCCCAAGGATATATAGCAGAGTTGGACTGACCAGCGCTACCATCATGCTGTAGACAACCGTCCCTGGTGGACATTACGAGTCAGTCGGAAACAGGGATGGGGACTATTTGATTGATGAACCGCATCTTGACTCACCCATGACACTGTACCCGAGGAGGAGGCCGACGGGGCCACCTTTGAGTAATGCTTCTCCAGATCCAACGAACAAACCCGTGCCGATAGTACCTGTTGGATGAAGGGTAATTTTTTTGTGCTTTCTTCAGTTGAATGATATTCGCGAATTTGATATTCAATCCACAGTGATCAATGACGAACCGCCGATGGCAATCATGGAAACATGACGCGCTTTGAGACGCCTTTGCATCTGGCCATCTGGTTCATTGCAAGAAGGAGACTCGCCGAGGCTTGCATCGATAACCTTTTGATCGAGGAATGTGTTTGGTTTCTCCAGGTCCAAGTCCTGGGTTTTCTCTGGGGATACTAGATCCATCTGGTGTTCGTTCGGATAGTTGAGAGAAGAGAAGGGGTTGGTTATTTGAATATTATGTGTATAATACCACCACTAGGCAGATTGCAATCTATTCACAGCAGACGGATGAGCAGGGAGAAGCGAAGGTGGGTTTGGGTTGGAGTCAGTTGCTGCATGTGCCCAAATATAAGCAAACTGAACCCACCCCAACTTACGGCCGTCCGAGAAGGCTTGATTTGATTCAGGTTTCGTCTGTCCGTTTCAAGTGGGCCTGACTAGCTCAATCTGTAGTTTAGCCGGTCCCGAGAAGGCTGGTCCTAACTTATAGCTCTACCGAAGGGTGAACAGGAGGAAATTGTAAAGTCCAAGTTGTTTGGGATGATGGATCGGAGCCGGCAGCAGAGGAGCTAAGCTTCCCGAGCTCACATTTTATTTAATCGACACTCGACCTACGTAGATGATCATACATACTTTGTCGCATCAACCGATAATGGCCATGCTGTCGCTGAGCTGTATGTAAACCAGCAGACTGGTGTTTCCGGATGGCAAAGCCTGGGAGAGCTGAGTCTAGAACAGGCACAGTCTCAAGACCATGTCCATGAAGGAGGTGCTTGTGTTGAGTGATGTGGCTCCTTCAAGCACAGCCAAACAGGTTGAGTTTCTCTACGACCCTAATGTTTTTTGTTGAAGAGTGCGATCAGGGTACATAACAAGCCCACAGACCGGCACTGACTACGTGATTGGCATACCCCGATGCAGCTCTGGCGTTCCTACACTGAAGTCCCAAAAGATATTATTTATTTTATTTCTCCAAGTCCACTTAAATACCTCCCCACTCGCTGAGAAGCACAGGCGGCTACATACAACTGTTGGGCCCGGGAGGAATGGCTCCCCGATGGACAGATGCACACATGTTCGTCCGGGAGGGCACCTGCCTGTTGGGGAGGACGACTTCTTGGACAAGCAAGTGCCCACTGCTACATTGTCCAAGCAGACTATCTCATCCACAAGCAGCCGGCCACGCTAGCCGGCTGCCCATGAACTGATGATCATAATTTCTCTGATTCTCGATCGGGAAAAGAAGCCGACAAGCGCCATGACTTGATCAGTGACACTTCTACATCCCGGGATCAATATTCCTAGACATCATGAAGAACCTCAAGCCGGACACATGGTTGGTTGGTTTTTTTTTATTGGAACTACATAGGACTTACGAGCAGATGGGAATCACCGTCTGGAAATGCCGTATCGCTTGACTTGAGCAGACGATCTGGAACACTCGACCATTCGGCTCGGCTGAGCAGCCAAGATCCAACTATCAATATTTCATGAACCATTTAGTGAGCCGATTCGGTCTGGCTAAACAGGATGGATTTGGCTAACTCTGGATCTGGCTAAACAGTCTAATGGTTACAGTGTGAGACTGGGTCTGGGAAGGATAACAGTGAATGGAATCGGGTAGCCATCCCTCCAGCCGACATCCGTCCTGCAATCCTGCAGAATATCGCCAATGGTTATCGGCATTGCTGGACACTATTGTGCCCAGATCTCATGAGGCTGGCGCTGTGATAGTCTACTAGCTGTTTCATTCATGGCTAGGAAGGTTCCCTCAAACTTCTGACAGAAGCCCAAATGAACTACTACTGAAGAGTGAGGTACATGTGATGATTAGATAAACCCCACTTCAGTAAGAAATGTGTCAGAAGGGGGAGGATCTAATATGATTGAGTGATGCTCTATGGATCATGGACAAGTCTAGGGCAAGGTTCAGCAGATCCAGATTTTGTTGAATATGTTCAATAATTGATTCACTCTAAAGAAGAAAAAGAAAAGGGAGAGATCAGAGTCACAATGGGGAAAAAAGAAGGGATAGAAAAGTTATTACACATCATCACCAAAGTAACACATCCTTCTAGATGAAGAGGAAAGGGAAAACTGTGTTCTAAGAAAACTATAGGGAACCTTGCAAGAGTCTCTGGGCGGCTTTGTCACGGAGGTTAGAAAATGCTTGCATGATCGTTTGTTCATTGATAGTGATATCCGACAGATTAACGCCCACTCCGACGTCAGCCTTGGGTCTTGAAACTCTTGATGCGATAGCTACCGAATCGGTTTCAAGGATGATCCTAAAACCACGGCATTCAGATAGTCATAGATCAGAAACTTCGATCGGGGAGACTTTGCAGAGCAAATCAAGAAAAAAAAAACGAGAGACAACCAACCCGTCATCAACCATTTCGTCCAAGCAGAGACTGACGAGGTCAAGATTCTCAAGCACGGCTCGCTTTTCGACTTGATTTCGGAGCAACAGCGACAGAGTATCGAAGAACGAGTTCAGTAACGTTTGTAACATCAACTCGTTCTCTCCTTCTTGGCCGATCACATAGACAGTGATATCGATAATCGATTTATAGAGTACCAGATGATTTTGAATTAATAGTATGTCACCTGTGGACATATCAAATGAAGAATAGGATCAATTACGTGTTTTCATTTTGAAGAAGGAATGTGGGTTTATGTCGTTTTTATTGACGTTCGATATGTTTACTTTAAAATGAATTATAGGTTTATGGAAAGGAAGGCCCACCGGTTGATTTCCGTGTCTTATCCCAGATGGTATGCTCAAATGCTCTCTGATCCTTGAGGGTCCGAAGTTGGGAGCCGAAGCCGGAGAATCCCAACTGACTAAGCCCATGTGGGGATGGGCCCTTTTTGTTGGCCTCGTTGTTGTTGGCCGAAGGGTTTCCGATGTGAGGAGGATCGAAGTATTTCGCAATCAATCGATGTCCATCCGAATCCAGTAGAATCACTGCCGTGGTCGTGTAGAGCGAAAGATTGGACTGTATATATCCCCAGATGACGGACCGTCCGGATTGAGTTCAGCAACCTATAAGGCCAGCAAGCTTCCCAGAAGCTGAACAGAGGATGAGTGCAGTGCTCACCATGATAATATCGGCAGCTGATCAGTCTTCAGTCGATTGGGCGGTTTTCTATGTAGTCCGGTCAACAGCACAGCAGAGTGGAGGCTGAATGACGTGTGACCCAGTCGAGGACACAGTGACACCACAGGAGGGGCCTCCCTCAGTATTAGCATATTCATTAGACTCGCCGCAGCATTACAACGGCTCGCCAGTTTTAAACGGTGCTTGCGATGTGCTACATATTTCTTTGATTTTTGAGTCTGTGCATCTGGTCATTCGAAGCAACACCAAACCAGGATTGTGGACTCTCCACACCTCATGATGATCATTTTTGATGAAATTTCAGTCGAGAAATGCTATAGGTGTAAATACCTGCGTCACTAACCACCTGTCTGCTAGTTAACATAGCACTTTCTCTTCTACTGGGCTCCAAATTGGACGTTTATTTGGACTTGTTGTTGAAGAAAGGTAAGATGTTCCATCCGCTATGAAAGATGATTTTCATAGGAAAGGTTCAGATTACCCAAAACAAAATCTCCAATTTGGTAGAAGTCAGAGCGCTCCAAAGTGCATACTAATGGCAAAAAGACATTTTTTATTAAAAAAAGTGTTTTCTCTAGAGCATTAACTCAATAAAAATCTCTGGAAATTTCTTTCAACCTCACCAGGATCTCATTAGCTGGTTGAAAAGGACTATCACAAGAAAGATCAGGAAGTTCATTGGCTGACATCTATTGGCAAGAAACAGGAGGGAATTATCAAATTTGAAGAGAAAAACAAACAGAAGATTCAAACTGGTAGAAAGAGTTGAAATGAAAGCAGAAATTAAGATATGTAAATGTGCTTTCCTGACAGATTGACAGATAGAGTGGGCTATAATTTAAGATAGGCATTTGCAACAATTAATAGCCTTTGTAGAGCTGTCAATCAAAGACTGACTAGTTGGTTTCAAGAAGACTATACGTGTGAACTAGAGCTTTCTCAATTAGTCGCAGAAGTGATAACTTTACCCTCAGATAGACCGGAGTGCGGTTCTTCCTCCAGTGGGATTGCCTCGAAGGGCATCATATTCCGGATGATCTGATGCGTCGATAATGTTGACTTGGGACTGTCTCCATCAGTGGCCGTGGTAGTCATTTTACTCTCAGATGGACGTATGACAAGATTACCGGAGTGCGGTTTTCCCGCCGTCGGGATTGCTTCAAAGGACATCATATTCCGCATGATCTGATCAGCGGTAATGGCTCCATCGGTTTCAGTCTTCTCTCCGGTCCCGTACAGTATCCGGTAGAGGACAAGTCGTGCATTCTCAAGCAGCGCGGAGCCTCCCGCTTCATTCGGTTCACCAAGAAGGTTTGGCGAAGTCTTTTGTACCGTTTTCATCCCACCAGTTGGTGATTGAAGGTTGTAGCGTGAAAGGTATCCTGAATCAAAGACTGAGTCTTCATGCATAGGCCCTTGTAATCCACCGTTCTCAAGAAATCGCGGAAGAGACTCGACGTCATGGCTGGCCAGGTCTCCTACACGCCCAAAAGCAGGTCGAGCCGCTGAAGAATCTAGTCCAATTAGGATGACGGCCAGCTAAACAAGACGTGTTAAATAAGTAAAGTTTTCATGACAGTCAGCAAAATGGGCTTGCTTCCTCCAAGTGAAAATTCCGGCAATCTCAATTGACTCAACTAGACTCGTGAAGAAAGTAGTATTCATGGCGATTTCGATATGATCAAAAAGCTTGAGAGGGGTTGAGCGGACTATGATGTTGTATGACGTCAGGCTAGCTCAGGAAATGCGCCGAATTAGTGGAATGTTTTATGTAAGTAGATCTACGTTGTCTTGAAAGTGGTAATTACGTAAAGTGTGATCTCTTAACTGGGAGGGGAGTGGAGTAGGACTATTTATATTGCCCGGAGTACATGACTTGAGTGAAAAGCCATGCTTCATCCGCCTCGCTCCTTCATTACACCAGCAATGGAACTGAAACAGTGTCTGAGTGAAATGCGGTAAGATGTTGCCCAAACTGCAGAATGAGTCCTGAGCTGGTGGTTGAGACAGCTGAGTGATAATGCGTTGACGAAGAAGGGTTAGAGAAGGACAATTTGGATGTCCAGTGCAGATGTGCAAAATAAAGTTCATCCTACTCGATCTTTCATCTTACCAGCTGAAGTATTTACTTGTAATCCAGGACCTCAAACATATTTTGATCACAGTCGACGCGACTGGAGGAAAGATCTGAAAGCTATGTAGCTGCTAAGACACGTGAGATCGTTGTGCCATATAAACCTGTGTTTTATCAGTTTCCTTTTCCTGTCCTGGGTCAAACCTCCTTGTCATTCCACTTTTGGCGGAGCTGGGTAAACCAACAGCACTTACTGGCCTTGAAGCGGAGGTTATTTCGAGCCAATTTTGCAGCCTTAGTGCAATGAAATTATAATTAATCAGTTTAGGAAACGGATAAAGAGCGGAGTGAGGCATTCAACATTTTATAAAAAGGATGCCAAAAAAGGGCTTCCACTGACAAGAGTACCTGAATGCCAAAAGATTTTGCAGAGTGAATAAACTTCTTGTGGCTTCAATGTCAATTCAAGTGTTTATAGCTTTAACTTGTAAGTTATCTTGTTACCATTTAACCCCACATTTCAGGTTTGTCATGTATAATTTTATATCTTCAGTTTGAATAATAGACTTCTATAATTGTCTGATGCAACTTTCTTGTCACACCTCTCATTTTTTGAAGCTGGAAAAAACTACTTGTGGTGTTCAAGTAGAGTAGAACAGAAATTAAAATGCTTGTTCAGAGAAAAAGACTGGACTGTCTCCCAAGATGATGGATTGCTCTGAATAAGTTCAGCAAACTGCAAGCTGAAAGGATGTGTGGATAAAATTAGGGTCTTAGCTAATCGACTCCCAAAAAGTGGAGGATCGACTCCCAAACCCCGAAACCCCCGGAATTTCCACCGAAATCCCCGAGGAATGGGAGTCGATCCCCCAAACCCGTCAGCGGGTTTGGGAGTCGAAAAACTACTAATTTTAATAAAAAAAAAGGCCAACCCCCGAAGGAGTTGGGGGTCGACGTCCCAAAACCCACTGGGTTTTGGGTGTCGCTTACCAAAAAGAGCCCGCAACGGCCGGGAGGATTCCTCCCGGCCGCTGATGGCACACCCTCAACGGCCGAGAGAAACACTCTCGGCCGCTGAGAGTGTACACTCTCATTGGCCGGGAGGAACACTCTCGGCCAATGAGAGTGTACACCCTCAACGGCCGGGAGAAACCCTCTCGGCCGTTGAGAGTGTACACTCTCATCGGCCGAGAGTGTACACTCTCATCGGCCGAGAGTGTACACTCTCATCGGCCGAGAGTGTACACTCTCATCGGCTGAGAGTGTTCCTCTCAGCCGCTGAGAGTGCATACTGAATACTGATCTAAAAGGATCCGCCCGACACTGCTTGTAAAAAGTGCTCCAAGAAAACCTCCAGCACTCGTTTGAACTCGTGCTCATTGGGATTTGGAACTGACCCTCACGCGCCTGCTCGCCCCAGTGATCAATTTCTGTGCCCAACGGGGTATACATATCTATGTAGCCATCGCAACCAGGTTTGCTCGACGCCCGGACCGGGACATAGATGCCCTTCACACTGACTCGGACTAGCAGTGGTAGAAAAGGAGCCTACACAAAATCCCTCAATCAGCCCCAGTGGTTCATCTTATGATAGTCAATGATCATCAATGGCCCATATAATCAGATGGCGAGACTCAAGAATCAGCAAACAGTCTTGCTACGGCCAAACTACCGCTCAGGTCACTTCTCCTCACTTCAATCCTGTCTCTACAAACCACGTGATGTTGGGTTAGATTGATGCAATCAACCCCGATAAAGGATGAGCGTTTTTTACTTTGGCATCATGAAGACTTGGTGCTTGCTTCAGATCTGAGATGATCCGGCCTCGGTAGCTGTCCTACCATCTCATCTCGAGTCGTCTTCCCCTTACCAAGTTTCTTTCTTCCGTGTACACTCTCGGCCGATGAGAGTGTACACTCTCATCGGCCGGGAGGAACACTCTCAACCGCTGAGAGTGTACACTCTCGACCGCTGAGAGTGTACACTCTCATTGGCCGAGAGGTTCACCACGATTCCTCGGCGATCAAAATCTTGCAGCTTTGAGGGCATCATTGATTCAATTCCATTCGGCGAGGGCTTCTTTTGCTTTACGAGCTTTGACCTGCTCTGCTTCAATTCTTTCCTCTTCGGACATTGGGATTTGTTCATACTGTTTTCGAAGAGATGCACGCGAGGAACTACGTGACACGACACGTTTTATCCAAGTAGATGCAGAGGGAGTTCGGGATCTTGAGCGGCATGCTACAGGGGTCACAGGGGAATGATCTGCTCCATCTCGCGAGGGAAAATTTGGTGTTGGTGCACGTTTGGGACGTTGAGCAGCCGATGGACCCGCGGAGCTTGGGTTCATCGTAGGAAAACTGATATTGTTGGTTGTTGGTTGCACCGTGTGAGAACGGGGAGGGACTGATTTATGACTTGAAGAAGATGCGGGAGACATCAAGTGCTCATCGGCCGAGAGTGTTCCTCCCGGCCGATGAGAGTGTACACTCTCAGCGGCCGAGAGTGTTTCTCTCGGCCGCTGAGGGTGTGCCATCAGCGGCCGGGAGGAATCCTCCCGGCCGTTGCGGGCTCTTTTTGGTAAACGACACCCAAAACCCAGTGGGTTTTGGGACGTCGACCCCCAACTCCTTCGGGGGTTGGCCTTTTTTTTTATTAAAATTAGTAGTTTTTCGACTCCCAAACCCGCTGACGGGTTTGGGGGATCGACTCCCATTCCTCGGGGATTTCGGTGGAAATTCCGGGGGTTTCGGGGTTTGGGAGTCAATCCTCCACTTTTTGGGAGTCGATTAGCTAAGACCCTAAAATTATGTTGTGAGCTGATTAGTTTTAATTGGTTGGGATATTTTCTGGTTAACAACAGAGAAATTATCCAAATGATGTGGGACCCAGTCAAGGAAATACACCACTCACAGAGCCTCCCTATTGTTGATGATACTATTGAGCTGATCAATTCTGCAAATTGGGATTTACACACAGACTTTCCAGATCAATTCCTTTGGTCTCCACCAATGCAGATCCATTGGGGTGAATAAAAAATGTGATCAAGTACAAGGAAAATGATTTCTGAATTTGGAAACTTCTATAAACAGAGAAATTTTAGCCATTGAGTTTTGAATTTACCATTTGGTTGGATCTGTGGGACAGATATATTGAGAATCTGATTTTTCATAATCTCTAAAACCCCAAGATAAAATCAGATACAGCAAGCATGTTAGATGAAGAATACATAAAAATTGGAACAATGATCAAAAAACAAATTGATTAATGGAATGTGAAAGAGAGAATAAACAAACAAAAACCAAAAGGAAGAAAGACAATCAAGATGGAAATATCTAGATTTGAGGTATGAAAAATGCTTGAAACAATTGAAAGGCCTTGGAAAGGCCATCACCCTCAGATGAAATACATAGTTTAGAGAAATTGGCAATGGTGAGGTTGGATTGTCTGAATCAGGGGCGCAGGTTGCGCTTAAGATTGATGATCAATTTTTGGGGCAAGTTCACCGATGTGTCTTTTGTCCTCCTACGGGGGCTTTTCTCGGAGCATTAACCAAATGATGATCTACGACGCCGAATTTGACACCTGTGGCTTTTCAGGCTTCTCTTTCTCGCTACGTCCAAGAAACATTTCGTGCACCGATCGGACCAGATCTTTTATGCTCCATTGCCCACCATTAGGCCCTGACAAGTCCCGCGGCTCATCCGATTCAACGAGCAGGTTTTCGTGATTGAGGGACTGCTCAAACCGACCGCCCTCGAAATATTGGGTCACCAAATCCGGGTCGTTGCTGCCAAGGTCTCTTGCGCCTCGACCATAAGCAGGTCGAGCCGCTGAAGAGTCTAGCCCAATCAGTATAATGACCAGCTGATCAAAAATGTCATGACAGTCAGTAAATTGGGTTCTGCTTCCGACAAGTCAAATTTTGTCAATTGCAATTGACTCAACTAGACTAATGGCGAAGACATTCATGGTTGGTCAAAAATGATCAAACGTGTTGAAGATGGTCAAGCAGACTTTGATCTGGTGTGAAGTCAGGCTACCTCAGTAAATGAGCCAAATATAATGCAGAATGTCTTTTGTAAATAAATCTACGATGTGATAATTTGTGTGCCAATGGAAGCTTGAGGTGCGTATGGCGTGATCTTTGAACTTGGATGGCAGCGGAGCAAGGTGATTTATATTGGCGGGATTACATGATTTGTGCTCAAAGCATGCTTCATCCTCCTCGAGTACTGCTCCATGACTGAAACAGTTTCCGACTGAAAATTTACCCGAACAGCAGAATGAATCTGAAGCTGGTCCTTAAGGATGAATATTTGATGGTGATCTAGCGAAGAAGGTTGGCCATAACAGATTTATCAAATAAAGGTCATGTTGCTCGGATTTACCACCATCCGATTCCGATGAATGTATGTTTTCCAGGAATCAAAACAACAACCCTCCCAATTCCATGAAATTTCTCTACGTTCAGACAAGTGTGATGTGCCATATTTGCCCTCGCCCAAGTACAGTTCCCTGGTTTCAGCGGCCGGGGTTCAGCGGCTCACTTCGCGAGAACCTGGCCCAACGAAGTTGGGAGTTGCCTTAAGCCAGATACATATTGGCCTGTATTTGTGCTCACTCACACACCTGTAGGACTCCGGCAAGCCCCCGACTACAAAGTCGGGTGTTGAGAATGTCACCAAAATTCATCCCACGGTACTGCTTTTTTGGCCAATCAATACCGGTTTCATGCGTGCGCTCAAGCAAAAAATCCCCTGCAAGCAGGACAGAACCCAATGAAATCTTGCAACAACCAACAACTGGGGCCCAAATCAAGGTTGATAGTAGGTTTGGCCAGTTTTGCTGACCCATAGTTGTGAAGAGCATCTTGGCAAAAATTCCCAATTGATACTTCTGTCAAGATTGGATTATGGGGTTTCTGTCCATTTCATATACAGTCAAGCCCTTCGATCTGCATAACCAGAAATAATTTGCTATGTGGGTTGGCTAGCTACACGGTTACAAGGGTGAGCTACAGGCAAAAATGACCTATATTTGGGGGACCCAAATGAGTATGTGGTATGGGGGTTTGTGTTGTTACACAATTATGTGGTTAGATGGTTTGAATATACCTTTTTGAGGTCCTCACATGGCCAATTAACTTTGATTGGTTTGTATGATTATACACATTGATTCAAGTGGTTTTTTCTTCACCTAGTTTAAACCTGTCAATAGTGTTCCTTACTGGCTATGATTTCCCTTATGGAAGAGTTTAATGAGCATTTACTGGTCCAACGGACTGTTCTGACTGGCTGAACTTGTAGTGGAAGTTCTGCCCCACCTTCTTCAGCATGAGTCAAAGGGGTTTCAGCTAATCCATATTTTTGAGTATTGCTTGGATAGCTTACTAATAGCAGCGGTGAGCTGCTACGCTACACTACCCTACAGGCCCATGTAGCGTTAGCGTAGCGGCACCAATTTTTTTTCCGTGTAGTGTTAGCACGCCGTTACAGCCGCTGCACTACGCTAATTTGTAGTGGTGCTAACACTAGCCATTTTTTCGTGTAGTGTTAGCGCACTTCTGGCGCCGCTACACTGCGTTACGCTACACTACAGCTTTTTCAGCGGCAAAAAACACTTAAAAACCGCTAAAAATTGCTGTAACGCAGCGGAGAGGGCGGTTTTTTGCGCCCTGTGTGTGTAGCGTTAGCACAGATGGGGGGGGAATTGCGCTAATGCTACGCTAAACGTTAGCACAATTTTTTGCCCCATGCGTGTAGCGTTAGCGCAGAAATTGAAAAAAAGTGCTAACGCTACGCTAAATTGTAGCAATTTTTTGCTACGGTGTGGTAATTAAATATGTAAAAAATTCAGGCCCCGTTTGGCCGTCCATGATTTGTAATTTTGAGTTGAGGTTTGGCAGGAGTTTGTGCAAAAACCTTATATCGTTTCATATCGCACGGTCCAAATCCCAGCCAAACTTAGCCAAATCACAAATAATGATTTGCGGCCAAACGGGGCCTCAAGTTTTTCCTTTTATACATTTTTCTCATAAATTCACTCAGAAATCAACCAATATGGCTTCAGAAATGGACTTTACGGATAATTTCAGCCTAGGTCACTACTTGACGCATCATTGGAACCCTCATGGATTGGAAGTTACACCCCCACGGACACATATCACAAGGCCAAAATCCAGTCAAGCACATGTCACAACCCTCAAGTCACCTCTCAGTTATGCTTGTACACAGCTCCTGGTATACACATAATTTCCCACACCTCTTTATCTCCACCGCATAAATTAGTTTGGTTTTATTTGTCACCTCATGCACTGCCTTTGCAGGCTGTACAGTCTTGCTTAAATAACTTTTCCCACAATTTATTAATTTTCTCACCTCACTTATGACAACAGCTGGATTTTTCCCACAATTGATTGCCTCATTTGACACTTTCTCACATTATTTATGCACTGCAGCACAGCCTTTGACATTAATTGTACACAGCCTCACTGATTAATTTCCCTCACTTGCATGATCAGACTAGCTAAATTCACTCATTTGTACCTACAGGCCAGCTAAAATCACTCTTTCTTGTCTGCCCTGAAGCTAAATTCCCTCACTTTTGTCTATAAAAGGAGGCTCTCTTCTCCCCATTTGTTGTCTCCTCAGTTCATTCACTCAGTTCATAGTACACAGTTCACAGTTCACTACTCATTCACGCAGTCAATCAATATATAACTCACCAGTTACAAACAATTATATAAACCTTTCACCTGTTACACAAGTTGTCACAACATAACAGTTTCTTTTATAAGCAATTATATATTCAACATTTACCTTTCATCAAACAAAGTTTTTACCGGAACCAACCAATCCTATCACATTATTAAAACTTTCCAAGCTAAGCTTGGGGGTCTTGTTTCTGATAGTATAGAAGGGCAGAGTTTGCACCACCATTTTTCCCCTTCTCAATTCAGCAAAAGGGTTTCACAACCACTTTTGAGTCTTACAAAGTTTAGCGTAGCTGGCCCACTGTTGCTACAGTCAGACCTGCCATACCACATACTTGTCTAACGGCATAACCTCCTGTACCACATACTGGTGTTGGTCCACCATATTTGGTGCGGGCCAAATTTTTAAATTTTGGTCAAAAACCGCATAACGGCATACCACATACCTCTTTTGTGGAAAATTGGGGAACATTCCCTGCCTAAGTGCATAGATTTCTGACAGGATTTTTCGACAGTGAGAAAGTTTTTCCCAAAAATTGGACCACCCATCAACCACTTCGAACCAGACAAACTCCAACAATGCCTACTGAATCTTTTGATTGTTTTTTAGAGCTATTGAACTCAAAGCCAACCTCAATTCATATTTCATGTAATGGGAATACACTTTATGCCCACACCTTGCCTCAGCGACCAAGCGTAAACGATGCAACAGAAGACTTAGAAGAAATCCGGTTGGACTCAGTTGAATCAAGCTTCCGGAAGATGAAGGCTCAATACAAACAGAAACATGATAAACTCAAATCAAAGCTTAAAAACGGTGAATCGATAACCAAAGAGGAGGAGGAATGGATGGATGGTGAAGGGAACCTGGTCGATGGCGAGCTACTCATCAGCAAAATCTCTTCACTCCCCAACTTCTCTCAGTGATTCTACTGCTCTCGAGTCAACCGAAGTAAAAACTCTTGTTCGAATTCTTGATTTCTGTTGTAAAAACTTGGCTGTGATGGAAGAAAAGAAAGATGCAAAGAAGAATAACATGAAGAATAGCAAGGAAAAGCAACCCGAAAAGAATAATAAAAAGATCGAAACCAAATCTCTTGCGAATAAAACAACCAACAAATCTCTTTCAAGTCAATCAAAAGAAGTTGCAAATTCGAGTAAGAAACGTAAAAAAACAGCGAATCAACTTCAAGCTCTAAGATAAGTAATGCTAGCTATGCTCAGAAGGTCGAAGTGCTTGATTGGCACTACAAGAACGGCAAGAACCAGTCAAAGACCGCTCTCCATTTTTCAGCTATCTATCCTCATTTGAAGATCAAACAACCACTGATTTCCAAGTGGTTGAAGGATGAAGATTCTATCAGATCAAAGGTTCATCAAACAAGCAACCCAGAAAGCAAGAGAATTCGGACAATCTCGCATCCTCAAGTTGAAGCCGCTCTGGTTGAATGGCTGAAGCAAGCGACACACCTAAACTTAACAGTCACAGGCAAAATTATCAAGGAAAAATGGAGAGACTTTGCTCGTCTAGCTGGAATACCATCGGAGGATTGGCTCAACTTAAGTTCGGGATGGTTGGACTCTTTCAAGAACCGCCATCAAATAAGATCTTACCGAAGACACGGCGAAGCTGCTTCTGTGGATATTAGTACTGTTGAAAAGGAGATCGAAAGAATGAAGGAGATCACCTCAAAATTTGATCTGAAGGATATTTTTAACATGGATGAAACCGGACTGTTCTACTCGTGTGTTTATTCATATATTTTTCATTTTATTATTCCATCTAATGAATACTAATCATACTTTATTTTGTTAGGATGCCACCAGATACTGGTCTTGCTTTCAATAGAACTCATGGTATTAAAGCGAACAAGACTCGGATGACTATTGCTCTCACTTGCAATGCTGATGGAAGCGAGAAGGCCGATCCACTTTTCATCGGAAAAGCAAAACGACCTCGATGTTTTTTGAAGAAGGATGCATGCGACTATGGATACGACTATGCGTTCAATGCAAGTGCATGGATGACATCGGATATATTTGAGAACTGGTTAAAGAGGTGGAACTCTAAGCTTAAGGAAGAAAAAACGACACATCTTACTATTGCTGGACAACTTCAGCGGTCACACTATTCCAGAAGGCGGTGTATCAAACATCCGAGTCGAATTTTTTTCTCCAAACCTCACCAGTCATGTCCAACCCCTAGATGCTGGAATCATCAAATGTTTCAAGTCGTACTATCGAAAAAAAGCAATTTCACGAACGATCACGATATTTTCTGATAAGTCTGAGTCCTTCACAACCCCAGTGAAAGATCTTTTCACTGTAAACCAGCTCACTGCAATGAAGATGGCTCGAAAGGCCTGGCAAAGCGTTTCAAGTCAAACAGTCCAGAACTGTTGGGGGAAAACAAAAATAACTGAGCAGACATCCAATGGTTGCACTGAAAAAATGTAAGCGTAAAATCAAACCAAATAAACTGGAAGCAAAAATCAAGACTGACTGTGTTCTCTTCCTAGCAACGAAGACATCAATCAAGCTGAATCAATGATATCATCCCAACTCAACACATTAGAGTCGATCGGCCTAGTTCTCCCAGTCAATCGGATGTCGGTTCATAATCTACTTTACCCAGAAGGCGAGAACGATGTTGTCACAAAAATATGGTCAACTGAAGAGATTTTCGACTCGGTTAAAGTACAAGACGATGATGACAACAACACCAATACAGATGAAGAGCAAGAAGTTCCAACTGTGAGACCATCAAAAAAAGAAGTGACTGGTTTCCTTTCAAAAACTCTTTCCTACTTAGATGGTGAAGATAATCCAGAAGCAAATGAGCTCAGTAATCTTTTAGAAAAATATCATCAAAAAATGTTAGATGAAATTCATTTTAATGGTGTTCAAACTAGTATCACCCAATATTTCAATCCCATGAATTAATCAATCTGTTGTCTTTCTTCATAACTCTATTAGATTTAGTATTCTCCCATCAAAATAATGAAAAACAAAATCACCTGTCAAACCTCATAATTGTATGCTGTTTCACAGGTTTTCTAAGCGCATAACTATGCGCTTAGACAGGCAATTCCCAGAACCACATAACCCCTCTAACCGCATAATAAATCCTTTCCACCGAGGGGTATGCGGTTAGACAGGTTTGACTGTAATAGCAGTTTGTGATGGCAATGATACAAAAAAAGGGCTTGAGAGGAATGATTCATATGGCCAAAACTGACAGTTCAAAAGAACATCACTCTTTCCAATCCTTTATTCAATCAGGCCTGAAGGAATTGGGAACAATGTCATGTAACAAGCTTCCAAAAACAGAGGGACTTGATTGGAATTTCCAACATAATTGCAGTTCAATTCCCGCAAAATTCCAGGAAGAGTCTTGAGCAAAATATGTTGAGATCTGAAACACTCAACCAGAATTGGGATGATGCCAATGATCAGCCTTGGTATGCTCCCAGTTCCTCTGCACAACAACTCAGAGAGAGAAAATTTCAGATCAATATATTCAATAAAAAACAGAATAGCACTATATGTGGTACATAAATGAGAATCATGTCAAAGAAATTTAGAGCTGAGTCGGTTTGAATTCTGTTGTCTTTCATCCCAATGTCACTCCTTTCACTCCTGTCACTCCTTTTTTCAGTTTCAGATGAATAATCATTCTTTTCACCTTCTGTCCCACAACTCAGCCACATTTGTATGTAGATAAACAGTCATAATTTTGAGCTAGAAAGTGAAAGTCATCAGTTCTTCTGTGCCTGTTCCCTGAGGTCACTCATACAGCCTCTTGTAGTGTAGTTGCTTTTCCGGCCCACAAGCTGCTAGCAGCCTATGAAGCCCTCAAAGAGGGCTTCTTGACCTTGTTCTTTCTCTCATCAGATTTTTTTGTCACCAGTCACTTCTCATTCTTCTCAGCTCTTGTGGTGAAATTTCATCTCAGAGTCCATCATTCAAAGCCATGATGTGGGATCATCAAACTTAAGGTAGTAAATCACAAGCACCCTGGAACTTGTGACCACGTGGCAGTACCATAAATGGCAGCCCCACCTTTGCCAATCTAATACCAGAAGCAGCAAGAGAAAGAATATGATGATTGTTTTTGACTGTTCTTGTTGCCACCAGAAGGGATTACATTTGGCACATGTCTGTTGATTGAGGAACAAAAAAGATGCTTGCTTTCACTTGGATCTTTCAGAACTAGATAGGTTCATGATATACTTGGATTGGTTAACTTCAAGTAGAGTGTCAGTGGGACCAACTACCACGATTGACTTGAAAGAAAAAGGGTAAGGCATGGGAGATATGGATCGAAGACACAAAATTAGGAACAACCACACACACACACATTGATTTGTACTGTAGTCTTGCAATGCCATGCCATCCAGTCTTTCTTTCCCAATTGCATCAAATCCTTATCCACATAATTTATTCAAATTTATGAAGAAGAAAAAAAAAATGTGTCTGCATCCAATTCAAGATCCTGCAGACCTGTTTGAACGTAGATATATACGTATCTTGCACAGCATGAGTTGATCTGTTTAGCAAATCACTTGGCCAAGGACTGCCCCAGCCAGAGAATGAAACTTTGCATACCCTCCACTTGGGCCCTTGATCAGGGATCTTTAATTGATCCAAAGTCATGTTCAAGGTGCAAGAGTCATCTCAACGAAGAGCTTCTTGAAGACACTTCTAGTCTACATATTTGAAAAGTTTTCAAACCCACAGATCATGATTGACCAAAATATCTGACCAAAATGTCTGCCCTGCAAGACCACCCACCCCGCTTCCTTTTTCTTCCCCTCTTACTTTAGTCTGCTCACCAAAACCCCAATCCTCTCAAGCGCTCATCATCTCCACCCCTCTGCACACCATCCACAATCATTCTCACAAAGAGGAAGAATGGTAGGAAGGAAGTAAATGTACCTTGTGGGAATTCATTGTACTCTCATCATTTCATCAATTCATCATCATGACATTGTTCATCAACCAATACGTAGAATCTTGTAATATTATATACCTCCAAACTCCAACCTCCAAACTCCCAACTCCAAACTTCAAACTCCAAAAACCAAACCAATACCAAAACAAAACAAAGTCTATATAATCATGTAAGAAGTAGATGATAAGAAGAAAAAAGGACAGACTGGCTCGAATATGGAGGGATAGATATGGATGTAAAAGAGACGAGTGAGCGGATGAGTGTACGATAAATATAGATAAATAACTGGCCGACTGAAACGAGAGAGAGAGAGAAAAGTATATGTGTATAGAGTTATAGTTATAGGTCATACGAAATGGCGCTCTCAGAAAGGAAGCAACTATCTCTGATGATTAAGAAGAAGATGATGATGATGGTGAAGAAAGAACTCGAACGGGGTCGTATAAATAAAATAAATTAAATCGATGGGTCTTTGGAGGCGTAAGAAACAGTGAGAAAGAGAAAGAGAGAGATTCAAAAACAAAAAAAAAAATGATTGAAATCAATTGACTGTCACTAACACTAACAGAGACAAAGAGATGGGGGGGGGGGAACAGAGAAAGAGAAAGATAAATGAAACCACAAATAACCAAGACAGCCACACACACACACACATAAAAGAGAGAGAGAAAGAGATTGTAAGAGAGGAGAGAAAAAAAAGAGGATCAAGGTCCAGCTCTGACGGGTAAAGATTGACGGGCCAATGAATGAGGATGGCCGACGCGAGCAGAGCTAGAGCTGGAGTTTGAATTCGAATTCGAATTCGAATTCAAAGCAGCAGCAGCAGCAGTAGTAGTAGTACTACTACTATTAGACGAAGAAGCAGCAGGATTAAGTTTTCCATTCCCGGTAAGATTAAGATGATGATTCGAAGAGGTGGTCGTAGTAGTAGAGGAGGAAGCAGAGGAGGATGGATGGATGATTGAGGAAGAAGGCTGATGATGATGATGATGATTTTGTTGATGGCTGTGGAGAGTTTTAAGCGATTGTCTGGTTGATGAAGATTGCGTCCTGTTCCGATATCCTACACTATTTCTACCCGGCCCGATAGTAGTCGTCGTCGTAGTAGTACTAGAGCTTGATCCAGAGTTGGCAGCAGAGAGGTGAGGGAGCTGGGAGATTGTAGGAGCAGAAGGTCCGTTCGAGCCGGTGTGAGCAGAAGAGCTGGTCGAGGAGGCCAGATGGACTTGTTTGCGACGGGGCGAAGAGATGTGGATGGAGCCGGAGCCGGAGTTGAATCTTCCATGGGCGAGTCTGGCAGACGAGGAGTTGACCGAGCTGGACGAGGTCAAGCTACCACTAGTATGTTGTTGTTGTTGTTGCTGCTGGAGGTTACTGATACTCGCCGAGAGCTGGGCGACCGCGGGCCGAGCCCGGCCGGCAAGGATCCAAGGATGGCGCATCGCCGGGTCCGGCTTCAGCCGCCGTTCCGGGTCCCACGCCAGACACTTGGCAATAAAGTCCACAAACAACTCGTCATCCGTCTTGAGCACCGACTGCAACGTCTTCGAGCCCACACGGCGACGGCGCCCCTTCGAGTTCACCACCGGCCGCGGCGTGCCAGTCGAGTCAAAAAATAACTTCCGTCGCGAACTTCGGTCGACTAGATATTTATCCGGCATCCCCAAGACTTCCATTATACATGCCAACTGCTCTGATTCTGTCTCTCCAGGACTATTGTAAACACATTTTTCTTTATCAGTCTAATCGAACTCTTTTTTTTTTATCTAGATCACATATGTTGGTCACGTACAAGATCAAGATGACCGGTATAAAGTTCAGCCAGAATACAACCTAAACTCCACATATCGATAGCCATATGATAATTCATACCCAAGATAACCCTAAAAAAATAACTCGATTAAACTTTGCTACTTTGAGAAAAAAAAAGAGAAAGAATGACGTACTCAGGAGAGCGATAAAAACGACTCTGAATATAAGTATAAACTTTCTCATTCTCGAAACAAGAGGAACCAAAGTCGATAGTTTTGATAGCCGATTTCTGAGGATGTTTGAGCAGAATATTCTCTGGTTTGAGATCACAATGGACGACACGATGGTGTCTAAGTAGGGAGAGAGAGGTGAGGATCTGGATGGTGAAGCGACGGATGAGGGTAGTCGAGAAGCCGTTGAAGGAATTATTCCGGATGAGCTCGTAGAGATTGATGCTCAACAACTCGTTCACAATGCATAAGTGGCCTCGGAACGTGAAGTGATCGGTCATCTTCAATACGCAATGTTTATCTTCTGGGTCCTAAGAGCATCGTATCAGAATTTCGAATGATTAGTATTGATGGCTTCAGAGAGAGAAAAAAAAAAAAACACCTGCCCAACTACTTACCCAGCTTAATAAGTTCTCAAGCACTCTGATTTCAACCAAGGCTTGATGATGAAATCTGCGTTTATTACGAATGATTTTGATGGCAACCATTTCGCCAGTACGATGATCTCGACACTGCAAGACCTGTCCGAAGGAGCCTTTGCCGAGGACGTCGACGATCTCGTAGCGGTAGATGAGATGGTCGTTCTTGACGATCTGGTAGTCACCGCGCTCGTCGTCGTAGCCGTAGTTCTGCGCTGGCTTGTCCTCGCTGGCCATCTTCTTGGCACTCTCCGAGCCGACGTAATATATCTTCTCATAGCCTAAGATCTCGCCTTTCTCGTAGTCCGAGAGATAGTTCTTATATAACCTTAAGGCCTCTTGGGTCGTCATCGGTTGGGTAGGCTCGTTCGGCTTGGGGAATTCGAACAGTTTGGCAACTTCGGCTGGGGTCATCCCGCTCATCAACTTCTTGCTCCGCTGTCGAGCCACATATTGGGCCATCTCTTCATCTCCCTTGGTTTCCTCCTCGCCAATCGTCGGACTCATGTTCCCCTTCGAATCCGTCGTTCGTACCCTGAGACCGTGTCCCGGTGAGGAGCGCGAACTATGTCCGACGGCTTCGGAAGCACTGAGCATCGAAGGGGTCGTAGACGAGCGAGACATTCGCGATGGGATGGTGAGCTTGCTAGCAATCGTTCTTGAAGAACGGGAGGAGGGCACCACCCCGCTGGAGGCCGATGTCCCAAACTCTGAAACGGTCGATTGATCTCCGAGTACTGAGGCATGAGTCGTCGAGAGTCTTCTCGAGGCTGCCCTGGCCGCCTGTACTTCTTGTGACTTGGCCACCGTTCTCCTTGCGGCGGCTAGCCTGGCTGCAGCTGATGTATCCTGTTGAGCATTCGCAAAATCTTCATTTGCTGAATCGGGCTCATTATTATGAGTATTTGCTTGACTCATCATCGATGGTTTGGTTGGTGAAGAGTTCGATTCGGCCTTCAGATCGTTATTGGATAGTCGGTTGAGCGTTTTACTTGCATTTGATGCTCCCGAGCGTGATCTGGGTATTAAAGATCCTTGGATCCCCGAGGCGCGTTTGCTGTTGAGAGTGACCGGTTGATGACCAGTCAAGACACCAAAATCATTGGAATGCTCTTGATTCTCTGAATTAGACGCCGGGACCTGTTCTCTGCGTTTGGGACTCCCCAAGGAATCGGTATTCGAAGCTTGATAATAATCGTCAGATTGAATCTTCGGCGCAGGACTCATTGCATTTTTCTGAGGGCGAAAGACGGCGCGAGGAATTTTGGTAGGAGTCAAAGAAATGGAAGCATTAGATTGAGGTCGATAAGAATTGGGAGAAACGGGTGGCTTCTCAATCGGATGATCATGGCGATCATTGATATTCTCTTTACTAACTTGCTGTCGGACTGGTGCAGTCTGCTGGTTGATCACTGATTTCGATCCGTCGTCACTTAGCTCCTCCTCCATCCTCAATGGCGAGGCATCGATCGTCGGTAGTCCTTTTCTGAGAGAGGACGTGGACTCTTTCAGGGTACGTACTCTCGGGGCTCGGGAGGACAAAGAGGAGGATGTAGGATAATCAATACTACGCCGCTTCGAGGCTGTCGATGAGAAGCTATTGTTGGGAGAGGTAATCGAGGCAACTCGGTTGGTGGTAGTGGAATGAATGGCCGACATTTGTAAAGGTGGTAGTGGTGGTGGTACTGCGACTTTCTCCTTGGGATGAACCGGTAACAGAGACAGTCTGTTATCGGAGCGCGTTGGGTGTGTGTGTGGGGGGGGGGTCAAAAAAGAAAATGAGATTAATATACGCACACAGATACTCAATGATGATGCAGCACTTACTTTTCCCCTTATCCTACCAATCAGGTTTGAGGCCTTCGAGCCTAGAGTGGATTTCTTTGGTGAAGTGGCTTCGTTGAGATGAGACTCGGGGGTCTCGCTATTGACACCGTTGAGAATACTGATCGAGAGCTTCTTGGGGGCGCTTTGGGGGGCATGAGTTTCCCTAATTGGTGAGGACTTGGCCGGCATGGATTTTAATGAATGTCGGCTGGAGACAGATTTCGAGCCGACGGCGGTCTCGTTTGGAGAGGAGATTGGATGAGAAACAGATGATGGAGAAATCTTTGAGCTCGATAGGGTGGGTCGCCGATGGACGCTATTCCTGATGAATACGTTCAATGACATCATCGATCTCCGACCCTGAACTTCGCCCTCATTTTGAGTCTTCTCAAGTGCTTTGGTCGCCTTGTTGTTCTTCAATCCACCATTCGAGCTATCGTGACTGATGGTCGATTCTGTCAGATTGGTGGTTGATTTGTCGGAGAGATTGACCGACTGGTTCCCAGACGTCTTGCGCGAGAAGAAGGGAATGCCAGATGGCGTGCGACGGGAGCTGAGGCCACTGCCAATAGATGGTTTGAGTGCTGGTACAGCGAAACCAGCGGTAGTAGTAGTAGTATCAGTGGTCAGAATACTACTACCACTCTCCTTACGATTTCGACTTGCGTCGGTCTGGCCGGAGGGGTGAAAGGATGACTCGGGGCGATTTGATTGGTTGTGAGCGCTTGAATGTAGAGATTCAGGGGCAGGGTGATGAGTTCCAGTAAGCCATGAACCGCGCTTCGTGTGAGTTGCTAAACCGCCTACGGCTTCTCTGGATTCACAGAGTTGGTGGTGAGAATTGGCAGGCGAGAGGACTGGGTGAGCGATCGGATGATGATCGTCATGGACACTATCTCTACTCGAGTGTCCGGTTTTGTTCATTCCCAAGGCGGCAGATAGGCTCCATTTCTTATTCTGCTTCAGATTGGAGGGGTGTGAGCTGGGTAGGTTCGAGCCAATGTGATCCTCCGGACTCTTCTGAGAGGTGAGTGAGTGTAGAAATCTTGAGGTGGCTGAAGCGCCACTCGAAGGAGTGTTGACTGAGAGTTGTGAGTCGATGGTAGCAACGGAGGGACTGAATGGTTCGCGCTGATCGTGTGAAGCTCCTTCGGGGGGTAAGAGTTTATGGGGAAGATGAAGAGAGTCTGTTTGAGGGTTGTTAGTTCGCGTGTTGTTTGTCAGTTGGATTGATGAATGAGATGGACGCCGGCTTTGAGGTTGGGCCTTGAAGGTTTCATAATCTTTGGGTAGAGGTGGCACGGGTGGGATGCTGCTAATCTTCTCGCCAGTATCGGTGGTGAGATTGGATGAATTGGAACGTTCCAAATGACGGCCTGTGTCGGCTCCAGGACAATTGTTGCTATAAACCGAACTAGCTTCGCTTCCAACACTGCTACGACTCTTGGTGGGAGAGGAGCGACTGGGGACAGTAGTGTTAGACTGCGAGTGACGATGATGATGTTGTTGTTGGTGATGATGAGGGGGGAAAGACGGGGAAGAGACTGAGGTAGCAAGGGTGCTCTCTCTTGACTCGGCGGTGGTGGTGGTAGCACCTGTAGTATAGCTAGTCGAGGATGACGAACCGCGTTTCCAGTTAGATTGGATGGCAGGAGAGCTGGCCGATGAGAGAGCGATCTTCGGAGAGGAGCTGTTGCCGTCCAATTCAGCTTGGGTGGTGGGTTTGGTATGTGGTCCTTTGGGAGCAATCGAGTGAAAAACTTGACGAGGACTACTCGAAGCTGATGATAGCCCATCGACGGTTTTAGTGGGATGATGAGCAGAAGTGAGTGATTGGTGGTGAGCGAGATGGGAGGGAGAATGAGTGGTGGCGGCGGTGGTGGTGGTAGCCGTGTTTGAGGATTGGAAAGTTGAACGTTGGATGGAGGGTGAGATAGGATGATCTGACTGAAGGACGTAGGAATCGTCGGTGAAGGTGACTGGCGAGTCCTTGCTACTGGCGATACTCCGAGTACGTGTTTTCTTGAGGGAGGTTGTAGAAGGTGGATCTTGGGTGAGTTTTGATCGATCCTTGGGGGCACTTCGATCCTTGACACTCGCGGCTGATGGTGAGCTGGGACGAGAGTTGGAACGGCTGGTGATGGAACGACGACGAGGGCCGGTAGAAGTAGGACGGTTGTGGTGGGGATTTGATAGATTAGGGTCTTTGAGAGAGTGCCTGGTGGCTCGTGGTGATGATAGACCGTCGAGCTTGCGTAAGGCTTCGGCTGTGTCATCGTTCTGGGCGGCCACCTGTTGGATATCCATGTCTTCTAGGTCCGTAGAAACCAAGCCAGACGAAGCGGATCTCAGAATGGAATGGGCGATCGTTGAGGGTGAGGAGTGATGTGAGAAGGATGAGAGTGGGTTAGATTGGGTAGGTTTGTTGGAACTGGCGATGTTACTTTGAGTGTGATGATGATGATGATGATGATGATGTTGTTGTTGTTGTTGATGATGATGGATAGGCTCGGGTTTGCTGGGTTGATGACGAGGGTGTTTGTCTGGATCATGATGAGGCTGATTGGATTGAGGGCATGAAGACTCGCTCGGCATTCGATCGTGTTGCTTTTTCCCAGCGGCGCCTTTGAATATATTCTAGTGTATGATGATGAGAATAATAGTGGTGGTAGGATCAGTACACAGACACACACACTCCCACGGAAGAGATGAAGTTGTTGAGGGGACTGACCATAGAGGATTTGAAGTCCTTGAGGGATTCGATTGATTTCATCACTGAGAGTTTTCTGGAAGATCTGTTGGGTTGGTTGAGTTCATGGGATGAGGCTGGGGAGGATGATGAGCAGGGTGAGGCAGATGATGATGGTTGTTGTTGTTGCTGTTGTTCGTTGTTTGGGTTGAGGACGCGCAGACGGGAGAGATGTTGGATGTGATTGAGGGTTGGGCTGGTGAGAGGGTTGGCCAGCTCGGCTGGGTTATGATCGTTGTTGGTGGTGGTTTGAAGTGGATCGCTGGTTGAGGAGGTATGCTGCAGATGAGGAGAGGGAGATGGTGAGTGAGGGGTTCTCATATATCGAAGTCAATAGTTGGGTTTATTCACCTCCTACCGTGTAGCCCTTGAGGATGTTCCTCTCCCCAGTTAATTTCGTGATTGTCGAGTGGTGATATTGGTAGATTGTGGTGGTTGTTGTAGTTGTTTGGTTTGATCTGTTAGTCCATCTTGGGTATGTGAGTTCTGCTAGTCCTACTAGGATCGATCTGTCGGTTGATAAGGGCTGAGTGGGGTTGAGTTTGATGTGGATGGTTGTAGTTGTAGGTTAGTTGGTTTTCGTTGTTGCTGTTGTTGTTGTTGTTGGTTTGAGTTGGTTCTTGAGTTCTTGATGATGTGGTTGTATTCTGCCATCGTTGGTGAATCGATCAGTGGTTTATCTGAGTTGGAGTTAGACATGTTGTTGTTGCTGTTTTTATGTTGTTTTTATGTTGTTGTTGTTGGTTGTTGTTGTTGGTTTTTGTTGGTTGTTGTTGAGGGTGATGATGACAGAGTGTTGAGATGGGGGATGAAGTTGAGATGATGGATGATGATTTGACTAAATTAAAAAAAAAAAAAACTGTAAAAACCTGAGAGTGAGTCACACCATCAAATCACCAATCAGACCAAACAACAAACAACATACAACAAAAACAGAAACCTGAATTAAATAAGAAAACAAGTCATAAGCTTATGTACGTATTAAATTTCTCATACATCTGTAGATCATCATCATTCATCCTTTATTTCATCCCCTCTCATCTTACACCAAGGGTAGGTACAACTGAGACAACACAAAAAACACCCATCGCCTCCCCCCCCCCAAGATTCACCATACAAACCCATCTTGGCATCTGCAAGAAACAGACTTCAAAGTGAATTTAAACAAGTATCCGTCATGAAGTCTCTTCTGTGATGATGCTGGGGCAAGATAAAACATAGCACCTAGCATCCCATCATCAGAGGTGATCAGAAAGACCATCAAATCCTGCTCTCAAACTCAGGCCTCAAAGATACACAAAGATAGTATCACTTACCACTATCAACCTGAAGGCTGTCCTATCAAGATCACAAATCATACTCAGAATCATATGTGGTCACTTGAACTTGTTGGTCCAGTTTGGGAAATTTAGATTGACTCAATTAAAAACCCATTCCAACATGTTGATCAACTTGAGCTGTGTTCAAAAAAGCATGCTGACCAAACCCAACTTGATCTAGTGCATCTCAGAAAATCAAATCTGACTCAACACACCAAATTCACTCTGATCATCAACCTCAACCTCATCAGGTATCTATGCCACACCATCAATCAAACTTCACAACTTCATCATTCACTTTCACCTTAATATTGTGATGTCATTCTCATTACATAAGCAGTCCATCTCCTTCATCTTCCACTTCTTCTTGTTCATCTGCCAAATCAAATCATATCCTTTGATATTTCAAACATGGAACATTGTTCATTCGTAACATGAACAAGCCTCTCAAATCTTCCAGACCCACCCACCCACCCACACACAAGCACCACAACAATAACAAACATCAACCATCAATACCTACACTCACCTACCCAACTTTCTCTTCCAGCAAGCCTTAGACCATCTCTCAAAGAAACCAGAAAGCCCTTCAAAGCCATTCAAGATCATACCTATCTGATCACATGCTCTTCATTCTTGTTTATTTTACTCTGTTGGAACAAGACAAGAAAACTTGACCATGAAAGTTCATCTGATCTCTCAGACCCAGTCTTTGTCAATCAATCACTTCTCAATTTATCTCTCTCATTGTATCTCCCAACCAATCAGTAGGTTTGAAGTTTGGAGATCTTCAACAGATTTCTTGCTTTCTTTCAATTCATCAGAATCCATCAGTCTTATGGGTTCAAGTCATTATCATCATTGAGTCAATATTTGATAATCAAGTCTTGAGAACCTTTGGAGGGAATTCAATCATACTTTGATATGGTCAAGTGGTGTTTGATATGAAAATCATCTGGTGAACATGCTCACCAACACTAATGTCCTGAGAGTCTGATAGGTTTTTTTTTGCAGAAAGAAAAGGAAAAGGGAATCATAAGAAAGAAAGAAAGAAAAAGAAATACACACATGTATTGATCATCCCTCTTACTCTCTCTCTCTCTCTTTTAACTTTTGTCTCTCTCTCTCTCTTTAGTTTTTTGGCCAACTTCGGTGAGAAAAGATACAATATAGAGGAGGGAGAAGGTGCCTTGGAAGCAACTAGAGCAGACGTGGATTGATGAATAAATCACAACTAAGAAAAAAAAAAACAGAGTGGATGATTCACACCGCTAAAGAGAGAAAACGATGGCCTGGGGGCCTTCTTCCTGCGCACCTCTCAGATACAATCCACATCGGTCGAACAATGGTTCTTCTGACGATCGCCAAGTATACTAAGCGATAGCCGGGGTAGAACTGATCCCAGCCTCGGCAGCACGGAGCTCAAAGACGAGCATCCTCCCTAAGACGATTGATCAGCTTGGTTAGCATCCTACTACTATTCTTTTTCCAGTCAATGATGTGGATGAGCCTTACAAAACTTTAGAGTGAATTCTTCAGCTTCTTCGGCCAAAACCGGCTCCAGTTCTTCCACTAAACCTTGTGCATCCTTTTTAGCCCGGATATGGTCGATGATGGCTACCACTAGTTCATCCTCCTGTAGACCCAAGTAATCGATAATCTTCTTATCGGCGAATGGCTTGAGCTTGTCGTTGATAATCGACTGAAACATCAACGCAATCACACACAAGGGAGGCAAATAATAAGCATTGATAGAGAGCCACTGAATACCACAGAAAAGCTACATACTTCACTTAGCCAATTCCATTTGACCTCAACCTTCCACAACGCGTCCTTATCGTTGGGCACCGAGGCTACGATCTCTTTCATCTTCAGTTTTTTCTTTTCTTCAGAAAGTGCCGGTGATTCTTGAGACGTTAGATGACCTTTGCCAAATCGGATGTTGATCTTTGCAGCTGCGGCGTTTTCAGTAGTTTGTTGCTTGCTGTCATCATCATCGTATGTCAGTGGAATCAACGCGCGCTTCTTCTTGAATCCGTCATCATCATCTTCACCATTCCCAAGCAATCCACCAGCCACCTTGGGCTCTTTCTTCAAAGAGATCGGCTGAATACCTAGTGTTCCGCCAGCTGGATTGCCAGATTTTGCTGATCCATTCGGGTTCGCACCGAACCCTCCGAACGACAGCTGGATCGGTTTCCCCCCTTCATCCAGCTGTAATAAGCCGGCCTTTCGATTTTCGTCTTGCATCTTCGCTATCATCTCAGCCTGCTTGCTTAAGAACTCTTCGGACTCCCTGCGGATCGCCTCCAGCTGTTCATTCTCTAGTTCCTCATCGATCCGGTCCGATTTCTCTTCGCGCTGCCTGAACGCCCGTCTTACGCTTCGCCACTTGGATCGGTTCGAATAGAACAGTTCCTTGCCACGATCCATTTCAATTTCATCATCCCAATTCGCTAATCGGGTTTTGGTTTGATGCCGCAGACGGGCCTCCTCCTCCTTGATTGACTTTTCACGCTGCTGTTCGCGTTGATTAGTTTGAGTACGATTACGCTCTCGAGTTTCCCACCGCCGCTCACGATCTTTGAACTCCAGATGATTCATCCGCTTCCGTCTATCCTCGCGTAACTTTTCTTCCTCCTCATCAGTCAAGGGGGCTCCGCCATCTATCCCCAAGTTCGGTGTACTCAGGGCGTTCTGCTTCGCAGCCGCCATTTGACCGGCACGGACAAATCCCATGGGTCGATTGGACGACTGTGAATCATTCCCGGCCATCGAGCCTCCACCAGATGTATTGGGAGTTCCGCGGGGACCCATCGGTGTGCTGTTAGAGGATCCGTAACCGGCTTTGCCATTTGCGGCGTTGTACCCCCTGGGCCCAGCGGGTGAACCAGAACCAGAATCACGATGACCCCTCTCACGTTCCTTGGCCGCTTTCTCAGCTTCACCTCGTTTACTGATGGCTCGTTCTCGGAAAAATTGAATCTCTCGGGTGATCGTGCCTCTCGATTCTTCGGGCAGGTCCTCAGGTGCCAAGTCTTGCAAGTGAGCTGCCGAGTTTTTCTTAGAGTTGCCATTCGCGCTGTTGATAGAGGAGTTTGGATCGGTGGCAGTTGCCGCGACAATGTCGGGATCTTTCATTTGGGAAATCAGGCCTTCAAGCCGTTCAATCGCCTGGGTGTCTAACTCGGCATCTTGCTTTTAGTCAGCCGGCGATCATGTAGAAAAGGTTGTCAGTCCAATCATTCACTCGAACATCATCATTTAAATTTGATCAGCAGGATGACGTTCTCACATCGGTTTTAATTCTGTTAGCCTCATACGCATCCAGTCTGGCTTTTGTCTTATCATCTGGCTTGATCATCAATGTTTTTTCGCCTGCTCGGCCACCATCGATGGGAAGACTACAGCCATGCACAACTTTCAAACACCTCAACACGGTTTCAGGATCACCATATTCTGCAAATCCGAAAGGTTTTGGCTTGCCGTTGGGATCTCGGATCCGGCGAAGCGAGACGAGATGACCGGCGCAACCCAACAGACGTTCGAGCCAGGCATCGTCAACTCCCTCAGCAATGGATCCTACAAACAGACTGTATATTTCGGTTGGTGCAGGCCTTGGTGGCAGAGCTGGGGAAGGAGCTGGTGGGGTTTGGTTGAGGTTTGTGGCGGAGGGATAATTGAGCGGGGGTGATACGATGGAATTAATATTGTGAGGTTGTCCATGGGAGCCAAGACCGGCGTGTCGATTGGGTGGTGGGAAGTAACTACCGGGTGGAGGATGATGAGGAAACTGATGTGGGTGTGGTTGAGGTATGATACCAGGGGGGGCGAGGTGAGGGGGTGGATGGAGATGAGGGAAGCCAGGTGGGGGAGGGAGGTGTTGGAAGGGCATATGACCAGGAGGTGGGACGGGTGGAGGGATTCCGGACTGTGCCGATTGAGGTTGTTGGGATTGAGAGGGTGGTGGTGAGGACTGTGGGCCTGATTGGGTTGATTGAGGAGGTGGTGCGAACCCACCAGGATGGCCAGGCTGTGGACTAGGGTTACCAGGAGGAGACATGGTATTCGGAAAGCCTGGGGTCTGCTGAGGTGAATGGCTTGAACTGGGTGGAGCGAAGGGTGCCGAGCCCGGTGGAGTTGGAAAAGTACTGCCTGGAGGAGCGTAACCGATGGGTGGAGGTTGTCCGTTGGGAGGATGATAGGGTGGATAAGCTGAGGAGGGCAAGAGTCAGAGTGAGAATGAAGCCAGGTCGATTACATCGAAAAAAAAAAAAGAAAGAAAGAAAATGGAATGTTTGAATGAGAAACCGAGTTTTGACGAGGTCACTCACCACTGCCGTACATGCTGATCGAAGAAAACTATGCAGTAGTGGTTTGGGATATGTAAGCTTACGATTGAGCTCCGGATGACGATCGAAGTAGATCAGAGTAGACTCAGGAGGACACTGCACTGAACTGTCTCTCTCTCTCTCTCTCTCAGTTTCTGTTGTCGCAGCTTGGCGGTCGTGAAGTAACGAAGTATTTAGTTGTTTGTTCCTCGCCGGTTCTCGTGGTCAACAACTGGATTGCTGGGGAATGGTTTTCAGCTGGGCAGGGGAGGGGGGGGGGGGCTGTCTGACTCGGTTGGGGATCTTGCTGAGGATTACATAATCAAGCCGAAGGGGTTTTATCTGTGGAAGAAACCCATGGTGGTTAGGTTTAAACAGATTCACTTCCAACTGACACTGGAAGCTTGCAGGCTGCTGCACCCAAGAAATACCTCATTAAAAAAGCCTTCATTGGAGCTGAAGACAATGTTTAAATCCAAGCCAGGGACTGCTCAGCTTGTTACTTAGAAAACTCACTCATCTCACATTCAACACACACACTTCTGCAGAACAGGATGAATTCAACAAAAGGCATTCATTCCATCACAAGCCAAGTTATTTGTCATCTGATCCTCATATCAGTCAGGAATATCATTAGCTTCTTCACATCACATGTGTATTCCTAGAGTTGTGTACTTGATCAGGGACTTGGATATTATTCTACTGGAATCAAAACAGTCTAGCAGGATCATTCAACTGATTGAAACCCCCTTTTTTTTGGTTTTCAAGGGGCAAACACGTAAATGAAGCAGAAAAAATGATGTGCATACTTTGGAAATTACAGAGCAAGATGTGGAATCATCCATTTGAAATGCAGGCAGAGCAAACAGACACTAGGCCAGATCAAATTCAACACAGGTACTAACACACATTTCCAGGCTGCTAAGGGCTGCTACAACAAAATTTGTTGAAATATACATACGAGCCCGTCAAAAGAAGAAAGGAAAACAAAGTCATGCATTACAAGGCAATTGTTACAAATAAGATCCCATCGATATATTCTTCGAAAACCAGCTCATCACCTGTCACCACCAGGCTCGTCTATTCTAGTAGCCATCAGTTTGGGTCTCACTTCGAAGCCGTCATTGGCGCCGCAGGACTGGTCACTGCTATGTACAAGAGCTGATGGATCGGATCAGATGACTCAGCTTGTACGCTCTTAGATACTTAAGCGATCTTGCAAACGTTGTCAGCCTGTTGACTCCCTAATCTTGAAATCAGAGTTTTGAACGCAGTCTCAACAGAAATCCGTCGTCATCATCATCTTTTTTTTTTTTTGAAAATGAGGATGAGAGCTATAAAGAACTGATCAGAGGGTGGTCGTGGTGACGCGGATGACGATGGGCACGGTCCAGGTGGTCTACTGGCAGATGGGCGAGGAGGCGCGAAGCTCGTTGGAGACAATCCTGGCGAGGGCTGGATTATTGAGTTCATGAACTGCATAGGTTCAACTTCCACGTCGGAATCTGAAGAAGTTACAAGACGTTTGATGACTAGGATTGCGTCGAGAAAAGTTTACCGCCAGCACTGTGAGGGAAGACAGAGTAGGCTTGAGCAAATTGCGTTGGGATATGAGCCCAAGTGCCGTGCCGTCCATGTAGGCCATGACTCAGAGCCCGATCCGGATTCTGTTGTGCCTGCACAGCTAAATGGAAGAGCATCAAACCATCAAGTGAGTTAGCTTCGGCTGTCTAACGACCAAGCATATCCCCAAGCTCCTCGTAAGCTGTTTCACCGGTCTCCTGGCCAGTCGCACGGTAACTACCAGCCCCGCCGTCATCCATTGGAAGAGAGATGTTCTTGACTTCGTCTAGTTAATTGTTTTCGCTTGTTGTCAGTATGATGTTGACGACCCTTCTTGTGTGAGTTCAATCATGATAGCCTGTGGGATGTAGTGGTTATCGACCGGGTGAAACGAGATATCGTTCTAGTTGATAGCCAAGCCCAAATGACAGATGATCGATCCAATTCAACCAAAAATTCAGCCGTCGCAGCGAGACCATGGAGGTTGAGAGGTGCTGTTGAGGATTGATCTGCCTTCTCAGAGTCGTTCTGGTTGGTCCTGTGCGTCTTAGGAACAAGAAAGGGTGCCTGGATTGAGAGTGAGAGCCGTGCCAGCGAGAAAAGCCAGATGGATCTATTCGGAGCAGATGATCATGGATTGGTATTTAGAATTTTTAGAAAATGAAATGCCCCGATCGACTACCGGAGGATCGCTACATACCGGCAAGGCTGACCCCCCGGGGCTCGAGGCCTCGAAGTTGCCATACGTCCATCCGCGTTATTGGAAAGTTGGCGTATTCCAATTGGTTGGAACCCACAAGCTGAAACTTCTGAGTTGACTGGACCTTTTTGACAAATGAATCGACCAACGACTACCAAGGCGGAATCCAAGACACCTCGAACGGCTCGCGATGCAATCGACGGTGAGCATGAGCAGACCCCCCTCCCAAACGCAGACAGCTCCGAATTGATTACCTTACTTGTTCTGTCAATAGTCTTACACGAGATAAGTGAGCTATTGGGGACTGGCTTGGATCAACAGACACTCGCATTATGTGTGGGGATGATAGAGGAAGGCACGAATCCATTGGCTCTAGCTGTAAGCCTTGCTCTCTTGCCGATTCCGACCTGCACCCAGAGAATACCCGTTAGATTTATGTTGGCGACCGTTTCGACAGCAAGTAGTCCAGGAGCTTAGACAGGAAGCAAAAGGAAAAGGGAAGGCGACCCCAGCATTTTTGGCGTAACTTGGCCCATCTGGACTGGATATTGGATGTCAGCCAACTTCTCAACAAGTCGATCATATTTGTGAGCTATGAATAAGATCAAGGTTGACGTTTAGGTAGACGATCATCAAATCCGGAACGCGACTCCTTATATCCTAGTGAACTGCAAGCTTAAGCTAGGAAGGATCTTTGATGTTGAACCACCTGTAAAGTTTGGAATCGCTTCGATTGAGACTTCGTTTGGAAAGATTCAATATTTCGAAACACAGATTTATCACTTCACACATGGTTGGTATAGAATTAGGTGAAACAGAACAAAGCAAGCAAGCATTTTTGAGAGGAATTCTGCCAAGTTACAAAAACATAAATAGATCATCAAAGGCTACTTTTACACGTATAGAGAGGGGCTTCCGAATTTCGATCAGTATCAATGTCATCCCAGAACGGGACTTCGACCCCAAAGACTGAACCCACTGAAGGTGTTTCCGAATGCAGGGCTCCCATGGATAGAAGGAGATTTGAGGTAAGGGCTTTGAGGGCCGGTGGGATGAGATTTCAGCGGATTCGATCGAGACATCAGGTTGGATATGTTCCACCGGCTACTGCTAGCCTCGTCATGATTGTCTTCTGCTTGCAGGTCTGTGGGCAATGGGGGTAATTTGATTGCCGATAGGTCGGAATGTGGTTGACTAGAAATGTAATTTCGTATATCGCCCAACGCGTCTTGTGATGCCATCCGGGAATCCTCACTGTTGTTGGAGAGATCAAAGATGAAGAAGTAAGCTCAACAATCGACATAATGTGTTGTGAAAAGAGAGTGATGAAGGTATACCTTTCATTCAGCTCTAGCTCAAGCCGGGAACATCTTTTTCTAAGACTCTCCAGCTCTCCAGCTTCCGTAACCTCGGAGGTCTGGGTTCCGCAATTCGTTTGACTGGGAGGCACGATGGATTTCGGAGGCTGACATTTTGTGATGTTTCTTGCTGCAGGAGAGGCTGGGTTGGAGCGGGCGGCACTCTTGGGCGGTCTTGCTGGTGGTGTTGAGAGCTTTCGTTCAAGGTTATTAGTTTGAGCTGCCTCTTGTTGAGCCGGCCCCAACGGGGAAGTTAAGCTGGTAAGTCCTGGCGCGGCTAATGGCCCTCCAATGCGTTTTTGAGGATTCTCTGAACTGAGAACTAGAACAGTGGATCTTTTCGTCGCTGCATTCACCACTCCAGCCATTCCACCGCCAAAGACATAAGAAGAGTTACGTCTTGGTGAGCTCAACAGCCCCTTAGCTTCGTCAGTGAGAAGGTATGACGAATTACGCCGGGGTTCAAGATGATAGTTCTGTAGGCTTCGACGTTTGTCTTGATGGAGGACCTCGGCTTGCAACTTACAGAAAGCTTTCTTACTTTCATGGACTAGCTGCCCAAGACTTCGAACCTTATCTTCGGATTCTCTTCTTGAGCGGTCGGCTTCATTCTCCGCCTCTACTGCTCGGAATCGTATCTTCAAAAACTCCAATTCATCGACGTAGTCTGAGCAGGATGATTGAAGACTAGCATAAGCAGCTCTCAAGGCGGCCAACTCATGGAGTAGTTTATCGTTGACTTCGAGCTGGCTTGACATCTGGTGAGCTAGTATCGAGATGACTTCGTTTCTCGCTTCCAGTTCATCTTCCATTCGATCGGATTTGAGTCGGTTGAAGTGCTTTTCCAGTTGAGCTTCAATTTCTTCAGCGGGGAGGCTCATGAATTGGCCGACCGTGGTAGAGATTTGAACTGGCTTGTAGGGTTTTCGTGTTGATACATCATAGTTGGTTTCTTGCGCTTGAATAACAGAATTATAGGTGTCAAGCTGCGGTAGGCACAGAGGAAGAATATCTGTTGAGCTTTCAAACATAGCATGAACCAAAGTAGATGGATTGCGGGTAAACTTACCAAGTCAGGTTTCGTTGTTCGACTGTTCAATCCCACAAGGGGAACCTCGCAAGGAACCCCTTTCATTTGGGAGTGCACAACTGGGGGGAAGCTGCCACCCATGTCCGAGATCTTTGGTGTAATCTCACTCAAATGTGGTGCTGGGTCACCTTCCACTTTCTCGCGTTCCTTCAACTTTAACAGGTTGGTTGCAAACGCCGATTTGAAGTCGTCGGTACCAAGATAGCGGGATGTTTCACTGCGGCGACGCTCAGCAAGCGGCGGAACCTTTGAATTGGCTTTATCAATACCAGGACGGTCTTGTTCGGAGAGAGAGTTAGACCTGCGTCTACCATGTGGACCGAAAGATGTGGACTCTTTATCGTCCACTCTTTCAGACTTTCTTTGGAGGATTGAGAGTGATGGGGAAGGTCGTATGGTTGGCGAGATGGCGCCAAAGGGCTTGGCGAGATTGGAGATGTTTGTTTCAGATTTGGAAAGAGAGATATTGGTGGTGTTGAGAAATGGTACGGCTGGAAATAGGCGATGAGTCTCATGCAAGGCAGCTGCTTGCGAAATGGACTGTGAGGTTTCGTCATTGCTAGTGGCAGATAAACTGGGTGTAATTGGCAGAGCAGATGAATCTAGGGACCAAGCCGAGCTGGAAGAATCGTAGTGGAGCATTGCCGCCATTTTTTTGAGGGGAGAAGTTGATCGTATTTTCGGAGATAATGAGGATAGGCAAGATTAACTTAGTGACAGTACAGATTAGTACTCAATTTCACGTCCGGCTGCTTGCGTGGCTGGATTGAAACAGTTGAGATGGAGGCTGAGGAGAGAGAATTGGTTGCTAGTGAAGGACAGATGAAATATTCGATTAGACGATCTGAGTGCTTTCCCTATTGGAAGGATATAGAAAAGTAACGGATTGATGTTTAGGGAAATTCTTGACAAGTTCGCCAAAGAAGAGGAAGGATGATTTTTTGATTAATATGCCAGCGGAAGGCCGGATGAGTCGAGGACGGGTAGAGTGGACTGGTCTGATTTTCACAGTGGGGATAGATTCTCTACCCTCAGCAGCTGCTAATTGACTAGGCTTTATATAAGGAATGGTGGTCCTTGAAATCCACGTGGTCTGATGGAGGAATAAGCTGACTCCAGCCGGTCCAGGAGAGAAGATGCTGTACCTGCCAGCGTGGATGAGCATACTGCCTGAGGCCTACTATTAATGAGTCTACAGTTCGAGGGGAGCCTGCGGTCAGCTTCGCAATGAGACCGTTATCGAGCTGACTCTTTTTAGGCAAGATACAGCTTCAGTCCTGGATAGGCTACTCAACAACATAGGCTGCTATGCTTCATATAGGTGCATGTCGAGGACGAAAAGAAGCATTCAACTTTCGCGAGAAGGAGAGAAAGACTTATGACGATCGCTTCGGATCGCTAGCCTTCAAGCATCTCAAGTCTCCTGAGAAGAAGCCATGCGCCCGTTGCTGCTAGTAATTAGTAGGAAGGAATAGATAAGGGATAGAAGCCTGCCCTACAGAACTAAACTTGCTATGTATCTTTCCGGGATAGCTGAGGGACGAAGAGGACTTCCTACCAACAAGAGCAACAAGCTCGCCCTTGAATGCTATTTGAAGGGTATTTTCAAGCCTGTGGGATGCATCGACCGAAAAGCATGGCGACCTCTCGCCGGACCTTTAATTCATTCGCTTCCCGTGAGTTGCCTTTATCCCCTGAGTGACTCATCCATCCACAGACGCACCTTCGAATGTCAAAAAATCCCGGTGGCTTCCGCTTATGCTGCCCGATGTCATCAACCGACCAATATCCAGACAAGAATATTATCTAGACAAGAACATTTGAGACCTCCATGTAACGCGATGCACAGAAATCTCGACGTTCTTCAGGGCGGTATCATCGAAAAGCGGTATGTTATGAATTGGACGATGGTCCCTGATCGCTTTGTCGGACCATCTGTTGCTGATCTCCCGCAAGCTGGAGGGCGTCAGAGCACTCGCCGCCAATGGGACGATCGGTTGAGACTTGCTTCGACCGGATCCAAAGCTCCACCGACTTCATTTAATTGGGAACTCGACCGATTCCAGTGCGACAATGGAGATCAGAGATGCGTGAATCGGTCAGTACTTGAGTGTGGAGGCAGTTGTAAATTTGTTTTTTTCCTCATTTCCAATCTCATTATTGCCACTTGAGTTCTCCGGTAAATTGACCCTCTCACTCACTCACTCACTCCCTCCCTGTTCCTTCGTCCAATAATATCTTAGTGTTAGGGATGGGCGTAATTTCTTTCGGTCAGATTCTCTCTAGTTTTTTTCAAAATTCGTATTGGTAGAACCACCCTCCACTCATTTCCTTGTTTTCTGTGGGCCAGAGATTTCTGTTTGTTTTTTTATTTTCTTGATAGTAAGAGGAAATGACAAGACGAGACGCTCGCGCACAACGACGAGATGGGAAATCAAAGAGACCAGATCGAGCAAGCTCAATGAGAATGAGAATCAGATTGATCTTGATTTTATGATTGACGGCGGAAGTTGTTATATCCTCGTGCCCCCAATCTGCCGAGCTAATCTGCCGAGCTTATCAGGACGACCATACCACCCCCATCCAGATCGATAGACCAAGCGGCAAGCTAGGTGGCGCAAGCAATGCACTTGCAAGGACGGGTACTTTAAATCGGGTGTTGCTTTCCATAGACGTGAAGTAAGAGAGTATATCTGGGAATACAACAACAAACAACCGGGAAACGCAATAGAGGATGTCCTGTCCTGAGTTGATACCAACCCAGCCCAATCCGACAACGCACGCTCCTGAAAACTCATTGTGATACTCTGCAAGTGTTGAAGAAGTAGATGGTTTTTCAGACCCCGGAATTTAAAAATTTCATACAAGCTTAAAATTGTGCAAGAAGATCAAACTTGAGGAGGGAATACCAAAGACGCACTGTAGTTATTGGGTTCACCATTGCGAAAAGCTTGAGCCGCTACTTCTATCCTGAGGTGCAGCCAACATTTTGCGCATCGTTCCCCTTTTTAATCTCTCCCTCCTAAAGTCAAAAGACCTAAATAAGCAGCCAAGCAAGCGATTTAGATCTTCAAGAATGGCATTTACACCCAGCTTGTCTTTGTCACAACACTTCGAGGTCTGGTCCCTTAGACAAGAACTTTTGGTCGCGTCTTGTACATTGCATCGAAATTAGCCGTCGAACAATGCAATATCACCCCGGTCAGTTGCGACCCTGATATGCGAATAAAAAACTCACTCACAAAGTACGTATTGAAGTGAGTCTGGGTCATAGTAACTGCAAGCATGTCGAATATAGACTGGTCCACTACAAGCGGAAACAAGTGCAAACTTGAGAGTCAACAAGATACATATCGATATGATAACGTGCATGTTGGACTCGGAGGGAGATACGGCTGAAGTGTGAAATAGTTGTATGCTTTAATTCTGGATGGAACAAGAGCCAATGTTGCCGATAAAACTGTTCCGGGGGGAGATCGCTGGCTGCAAGTGCTAGAAAACCTTGGACAACACCTGCCTTTATTTATATCGACGTTTGCCGAGTACTTAGAAAAATTTCCATGCCCGAAGAACCAATTAACCATACGATTATCCTTATGTAATCTTATTAGAAATTTCATGTTAATGAGGCGCTTTTTGGCGCGTTTAAGCCTCTTCAGCCTTACGCCAATCAACGCATGCAATCATGTGGAAGTACCAGGCTGTGTATTTATGTAGTTTTGTGGATGTAGGAGGAGCGCGGTAAGTTTGGATATGCCTGTGCTTTACATACTTGTTTGATTGTAAGAGTAATCGATAAGATGAGACGCTCGCGCAAAACAATGAGACTGCAATTTAAAGGGACAAGATCGAGTAAGCTCAATGAGAATGAGATCAATCTTGATTTTATGACTGACGGCGGGAGGTGTTAGATATATCCTCATACCTCCAATCTGCCGAGCTTATCAGGACGACCATGCCACTCCCATCCAGTTCGATAGCCCAAGCGGCAAGCTAGGTGGCGCAAGTACATAACTTGCAAAGACGGGCACACCAAGCTTTAAATTTCGTGTTGCTTTCCATAGACGTGAAGTAAGAGAGTATATCTGGGAATACAACAACAAACAACCGGGAAACGCAATAGAGGATGTCCTGTCCTGAGTTGATACCAACCCAGCCCAATCCGACAACGCACACTCCTGAAAACTCATTGTGATACCCTGCAAGTGTTGAACAAGTAGATGGTTTTTCAGACCCCGGAATTTAAAAATTTCATACAAGCTTAAAATTGTGCAAGAAGATCAAACTTGAGGAGGGAATACCAAAGACGCACTGTAGTTATTGGGTTCACCATTGCGAAAAGCTTGAGCCTCTACTTCTATCCTGAGGTGCAGAAAATCCCTGACACCTCTCTGCCCCTTTTGATCTCTCCGGGCTGCGTAAAAACAAAAGACATAAGTCAGATTGTAAGCAACCAAGCGAGAGAACTAATACTCAGGAATGACATTTACTTTCAGCTTGGCTGCATCACAACACATAGAAGTCTCGTACCACCGGCAGGGATCATCGGTCGCGCCTTGCAGATCACATCAAGATCAGCAGTCAGACAATCAAATTTCACCCCGGTCAGTTGCAACCCTGAGATGCGGAAAAAACTCTCACGAAGTACGATAGGGCTTTCACGCGGTCCAGGTCTATCATCATGGAGTTCGCAAGTATGTCGATAGTTAATATCACAAGCGGAAACCAGTGCAAACTTAAGAGTCAACAAAATAAATATCGATTTGATAGCGTGCATGTTGGAGGGAGATACGGCTGAAGTGTAAGATAGTCGTATGCTTTAATTCTAGATGGAAAAAGAGCCAATGCTTTTGAGGCGAAGGAAGAGTTGTTGAAAAAGTTGTTCCAGGGGGAATCGCTGTCTGCCAAGTGCTAGACAGCCTTGGACAATACCTGCCTTTATATCCACGTTTGCCCAGTACACCGAAAAATCTGCTTGCCAGAAGAACCAATTACCCTTACAATTATGTATCCATATGTAAGCTAAGAAATTTTATGTTAATGAGGCGCTTTCTGGCGCGTTTAAGCCTCTTCAGCCTTTTGCCCATCATAAATCAAGTAGCAGATATCATGTGCAAGTATTTATGTACCGGGCTGTTTAGCAGGTATGTACCATGCTAAAATTGCTATATGTAGCATTCACCGCCATCCTGTGCCATCTCCGACGAATAGCTGATACATATCCATAGAGCCGAGACCTGCCGAGCCACAGTGTCCGGACACCGTTTGCAAATTGCGGAGGGTCCCTTCGGGACGGCGTCCCCCCTCCCACAGAGGGACTTGTTTAAGTTAGATTGTTATGTACCCAATGCTCTTCTCGGTTTTTGATTCTGTCACAAAAGCACGGTATGATGCTGTGAAAACATACTCCATGGAAGCTGATCAAACTGTAGAGCTCGCCCTCATCATGGCAGGAGGCGGGAGGAATAACCAGATGGTCTATGTAGGAGAGACCTTTCCAGCCTGGCATGTGCAACAGCAAGTGTGCAGCGTGCAATACGATATTTCTTTGCGTTCGTTTGAAGATGTCACTTTCAAGTTATTAACAGTACTCACCAGCGACATAGTAGGACCTGCCGGAATCCAGGTACACTTCACGAGTGATTCCAAGTCCACAAGGGTAATATGACTTCCGAAGTTCTGTTGCTAAATTTGTAGCATGCCATCAGATGACATCAACGCGACCAACACCCTGTGCTTTTGTGACAAGCGATAAAAGCCGGGCAATGAGGTCAGAACAGTCATTATTGTTGGACCCGCGGTTTGTTGTTCATCATGGCAGGTACAGGGTCTAGCAACAGTGGGATGGCCCAGCGGTGAGACAACCTTTCACTCGTATTCTTCATAGGCTCCGACAAAGGTGATGTTTAATTCTAAATTGCCGTGATGCTAATGTGCCAATGGATATATAAAGCGCCGTAGGTCAGAGTTGTCATTACCTTGCCCATATCATCTCGCGCTTTGTTGCATGTAAATAGCTTTTCATCACCCCTTTATTATCGATCACCAAATTGGAAACAATCAGAAACTCGTGGCAGCGGTGCACGCTCAAGTTTTGCTCCTTGCAGTCATCATGTTCATCCAGAAAACGCACCTTTTCATCATAGTTTTAGCCACTTCAGCTTGGGGGTTCCCTCTTCGTCACTTCAATCGAGGCCAAGAGAATGTGCTTCAAGTTAGAAATCCCCCCACCTCTGCAGACGTTTATCAGAGAATACACAAGGTAAGCTATTTCACTCGACAGGACCCGTTCAGCAGCTATTTTGTCTGGACCACACTTACCTTTCTTCATTTGTGCGCCGCAGAAAAGACAAGCGCCTCCAGAAAAGCCCGCAGGAGGTGGTTCAGGAATGCCCAGTGAGGCTCCCAAGACACCCGCCACCGATCCGAAAGCAAAGATGTCGGCCAAGCCCACCGACAAAACCGATGGTACTCCTCCGAAGGAAGCCAGTAAAGCCCCGGAAGCTGCTCCCCCCAATACCAGCAAACCTCCAGAGGCTGCTCCTCCGAAGGAAGCCAGTAAACCTTCAGAAGCTTCTCCTCCAAAGGAAGCAGCTAAGCCTCCAGCCGCTCCTCCAAAGGAAGCATCTAAGGCTCCAGAAGCCCCTCCAAAGGAAGCAGCCAAGCCCCCAGAAGCTCCTCCAAAGGAAGCGGCTAAGCCTCCGGAAGCTCTTCCAAAGGAAGCAGCTAAGCCTTCAGAGGATCCTCAAAAGGAAGCAGCTAAGCCTTCAGAGGATCCTCCAAAGGAAGCAGGTAAGTCTCCAGAGGCTCCTCCAAAGGAAGACGGGAAACCTACCGAAACTGGGGCAGCTCCCGAACCAACCGACAGAACCCCATCAGAAACTTGGGCGGCCCCCGAACCAGCCGACAAGAAATCTCCAGAAGCTGGTCCGGCTCCCGAACCAACCGGCAAAAAACCTTCAGAAACTCCTGCACCATAGGAGGACAGTAAACCCCCGGAAGACGCCCCTCCAAAAGAAGGCGGTAAGCTTCCGGAAGCTGGGGCGGCTTCTGAACCAGCCGACAAAAAACCTGCAGAAACTACTCCACCGAAGGAGGCCAGCAAAACACCAGAAGCTCCTCCTTCAAAGGATGCCGGTAAACCTCCAGAAACTGGCGCGGCTCCCGCTCCGACTGATAAGAAAGACGCAGCCCCACCGGCGCCTGCCCCGTCCAAAGGTCCTGACGTGTCCAAAATCAAAGAGGCCTTGGCCAAGCACCGGAAGTATTCGATGATTTCACCGCACGACTTAGAAAACATGTTGATGAGAAGCTTGATAAACTAGGCCAGGTACGTCAATGAGCTCTCCTTTGAAACGTACGACCTCTCTGATCTTCAGCTTCCTGACAACTTCTCTTTGACATTCGTCTTTTAGGGCCAAAAGAAAGCAGATGCAACCAGCTACCCCCAGCGCACCTGCCCCCGCCCCTAAGGCCCCGGCAACAACTGCCGACGCTAAGGCACCCACCGACGCTAAGGCACCCACCGACGCTAAGGCACCCACCGACGCTAAGGCACCCACCGACGCTAAGGCACCCACCGACGCTAAGGCACCCACCGACGCTAAGGCACCCACCGACGCTAAGGCACCACCCGACGCTAAGGCACCCGCCGACGCTAAGGCACCCACCGACGCTAAGGCACCCGCCGACGCAAAGAAAACCGCCGATGCTAAGGCACCCGTCGACGCTAAGAAACCTGACGATGCTAAGACAGCTGCACCGGCAGCCCCAGAAAAAACCCCGAGTGACCCTCCTAAGAGTGGCGGAGGATCACCTCCTCCAGCAGTCTAGGGATGTTTACAGCTCCGATTCTGCTGGAAAACAAATACTTTCAAAGAAACAGATGAACAAATTCGTTCAGCAAATCACTTCTTCAAAGCTTATCGATTGACTCGAAAAATAAAAATGAATAAAAGCCGAAATTATATTTTTTTGATCTCTGGAGAATATTTATTCTTTATGAGCCTCGGCTAAGTCAGGGTACTAGAGTTGTACAACACGGCCCGAAGGTCTTTTATTTGTGTCCATGTAGAATTGATTTCGTTTCTTGATTTTTTTGTTCATCCACTGTCTTTCTTTGATGTAACTGAATACATTCCGACCAGCTCGGTCTACGTAGAACAAACGAACCTGTTTCTCTCATCCCGTTTTGAGGTGGCCTTTCACCCGAAGACAGCGGATACCGCCCATAATGTTTTTCAAATTTGTGCCCCCTAGCGTATGTACATCTAAAGCAGTGCTTGGCAGACGAAGTAGTCCCTGTGCCAAAAATAACAAGCCGGATCGTGGAAGAATGTTGGTCTCGATATAATATATATTCCTGGACATCAACGAGAGGGTACTCATGTCATGACCCTCGACTGGAGTCTGGAGGGTGTCCGTGGTTGAGGATGGGAAGTGGCAAGTTTGCTGCGGACAGTGGATTACATAATCCACCTGGGGGAATTCTTGGTAGGAGTGTCTCTTGAGTCTTCCCCCCCAAAAAAAACAGTCGAAAACCCTCCAGTCGGTTGCCCCTACCAGCTATTTCTCACGAACAAACACACATATACATACACGAACGACTTCGTCTAGGTTATCTTCGCCGATCGAGTTGATGGATGGCCGATTCTGAGACGACCAAGGATGTCATAGCTGGCTGGGTCGGTGGTGCTGGTAAGAAGATGGTTTGCGACTACAAAGAAATCATCAAATACCTTCCCTTTCAATCCCATCATCCATAATGTTTATCAACTGCTTACTGATCAATATACCTTTTTTTTTTACTTTTCCTTTGAAAATTCCCCTGGGGAAACAAATGGCTACATAGTCGGTATCGTTATTTCTAATCCGCTCGAGGTCTTGAAGGTGAGGCTGCAAACCAATCCAAGCCCGAACCTGGACCATCCGATCAGCTTGGATACATTGCTCTTCTCCCGCTCGCCCTCGCCGCTCCACCACGGCCAGAGCAGTCCAGCGACCCTTGCACTTCAATACTCTATCCCACCCACCGGCTTCCCACATCCTCAATCCACCTACATCCAGAATACGAACCATCTCAAATCTCACAACTTGGGTAGTCCTAACTCAATCATCAGCGGCCTGAGAGGACTCTGGAAGAAAGAAGGATACAAGTTTCTGTTCGCTGGCGCGGCTGCCCCGATCATCGGTCTCGCGTTCATCGACTCATTCTTCTTTGCAACCTATGGAAAATGCATGTTTGTTTTGTTTTTGTTTCTCGATCTGATTTTATTTGCCAAATTGTTCTCAAATTGTCGAGAAAGAAAACCAAGGCTTACGGGCGTTTTCCATTCATTCTACTCTTCAGGAACACATTTCAACAAGATCGTGAACGGCCAAATCATCTAGGCTATGTATTTACATCCGGAGCGGTTGCCGGAGGGTTTTGTGCGCTCTTACAAACTCCAGTTAGTGGTTATTAGTTCAACTTTGTTTTTCTTTCGATTGATTCGGGGAAGCCTGTCGAGGTGGAAAAAGGGTCATTTCTCACGTTCACTCGAGCCCAACGAATCATCTAACTGATTGACATCATAGATCGAGGTCATCAAGTGTCGCGCCCAGGCCGAGCATCTGAATCACGAAACAGGCTCCAAATCGGGCTCATTTCTAATCGCTAAAAAAATCTACCGTCGGGACGGCTTCCAGGGGTTCTATCTAGGTGGTCTGATGACCGGTTTGCGCGACTCGCTCAGCAGTGGGATTTTCTTTACGAGTAGTAAGCATGTCACCACGTATTCACCAATAATCTTTGGACTGCTCCTTGGGCTCAAAAAAAAAAAACAGAAAGCGTCTCCTGAATCCTGAATATACGCTTTTTTTAATCAATATTCTATCTCATCAGATGCATTGATGCGAGGCGGCTTGCGGCAGCTTTACCCGCAACAAGCGACTGCCCTACCTGATCCTGGGAATTCACTGACAACTTCCACCACACGGTCTCCAGAAATCCTGGTTAACATGATTGCTGGCGGTTCGTCAGGCATGATATCTGCTCTACTACCGTACCCACTCGACATTGTAAGTGTCTAACTATTCATGTTAACCAGACCGCATCTGAATGTCACCCTTTATGTTGGAACGTGGCTCATAGATCAAGACCCGATTACAAGTGACCAAAGTCACCTCTTCCTATCAAGCCAGCTCCACTGAACCCTCTCCATTACCTCATCCAAGCCCGGCCAATTCTCCCAAATCGTCTAATGGAAGGAGCTGCTCATCATCGATCATACCCATCACCCAACAAATCTATAGCGAGGGAAAGAATCGGATGTTACCCACCTTACACCACACCCGCTTCTACCGCCTCTTCAGCCTACTCGTACCAGTTCTTGACGCATTCAGAAAATCACCATCCTCCGCATCTTCACCGCACTCTCGTCTACTCAGTCAGCGCAGACGAATCTTGAAGATCTCGCTCAAGGCGGCTGGATTGATGGGCTTCTTCAAAGGCTTAAAGCCTACCTTACTCAGTAGTTTTGTTGGCTCAGCTATCACTATGGGCATCTTTGAATTCGTTTTTGACTTCCTTGGCAATCCAGTACATTAGTCGTGCTAAATAAACGCTTGATTTTGTGCCCCTTGACCACCCATACTTACCTATCCTTACCTCTTTAATTGAGGGGTATCTTCCGATGTTGTTTATAGAGATGCGCATACATAATTGTTTATTAATTTGCAAGTTCCTTTACCATTCCTACCACTTGCCTTGACTACATCAAATGGATGAAAAGTGTCAGGCTCCCAGGGATATGAATGGCGAGGCTTACAAAGGTTGCGCTGGCGGGCTTCGCGGTCTTGTGTAGCCAGAGACACCGGTGTGCAAAAGTAGGTCTGTGTAGGCACACCTCCAATTTCAAGATTACAAAAGGTACAAACATTTTCATTGGCCAGAGAAGGGAACACAGTACAATTGATAGAGGAGTAATCGAAGGAGAAGCTCGCAGTCATCAGAAACAGTCGGGTTCAAAACAGATTGGAGAACATCAATCAGCCCACGGGATCCATAAGATCCGAGGGTGATACCAGCTTTCCAATTCTGAGAATTGAGCCGATGATCATCAGTTGACCAACACATCCACAAATGGCTATAAACAGCCAAGACAAGAAGACTGGAGAAAACCCAAATGGGATGTGAAGGGGAGGAGGAAAACGAAGCGATCGGCGACCAAGCTGATCACCCAGACCACCCGACGAGGAGGCTTTGCCAGGCCAAGAGTAGTCCGAATTGAGTTGAGCGAGCGAAGAAGAAGACCTTCGAGGACTCGCTCACCGCGGATTGCACTAAATCGACAACTGCCAGGCCCAAGGGGCAACAGACAGCCAGCGCTACCCCCACCCACCGTTCCCAATCTCGTCCCCTAGAGAAAACTGAAGAATCGTAGTCAGAGCTGGTAGCTCATCCAGGATGCCTGCAAAAATATTAATCTGAGACTCGTAGACGCGAAAGGTCCTCGTCGAGGTGACTCGATGTCTTCGGCCCGATCTGTGTTAACTACTAGTCAGATATGAAAGATGCGAGACGATCCCAGAATGAGCCGTCTCGACCGGATTCGTTCGGCTGTCCAGTAAGAGACGAGAGCGATTTCTGATGATGGGCCCTGCTCGAGTGTTTACAAGAGCAAACCCCTTGAGAGTTTATAGAGTCCGACCGATGGACAGGCCAGGAGAGAAGCTCCTGAGGGGATTGAAAGACTCGGACCTTAACCCAGTCGCAAAGTAGGTGATACAAGGACGACCACAGCATGTGTGGGACCTGAAAGTATGAACGACGAGCCGCGGTCTTCGGTCTGGCAAGAGGATGCTGACTCGCCAAGTGGTATGGGCGATCAGGATGGTCGAAGATGGCTGAGGGAAAGAGAGAAGGAAAATCCCCGGGAGAGGGAAAAGCCTTTCATAGGCCAGGGGGGGGGACTTGGAGATTGGGGTGGAGTTGTGGTTGGTTTAGGGTTCAACCGACTTCGCACGAAGTGTTGCTTCGCAGTCCCGGCCAGTCCCGGTCCCCGGTGACATGCTCGGGGAAACTCATTTGGCCGCAAATCTCCTCCACCATCACCCTGCTGCTTGGCCACATTGTAGAATCTTGGATTTCTCGACGTTTGGAGGGAGACAGATCAAGGATCGGCCAAGCAGGTTTAGCACAGCCAAAAACACAAACTTACATCATCAACAAGTGATTCAGAAAGGTGGCAAAACAGATCAGAAGTGGCCTCATTTCAAGATGGAACAACTTGAGAGATCTGATCATTGAATCTCAGTCATTCTGATAAAAACAAGAGGAGGCCGTCTTTTTAGAATTATGTATGCTGTTGGCTGTATGAGCCAGGCATCTGGGGTGCAGACAATCAAATCTAATCTAATCTAAGAGAAAGCTGAGCGGGATAACATGTAGTAAAAAAACACGTTGATCTAGGCTGCTATTTATGTAGTTTTATATTATCTTTCTTTTCTTTTCTTTTGTTTTGTTTTTTTTTTTACTTGGAAATTGATGGGTTGTTGTTGTGAAATAATAATCCAAAAATGTGACCACACCGGATGTGAACACACTCGAATAATTGTAATATGTCTCTCTGAGACAATCGTCAGGTGAATTTGTATATTAATGTAAATATCAGGATGAAGATGAAAGTCTCGCAGTCTATATGTAAAAATATTTAAATCTCTCAAAGAAAACAAAAAAAAATAGCTAGTCATTTTTCTCCATTCGTAACTGGACGCCGAGGGTGGGCAAGGGCAGGGTGCAAGTATCATCAGAATCGAGCCACCTGGATAGCTCCTGTTTGCGATCGGGAGGGGTAGATAAACAAGAGGCTAGGGGTGAGTATAACATCCTGAGCTTCTGAAATTCAGTGTCCCAAATCAGGCCTACCGATGGCCCCAATCGGTCCCTGTTGAGGATCGTTCTGCGAACATCGGCTTCAGCCAATCGTTGGCGATCCATCAGTCGATTCCATCTCTCCCGCACCCATTCAGCATCATCATCATCATCGTCGTCGTCGTCGTCATCGTCATATTCCACACCTTCATCTCTGCTTGGGGGTACAGTGAGAGTGGTGTTCCTTCGTCGCGATTTAGGGACCCCCTTCAATCGTAAAGCCCTCTGTGTGCGATAGAAAAAAAAAAAAAAAAGGGAAGACAAAAAACCCCGTCAGGAAGACATCACCCCGGCTGCGCTTCATGGGCATCATAGGGGAGCTTACTCTGGCCGGACGGGCAATGGAGAAAGAGGGCTTAGACCTCTTGGTCCTCGCAGAGCTCTGATCAGCAAGATCATTGAAATATGAGTCAAGATCGAGTGGCTTGGTGGTCTGTCGATCCATGCTCTCCTTCTTGAATCCATCCTCCTGATGACCAGAGTCGACCAGGCTTTTAGGATCAGAATGGAGCGCGTGTTGAGGTTCCAAGGGTGAAGAGGAAGAGGAGTAGGAAGAAAAAGAAGAAGAAGTGGAGGGCGACATTTTTCGGGGTTTCAAGTCCTAGTCTATAACCAAATGTAATGTAATATTTGATTCTGTTTTGTCGCAGTTGAAGTGGAGAAGACTAGTGCCAATGAGCAGATTGCAAGACCGTTTGGTGGGGGAGATTTTAAAGGCTGCTATCGATGGAGATGAAGGTGTCCTTATATCTTGGGGGGACTGTGGTCGGGTTGGGCAAGCGAGATCAGGAGTGCAAGTGAAGATCTCTCTGATGAGATAACGTTGGATGGCAGGACTCAGCAGAGTGGAGCAGAAGAATTATCTGTATGGATTTACATGAATCCCGGTATGCAAGTATGTACTTAGTCGATGTCAGACAATCAACAACCACGATCTGAAGTTTGAGGGAGAGGAGTGTATTAACTGAGCTTGCCTCTTCTCTCGATGAACACTTGCCCCAGCGATTCCTCAAGCCAGTCAGGCTGTACTAGACTCTAGTAGGAGAAGGTGATGTTGATACCTCGGCAGTAGACAGCCCTTTAGAGATAAGCTGCTTGGAGATAAGAAACACGTTAAAGTTATTCGAGCCTGTTAGGAATCAGTCGATACACAATTGTTTTTTTTATTTAAGTCTTCCAGAACACCAAACTCTGACTATTGATCCTGGTGAAGCGAACGATAGGCTATATCAATGCCAGGTAAATATGTAGAGGTTTATCTCAGAATCCCCCCCCCAAAAAAAAGAAAAAAACTTCCTTCTGTAGTCCGTCCGGCTGCGATCGACCCTTGGAAATCGACTAGATACCGATATGTATGGGCAGGCTCAAGCACTTGCAGATCGGAGAGGCTCGGCGCGCACAGGCTCGGCACAGCAAAACAAGCTGTTGATGACGTGCCTCCTCCTGCCCAGCTGGAAAATTCGAGCTGACTGGAACTGGAACTTGCCACTTCACCACTATTTACAATCAAAATTGGAAGCTGGAGCTGATACATACTCCAACAAACTGAGACCCAGCCACGCCAGGAACCCACAGCTCACCCCGCAGTCTGACAATTCTTCAGTTGGCAACTTTCCTATCACACAGACTTCTCTCTCCGAGGGGAGCAGGCACCCAGCCTATATAAACCGATCCATAAAACCTGTTGCAAAAATATACATCGGCGGGCTGAGGGCTCTGCGTAAGATAAACTTGCTGCGTATAAGCTGCATTCGTAATCCGAAATCCTTCTCTAGAACTTAAATTGACAACTCTGTCTGTATCAGAAAGCAGACCATGAAGCAATGTCACGCATATTTTGCGTATCGTAGATAACCCAAATCTCTAAAAGCTATGGAGAGGTGAATGATGACTTTGTCAATACATATACTGAGATGGGCAGTTTGAACTACAGACTCACTACAAAGTTTATCACAAAAAGGATGATCCAAATCAAAACCTCATACCCACCCCTTCTCCAAATCCTTACAACAATAAACATCATGAGGGCAGTGATAGTTTCTGGAAACTGATTTCATAATCAAGGGGAAAAAATCAGTTGAAAAAAAATGATGCTTTGTTCCTTCATGGGTATGTGATCACAGTATATGTTTGCACTCAAATCAAGAAAGCAAAATCTTGAAGAACATAATTTTTTCTAATGAAAATGGTTGAGGAGTATTGTTTGGAACAATTGTTTACCATACATCCAATCATTGACCATCAACTGGACAGAATGAAGACAACAGGCAGTGAAGTTAGGATTGTTAGAGGACCCAGGTCAGCGCTTCCAGAGGTGCCCAAGGTACAGATGAACCAAAAGACAGTTTGGCTTTCAACCAAACATGTAATTGAAATTATTCTGACATGGGGTTGTGTACATGCCAAAAGGTGCATCCAGTACATGTTGGTTGAAAACCAAACTGTCTTTCTGTCCATCTGTGTCTAGGTTAGGCACCTCTGGAAGCGCTTGCCTGGGTCTTATTCTTAAGGATTAGATGTCAGGCTGTGGCAATGTGCCTCAGTGTGTGAAATATTCTGTGATCTAATTGATATTGTGATCATGTTTCAATTCAACTGGGATCCAAAGAGCTGACAATCCAAAACAAAAATCCTGGAGCATTCCCACCAAAAAAAATTGATTAGTTTCCAAAGTTGATTCTTTTCAAAATAAAGTAGTTGGAATAATTAATCAACCACTGTTTAGTTGAAAAAGATCTAGATGCACAATTTCAATTCTGAACTTTCTGTAAGCTGAATAGATTCCATAAATAGTGTATTATGTAGTATAGTGAAATTTCTGCCCACTCAGGCCCCCAAAAAACTGCTTGTTACACTTGATTTTGGTGCTGTAGTGCAGTAGACACTCACCAAGAATTTGTGAACACTACACAAACACTACACATTTTGGGCACAAAAAGAGCACTACTATGCCAGTGTTTTTGGGAAAAAAAGGAAGTGTAGTGTACTTGTAGCATCCCAGTGCTGTTAATGCTTTTGGAGTTTCAAATCTACCATAAACAGAGATAGCCCTGCATATTTTTAGTTGAGAATCTGGTGCAAAAATGTGCAAGAAGTCATTTGGCAGAATGTCAAGGCTTGTGTTGAACAGTAAGGCAGAGACTGAAAATATTATTTTGAACTTCAGTCTCTGATCAACACTGAAGCTGAACTGATTCCCCACTCTGAAACAGCTCAGAAGTGATATCAAGCATGGTAGACTTATTTTTAGGCTTCTGAACATTGTCAATTGAGGATCTTTTAATCCAGTATGGCTAGTCAAAGATTTTCTGAATCTTAATAATCATATACATGCCCAGTGCTATGACATCAAATATGGATTCCTAAGGAAGATCTAACCCCAGGCCTCCCTGAGAGCTTTTTTGTAGCTCTACTTCTTCCTTGACTGTTTTAACTCATAGACCTGACGTGATAACTAATTATAGTCATAGTTTAAAAAAATAAATTGCAATCATAGGTGGTCTTCTGTGGTTGGGTGATGGGCAGTATACATCCTAATGAATTATTCTGGCAATTTGCGGGCTGGCTCTTGCTTGGCTCCATCACTGCAGAGCCACTGATCCAGGTGAACACTGAATAGACATGAAGCAGGGGTTTGAAGGGTGAAGAGGGCGGAGGTCTCTGTCTGTTGAGTCTGATTCCAGTTTATTTTTCTTGGGATCAAAGAAATAAAAACAAGAAAGATAAAAACAAGGCTTCTGGGATTACGTCATCAGGCGGCAACAAACAAGCCTTAGGCTGACTGAATGGAAATTTTGCCAGTCACAGACAAGTCCTGTTTTTCTTTCTTTCTGATTTTTTTGTTTTTATTGCTTTGTGCTCCCCTAAACTTATCTCTTATATTCTAGTCCAGGACGAACACTATGGCGGACCATTCGGCCTCCGCTTGCTACAAATCTTCGTAGCTCGCTGTTCTGCAGTCCAATACTAATAATCCGACAATTACCACCTCATACATTTGGCAGGGGGGGTATTGATTCCTCATGTTACTGGAACCAAATTTGCTGCATGCAGACGGGGGCAGGTTGGGGCTAATTGAGAAGTTGGTGGAAAAGATGCCCTGGATGTCGAGTCAGCAGAGTTCACAGGAGAACTGATTGGTTGGAAAGACTTGATGTTGGTACCGCCAATTTTATATAAGCATGTCCATTTCTTCCCCGACTTTGTGGAACAAATGTTAGAGCTCCGAGTTGCAATGCCATTGCACAAGTCTGAGAACTCTAGCTTGTACAGCGGGACCAAAAATTGCTTCATGACCAATCTTGTTGTTGTCAAAATCCAGACAGGAAGCGTACAAGGAAAGGAGGTCATCTTGTGATAGGTTATATTTCGACGAGCCGGGGATTTGCAAGCGAGTCTCTTGCTATTGCTAGAGCAAACAGTTGATGCCCAAATCTCAAGAACAAATGCAACCGCCGGGTGTATGTTGCTCAGATGTCTGATTCCATCCGTGTAGATAAATAGCTTATCACAATGTGTTCATAACCTGAAAGGCTTGTCCCGCCGTCCGGCCGCCAGCTGATTTCAGTATTAGACAAGTCTTTCTGTTTTCATCAGTCGCCTTGGGAGTGTGCCCTAGCGTGCCTTGTGTTCATCATCTTTCCATCCTGCGATTATCATTGCTTCAGAGTAGTCCGATTTGAAACATATCGGTCCATGCTCAAGTCCAATCCTTTTTCTGAGCTTGTCTCAAGGGTATTTATCAGCATCACTCTTCACTCTAACTACATCTTTATTATCTCCCCGCGATTTTATCGATCTTCCCTATCTCGTGTCTCACCCTGGGGGTATAATGCACTTGTCCTGTAAAATATTTTCATAATCACTCAGCCCTAGAGGCCCCATCGGTGTGACGTTCACTATTTCTTGCTCACCTTATCGCTTACTCACCAAAGAAGACAGAGAACCGTTCCAGATTCTGCACCAATCACAAACAATACTTCATGGATCATTCTTCTCCACTACACGCTGGCCATCGGCAAAACCATCCTATCATCCGATCGGCCCGCCACCACGCGTTAAGACAGCTCGTGTCGCGTCCAGAAATTCAATTAGGCCCGATTGACACCAGCCATGCAAATACCAACACCGTCGCAACTCCAATTCCCGTTAAGCCGGTAACAAATGTGATCACCGCCGGAGAAACTCATACAACCCCTTCCCCAGCGGCACCCGCACCCTTACCCGTCACCCCACCAACCAACACTGTATCTGTATCGCCCCATCTCGTAACACCCACGCCCGTGGTTCGAATTGCGAATGTACCGCAGGCCACTGCGACTTCAGCAATCCCTTCCAAGACCAGCCTTCCCCTTTCACCCTGTTCTGCAGGAGTACCGTGCGCATCCATGATCGCAAAATCTGCGGCTGTGGTTTCACCGGTGCCTCAGCAGACTCAAGGTACACCACAATTCTTTGCAAGTATGAGCTCCAGTCCCGGCGCGATCTTCGTCACATGTTTGGTTGGCATTGCTATTGTTGGGGTAATGCTTTCGATTCTAAGTTGCGCACTGAGAAGCTGGTGTAACAGACGACGCAGGAGCAATATCGATGAAGATGCTTGGCGGTTCCTGGAGGTAAGTCGCGCATCATACCTTCTCCTCTTTTTTCGCAAACGTCTGACCGACTCGCATCGTCTCTGCAGAACTCCAAGGACTTCTCCGATCCTACACACGAAGAGGAAGATGCTCACTCGGCCAAAAAATCGTACTTTGGAACCGACTCCCAGTCCAGTCTGGCCCATCTACAGCCCACGCTCGCAAAGAACTACGTTGCCTCGCATCCGTTCACATCCCACATACAACAACAAACTCAGCAGGCAACGGCCCAATATCATTATACAGGCTTTCCAGCACAGTCGGCTTCGGCTGTAAATGGCTTTATCGACGAACAGCCTATGAGTGGTTATATAGACGAAAAGGGCGTGTGCTGGGTTGCTCCTCCTGCTCCTGTCTCATCTCAATGTAATGGGATTTTGATGACACCATGTGGGCCTCCTCAGGAGCGAATGGAAAGCTATCAGGGAGGGTGCACTATACCCGAATTAGTTTTTCGGAAAACTTCACTTGGTGGAAATTTTTGCAATCGGGCAACCATGTACGCGTCTCCGACCCAAGCGCCCGTTCCGATGCTCACACGCCCGGCCTCGGTCATCACCCGCACCAGTACCATAAGCTCCAACCAACACAACAGACTTCATTCATTGACACGTGAGGCCAGCCTCGCGTGCTCTGTGCAATCCACGACCGTTGAAGAGCTTCGGGAGCGAGTTACGGAGCAGCGAACCGATCTACGTGCCACCCTCAGAGGTGCTATCCAAAAGGACAAGAAGGCTGATAACGATTTATTAGAATCATTGATACTTTTATGGCACGATAAGAACACAGAAGCCCAGAAAGAACCAATTCGCCTTCAAACTCCGCAGCTCCCTCCGAAAGACCACGTCTAGCGATGAAGGAAGAATGAACAGAAGACCTGCCCCAGATTCCATTCCAGCCAACCAAACTTGCTTCGCGATCACAAGAGCGCGTTAGGGCAGATGTCGAAGACGAACAAACATTTTAAGCGGCTCTCTGACTCACCAATTACTATACGTTTAAATCTTATCAAGAGTAACCACTCCCCCCCCCTCCACCGACTAGTCAGTGTAATCAAAACACGACTTTCTGCTTAATGACATGGCTGAATCCAATCGATCTGCTAAAAATCATCTCTGCACAGTGCATCTAATTTATATTTTCGTTATACTCCTAATTTTACATTTATGCTCAGGAAGCCGTTTAATCATGTACTTAATTTAGTTCTGTTGTACTGTAGTATATATGCAAAAATTGGCATGAATTTCTTTTTCGATCATGTGGGGGTCAGTGACTAATCTGCACCATCAACGGATTACAACACTATCCACAATAGTGCTCCGCTTGCGTCGGTCCATCTTCCGCAGAAGGGAGGCTGAGACAAAGCCACCGGTGCACAAAGCCTCCCTGTTGGCTCGGCTTCAAAAGGCTGGAGTTGACTGCGCTGCAGAGAGCAGCAGCCAGTCAAGAACTGTGACCAGGCTGTTCTTGACTGCTCAATTAAGCCTCTGCAGAGGAAAGAAACTCAAGGAGCCCATTCCATTTCAGGAGAGAGACTTTAGGTGTCTGTAAACACACACAACCAACGTACAAGATCTTGAGATAGTTGTATCCTTTGAAACCTGAAGTCACTGCCAATATGGGATTAATGTACCAATACCACCTGTATTGGTATTATTATCTTTTGGTGATTGACATTATTGCTACTTGGAGTTTCTTTACCACTACACTATCTCAAAATTGGGTGTTCATTTTTTCTTGGAAACATTACACTACATGAGGTTCAGGAACATTTTTTTTGTGCTGTCATGGTAGTCTGAAAATTACTACTTGTAATGTAAAGATGAAATTGTTGAAATTTAGGACTCAAGCGCATAAGAAGGTTGAGGGCCAAAAATGGGAAGAACCCTTTTTGGGGAAAGGCTTGCGGAAAATGAGTGTAAGAACCAATGTTTTTTATTCACTGTAGGTAGGCTAGCTTGAGTAGACTAAATACAAGTGATTAAAATGTGGTTTGAGAAAGAAAGAATAAAAAAGTATTTTGAATAAAAATTGAGAGAAGACAAAACAAGGTCTTGGAAGTAACAAACTATACAAAACTTCTCATTCTCTTTTAGCAATGTCAGATGAGTTAGTCAAGAAAAAATGTTTTGAATCACAAATAACAAGAGGTGTTAATTCTTGTTAACCAATTTTTAAAGAATCATATAGTGAACTAGCAAAAGAAAGAAGTCAATTACAATATCTAGAGTTGTTGATAAAATTGCAGAAGTGAGTTCTAATTAGACTACAAATTGCATAAGATTTCAACATAAAACTAGCTGGAGTTGACTGTAGTTCAGTCTGGATCAAGATGGTTCAAGCAACAATAGGGGGTATCAAATATAGGAAATCCACCATCAGAAACCAGTCACTTTTCCAAATAAAAAAATGCATAAATTGGCCACAAAAGGGGTTAAATGGATAACCAACATGTTTAAAAAAGGGTGGATTTTTTCAAACCATTCAATTAAATAATGGTGGATTTGGTTATATTTGATACCCCCTAATAAAGAGAGAGAAAATAGGGGAAGGAGGAAGAGATTTCGGGGAGGAGTAGCCAGAGAGGTGAAAACTCAACAGAAATAGAGGAAATAAATAAAAATTTGGTTTTTGAAAATGAAGGTATTACACCATGGCTGTTGGAATGTCACTTGCTAGCAAGTGAAATCAAGGAGGCTTTGGAGGAGCTTTCGCTGAGGATTTGGTGAACCTTGCCTTTGTAAGTGGCCAAACCACCCTACCACCCCTTTGTCTACTAATGCAATATGCATGTGTGTTAGATAAGCTTAAAGGGAAGCCTGAACCAAGTTACACATGTAGCCTCCCAATGTCACTTGTTAGCAAGTGACACAATTTTTTGAGGTGTTATTGTTAATCCCCCATCTGCCTTCCCAGATGCAAGAAATCTCCCTAAAAGTGGTATGTCTGTATTAAGCCATACAAGGCTACTAAAAAATCACATTTCAGATAGCAGGACGCTGCTCCAATTACATCTGAAGCTGCTGAGAATTGTCAGCCACAGAGTACATGTCACAGTACCTTTCATGTTACTTATCCATAATGTTGATTACCTTTACCTCTTGTTATCTTATCATTATTATTAACTTATCTTATTTATCTTATATTTATCTTATCTGTTAATTACTTATCTATTAAATAAATACCTGTGTCCTACATAAGTAATTATCACTTACCTTTCACTCCTTTGTCTGTGAAATACCTGTACCACAAGTTATCCCTCTTCTACAGTATTTTCACGGTCAAATATTATTACAAATAAATATGTACATGTATTAAATAGTAAGTATTAAGTGTCAATAGAATTAATACATTCAATACATGCACTGATCACAATTATGACTACATTATTAGAGGATCTGTTAAATACACGCATCAAGAGCCACTAGTACATTGATCAACTAGTACACAATTATGATGTCACTTACAGATCATGACAAATAATGATCAGTCACTCAATTGATGTGCTCATTCTCCTGGCCAAAGCTCCCTTGATTCTGAGTGCTCATCCTTTCCCTCCTTCAATATTCTGGAACTTATAATCTGTGCCTCTTTCACTGATTAATCCCCAGAATATTCAGACACCAGTTAAACCAGTTAACATTTATATTGATAAAGTACACGTAACCAACATAAATCTAGTCTACATTTATTATTCTTAAGCTTCAGTGCTCTTACTCAACTTATCCACAGTATTCATAGCCTTGCTGAATATTCCCATTAACAATACCTGTTAATCTTCAACTAATTTTGTTAAAGCTTAATAAGTATTGTTAGCCCATTCCCTTTTGGGGAATAACCAAATCAATCCCAGGTGAGTCTTAGTACCCTGGATGCCTATTAATACCTTGTATTGATCCGGATGCGCTGTTGATAGCAAGCCTCTCAGTAAAGACCATACTGATAGAGTGAAACCTCCTCTTTACAGGACTGGTATTAATCACCCACTACCTAATACTCACCACGCTCAAAAACTTCAGTCAACTCATAGTAACAACCTTTTTACTATTAAATACTCAGGTTAGTTACCCAGAGGCTGACAAGAATAATCACAGAATCACATGAGATTCCCGGAGCTCCCACTCCAGACATGTGTTGGCCATTATGGCCAAGTTGGACGACTTCCTGTTGCCATTTAGAGTTCTTTTTAAGCCCTCCCAAGTGGAAGATTAATACCCCAATCATAATTCAAATCATGTCACATGAGCCTTATTTCTACAAGGCTTGTGAAAAACATTTTGGCCACAAATTAAGATCTAGGGGGTTTAAGTTTGGATTCTGGGAGGGTTCTAGATTGAAAAGGGAAGTCATCCATCCAGGAGGTTTTTTTGTTTGGTCTAATATAATATCTTGTGAAGAACCAAAATTGTGCTTCAATGTGGCAAATGTAAATAGCATCATAGGAAGAACAGAACTCAGTTTTCCTTCCACTCCATAATTTGGTATCTTTTATTCCATATCTCCCTTCTTGAAGTATAAGTGTGAAGATGAAGCAAATTGGACCAGAATTTAGACAACAGCAAGAGGTTTAAGGAGGAGGAAATAATGCAGCAAACTTGGTCTTTCTCCAGCTTAGGTTTCACACCACTTTTTTTGTAGTTATGTTTATGTCCAATCGTATGTTTCTCTTGAACCTTTCCTCACCCATAGTTATGTCCATACCCTGGCAAGCCCACCAATAGGGGGGAGGGGTTCAAAAAGGTATGCTAAGTTGGTAAAAGTTTCAAAAAATATACTTTTGAAGAAGCTGTAAAAAGACATGAATCTGCACTTTGGGCCAAAAAGTTACTCTTGAAATTACACCTTGTAGGTATGTGAAACCGGGCAAAACCAGTAAAATATGGGATTTTGCCACCTAACCCGGTGATTTTAGCCCAAGCATGCTCTTGAAGATGGTAAAAATTTCCAGGAAAAGAGGTATGAATCTTGCTGAAACCCAATATTTTTCAGCACTCTCCTATTGGGGGGCTTGCTGGGGTCCTCCTATACCACCCAAATCTGTTATTTGTTTCATATTGACTTCTTTGCTTTTATCTCCTTTGATCTCATCACATCACTTAGTTCTGGTTTTTCATGATGAGTTTGCCTTCAAGTAGGATTCAATTACATTCTCCTGGTGTGTTTGTTGTTGTTTCATCCACAAGTCCAGGCAGTCCAGGAGGTAAGTGTTGGATTTATGGTCCAAACTCCATTATTGGCTCCTTTGAATCAAGTTTCACTCATCTCACAGAGTAATTGATCTCCCCTTTCAATCTCCAAGTTTCAGCAGTTCTACTTAATGATCTCCTATTGGGGGGATGGGGAGGGGTTAACCTAAGGACATCATCAGTGGAGCGATGGGGGGGGGGGTTGTACAGGGCCCTTGTCAGTAAAAAAACATACACCATCATTAAATATATGTGTTAACATTTTTGCCTTCACTGCCACCATAATTGGATGGGTTGAAGGTATCTCAGTGCAACAGGGATAAATTCAACTCAGAAAAGTATGCTGCTAGTGCTTCTTTCCTTCTTTTCAATTATCTTCTAATTCATTGATTATCAAATATAAGATTCAAAATCAATAAACAGGAATGCTCAAATTTTCCTCAAGAATCACATCTTAAATTCACCGTTTTGTACTGAATATCTAACTGAATCAGCCATAAAACCAGTAGATTGAATTTCAAAACTCACATCTTGTACCAATTCACTCTCTCATCATTATCTCTGCTCTTTTTACCTATTTATTCTCTGTCGCATCCCAATCACACTGTTGTGTGTTTTCCCTCAAACCTGGTAGGCCTTCGAAACCCCTTCTAATCCACTTCTTCTCTTACCCATTCTTTTTTTTTTGTTACATCTGAATCCTTTTCATTCAGGTGATGAATTGATTCTCAGCATTATTAAAACAATTCAAATTTCATGAAGAAGAGGGAATGATTCTTCTATCAAGGCCAAATTGGAATTAGTAGCTTTTCTTGGTAACTAGGTAATGGCAGCCATTTTTTTTTCTTTGTTGATAGAAGGAGATATCAGCATTAAAAAAGCAGCATCAGAAATCAGACTGAGAAACAGTGGCTGTGGTCAATTTTGTGAATCAGGTAACCACTTCATAATCCACATTTCTTTGAGCTTGATTGACTGGGGGGGGAATGAAACTCCCTCCCTGTGATTTTGGAAAATGGTGTCTGCAGTACAGACATTCATGCAATTGTTTGTTTCAGTCGACCCACTCTGTACATGTCACATACATATCCAGTGATTGTGATGTAGGGTTCATTGGACTGTCACAGTCGCGGCCTCAGTCTGTCACATTATGTGACAGGTCTGTGCCACCTTGTACTAGTGAAATCTCAGCACCTGCGCCCAATCCGGCAGAACTACGGACCAACGAACGTGCTCATCTCAATCCAAGCACAAGACTGACTCACATTCTTCAAGCAAGCCTCCCTCCACCTGGCAGTTCCAATACCCAGTCACCTCAACATGGAAACGCGTCCACCCCCAACAGCCCCACCGCCCTACATCCGAGCGGTCAACCGGTGAGATCCAATTTGTTTTTCTGCCCTATTTCGATCACTGGACATTCGACCGAGAGCAAACCACACATAGCCTCATCAATCAAACTACCAGCTGGCTCTCTCTCTGGTTATTGTCATCAATCGTGGTGCTCCACCCATGCTGCCAAACTGTTCCAAGCCGATTGTAACTGTGGAGCTCTAGATGCCGGACGCTCTTTCTGCCAGTTGATTTCATCGACCCAGCTCAGAATTCGGCCAGATCCGTTTTGCCGAGTCATGTTATGTGCAACTATCATGGGATGACCCGTTTCGCTTGACTTCCTTCCATTCAAGCTGCGATTTCTTGGCATGAAAATTGCTCGTGGCTTGATTCGCCCCCCGCAGACGGGACCACACGATGGAGAACCTGTCGCATGCCGGCATATCCTCACTCAAATATTAACCTTTAACCCCACACCCCCTCACAGTCACCACCGACCATTAAATCTACTGCGGTTGCATGGCTTGTATCCTGCGTAAACCAGACCCCCAACCAATCAGAAGACGTGCATTTGAGTTGCTCAGCTTCACCCTGCTGGGCTCGTTGAACATTGTTTGACATCGTCCCGGAAGCCTTTGGACTGTCTGGCTTGGGGCGGCTGTGACAAAGTCCCATGAAACAACTACTGTACAAAGATTATACAACTTTCGATACTTTTCAAACTCCTTCTCTATATTTATTCTTCCATCAAAACGGAAAACTATGAGACTTGAGTGAGACTCCCAGGAGTCTGATTACGATGATGCATACTGTTTGATGATATCCCTCCAGGTGGAATTCCGGAGGTTTTCCCTGGTCACAACCAGGCATCACTTCGTCAAACACCATCGAGCTTGTTGCACTTCCTTCACAATCTGAAATCTTGACGTCTAAAGTGTTAAACCTCGATCTGTTGTTGGAGTGCATGATGAACCGTGCCAGCAAGTATCAGGCTACAAGCGGTATCTTCTGGTATTAGGTCCACCTGGATATTCTTCAGTTGACCATTACTTGCCATGAATCTCGTCAGATGGCTTATCGCAAAGATGCCCCATTCGCATACATGTCACTAATTATCGCAGCAAACCTTTTTTTTTTTTTATACCTTGAGTTCGTTACTTGGTTTCGCTTCTTCCCTCTCCTCGTCGATCTCTCTGCTTTCGATGGCTGGAGTCAAGGAATATAGGCCTTGTGACACGTTTAGCAAACTACTCCGAACTGAAGTGGCAACTGAAGTGGCTACTGCCTCAGTCTGTATTCGAATTGAAACCTTCCCGGAATCAGCTGAAAAAGAGACCCGGTCTCACGGAGCGGTTGTCTTCATTGCGCGGCCGCCTACAGCCCCGGTCTTGCTCCACCCTCCAACGTTGAATCGGACCAAAAGCTGGGGTGTCGTCTCTTCGGAGTAACTCTAACGTGCCGATCCATCTGTTTGAAGTTGGGGAATTATAATTCATGTGATACAACTTCAACCATCATCTGGTACCTTACGTATCGGAAAACATTCGTCTTGAAATCAGTCTCGCATTGCATGGACGATTGACAGAGGTCGGCTCAACGAACTCACTGCGGCACTTGGATCTTGTCACTCTGGAGCCATCAGCGCTCATTGTACTCGAAGTGGCATAGCGTCCTAATTCCCTTATATCTCCACGCCTAGTTGCACTCGTAATACACCCCCTGGGTCATTTCTCTACCCGAAGGGCTCGTCCCAGCAAGTCCTAACAACTAACATAACCTAGCTGTCATTATTTTGCCTCCTTTAACTCTGTATGAAATTTGCTGTTGATTGCTTCGAGTCCTCGAGTTTCGCATTTTCCCCTTGGTCTTTTTTCAAATAAAGAGTTCATCACTCTGGCAGCATTTCTATTTGTCTCGCTGCCTGGTTTTTCAAGTCCCGCAACTTTTAATCCTCGCCTGTGTTGTTGATAAGGTACTTACTGAAATTGTTGCATTATCGCTTATCATGTTCAACGCTTCCACCACCTGGTCTTCGATGCTCCCCAGCGCTTATCCTAAGCCACTCCGGCCGGTCGTTCTCCTCACCACCATGGTCTCCCTCAGTTGAGTTATAAACCTTGGCTTGGCTCGGATGAGTGCATGCATACTTGCCCCGCCATTCTTCCCATTTGTCTGAATGTCCCACAACTCGAAGCTTACTTTCCATCAATCGATTTGCATTACCACATTAAATAGTATGGGCGCTGGTTTTGGCAGTCAAGTTTGTTGAAGATCGGACAGATGACTCAGAAACCAAGCGGATGAAAGTATTTGATAACAGTTGAGTGTCTACTTGACTTCGCATTCGCCTCCAAGTCCACGCCTTGGCGTTTACCCCCGACCCCTCTTGGTGGACAATCAGTATGCTAATTGTCGTTTTTTGTATTTCAGTTTTGTCTATCTTCTTTTTCGTTGTTGCTGCATTGGAAGTGTTCGGAATCGTAGCTGTAATGTCACAAAAGGTACGAGGGCTATGTGTGGTCTAGCCACCAACCTAGTTCATGCTATTGGAATTTCGTTGGTCTCATTGTCGTTTCTCTTTTCGACTGACACAACCCAAATAGATTCTGCTTGCGCGGCTGTACTTTTTCGTGTCCGGATTCGCAGCATTTCTGATATTTTCGGCCGAATTGATTCGTCTGATTGCTCACTTTGTCGTCAAGAGTGATTTAATCGACGACTGTCGATCTGCATTAACCGGGGCCAAGGCAGAAACGTTAAATGGAGCCATCGCTAGTATTGATGCCACCGAAGCTTCAAGACTATGCGAAGGCGATTGGCAAAGAGGGATCTGGTGGGACCTCGGTTGGCTGGTTTTGACCAGTTGTTTAGCCCTATTATTCACCGGAATAGTCGGTGCATATTGTGAGTGATGAGTTTTGTTGTTATCAGTCTGGGCACGAGCCAGACGAAGAAGACTTCCAGAAAATGAATGAACTCTAATTTCGTATCTACAGATCACCAACTACTAGATCCATCCTTCAGTAGGACGGCTGTCAATAATGAAGAAATGGTAGATCAACGATTCAATGGCAGAGCTCAAGATGGAACTAATGCATATCCGATGGAGCCCTATCAAAACATGGCCTACCAAGCACCCCAGCATCAAGATGTACCATTTGTACCACCGCAGTATAACATGCCACCAGAGTATCGACCGGCTTCCGGATTTCCCGGCGAACAAGGTAAACACGACACCAAAGAAGCACTCGAAAGAGTCAGTTTGTCTGATCCGCCCCCGAGATGATTCACGAATATTCCACCGCTCAATAGACTGTTCATATCGTCTCAACGAACATCTTTACCACTATTCAAATCATTTCCAGATGCTTCTTGACCTTGTGATTCTATCATTCTTTTGCTCTTATCGTTAATGTATTTTTTTCACTTCTTTTTTGTCCCTGCAAGTCTGAACCCCACGTTTGAAGAAAAAAAACAAGAAGCTACAGAGTCGAAAAACAGATGCTTCTGCACTTACCACACCGTCCAGCTCTTGCGTCTGTCTCTTCAGCTCTTGCTGCTCTGAAACTTGTACTATATCTTTATCACACTCGCTGTGTTGTTTTTTGTGAAGAATAAAGATGGCACTTGAGTAGCGACATTACCATCATATGGAAGAACGGTTTCTCACCATCGAGAATCTCTTGGATCCGATTGTGATTCTATTTCTGGCAGTTTTGATACAGTAATGCAATCATAGGTCTATGCTCATAAACCATTTGACCGTGTCTTAATTCATCACTTGGAAACTGGACTTTCTGAGCCTTGAAGGCCGATCAGAAAGAGTGATGTGAGAACTTGCCTGTTCTAGGAACACCCACAAGTTGTTTATGGCCAAATGATGGAAATCTGTTAATTTGATGAAAAATAACTTGGGTTTTTTTACATGAACACCACAATTTCTTTGTTTAACCAGGCTCTTGTGATTCCGGGACATCACCTTCCTCCGCAATGTTTATCCTAATCTACATAGAAATTTGAATCCTTGCCTCACTCGCCACTAACTTTGGATTGTTACATGGATTAGTTATATTGCCAAAATCCGGACTCATGAGCTGAGCAACGTATTGTGATATCATCATCAAGTAGGAAGTTGCACTTGGTGTACTTACAATGACTGACAATAACCCGCAACAAAAAGATGGCTCGGCCTACATAGGCACCGGAGACAGGTGCCGAACGTGTCGACAGAGCAGCCGGCGACACGCCGCTGACAGGCGGCCTCGGCGCCGACGCTGGCTCCTAGCCCGCCGCTTCAGCTTGCCCGGGTTATGGATCTACACACATTCGGTTCCGGTGATGTCAATTTACAAATTCGCCTCCCGAAACTTTCAATGGAAAAATATCATAGCCCCGGGCCCGGGCCAGACACGCGAGCGAAAGTGGAACGATTGAGCTAATAACGTTTTCAACTTTTCTCAAGTTGGTTCATGTTCTTTCACTTCAGAAAAGTGGTGACGCACATGACTCTTGGCTGCAACGCTTTTTCCCATAATGAAGATGAATTTCCGGCCCTGCATGGCTTGGGAAGAGCTGGGTTTAAAACTGTAAGTAAGTCAATGGCAATTGCAAATGATGACTGCTCACAAACACGTAATGTGAGAATCAGAAAAACGATTGTCACCTTTCACACACACCTGGCTCAAGGGCCAACCGCGTCGAATACATCATCGAGGTTCACTAGCCCTCACTGTCCAGTGTCAACCCCTCGTCTGTTTAATTAGTTTATGGAGGAAGGATGGAGAGCAGTGGAAAGCTATGAGAAGTCTCTGCAGGCAAGAGAACAGAATGATGAAATGATCTCAGGCAGTCAGGCAGCCGGGTTGAACCTTGATGGGGTATAAAAAGGCATCATCACATCCCGCCGCTGCCTTGTCTTCATCCCCCCCAACCGCATCCGATACCAATCAGTGGCACATTTATCACCCTCCCTAGCAAAATCCAATCCAACTTTCAAGATGCAACACCAAATCATCATCCTGCTGCTGGTCAGTCTTGCCGCGTTCAGTCAGTCGGCAAACCCACAAGTCCCTCAAGTGAAACTTCCAGACAGTTTCACTTGCAAAGCCGCTATCAAGGGGAAGGAGACCTCTCACACATTCCAAGCGAAAGAATGCACGAAGTGAGACTTTCATAGACAATTGCATACCTTACAACTTCCTCTTTTTTGTCCACTGTTACTCAATACTCAACTTTCTTGTTTAGGGCGATCGATCTTCTCGCAAAGGGTAAAGCTCCCTCTGCAGCGTGTGGCCAGTGTCTTGTGAGTCAAGATCAGCGTGAGCTCTCTAAACCCTCGGCCAATTCTTGCTAATTGTATCCGCGTATATCCAGCTTGGTCTCGTGGGCGAAGATGGCAATGCCTTCACACCTACCCAGTGAGTGATTGAGGTCTCCTCCTAACTTACCGGATCCTCGTCCTAACTCTCGCTCTGTTGCAGTGCACTGGACTCCAACGCTATCCTGACCAGCGTTAAAAACATCGCCGACGGCTGCAACAACTCTGCCCAATCGAAGCCTCACAACCAGAAGCGGGACAACAAGCCATCGGGCAATGACAGCAAATCATCAGGCAGCGCACCGCCGAAAATCCAGGTCGTCTTGGGACTACCGAAGGAAAAAGCGCAATGCTAGGCTTTTCAAATCTTGTACCATTGTCCAAGTTGTTACACCATCATTCCTTTTGTTTCTCTTTGTTTCGCATTCTCCTCAGTCTTTTGTTTGATTGCGGATCCAGCTTTCTTTGTTGTCCACCTTTTCTCATCCGGTTAAACCAACTCGCCTCAACTGCATGTCGGAGCGTGATCCACTTCAGAGCGCAGCCAAACAAAGCAACTTTTTGTCTTCATCGGTCAGATCAACAATGGTGTGTTCATCACCACTTGAAGGCTTTCAATAGTCACACTTCAAGCTCGAACTTGTCCTTTTCACGGCAAATCATGAGAGATTAATCTACTGCTAGCTTCATGAGTTCTCATCCTACCCTATCATCTTCTATGCGATGTTCGGATTTGATCCTGAGTATTTGGTATCACTTAATTTTTTTGATCTTGTTGCCGTGAGCATGAACCCTTCGACATAGATGGATGATGCGCCCGGTTTTCAAGACAGATCTAATCATTGAAAGTCAGCGGGCATCCTGGTGTTGACCGTTAGCTTCGCATACTCTGTGACTGGGTCTTATGATCATCTCATTGGTCGTTTCAAGTCCCTCTCGGGCGATAGATCCTCAAATCAAATAGCTCAAAATCCCTCTCTTCTGTTTGTTTGCCCTGTAGGCTCGTTCAACAATCAATATTGAGGTTTAGTCTGAGCCATGTCACCAGTGGCGTCTTATCGGTTGTCCTGCTGTTCTTTTGGACTACATGACCCGGGCCACATCCGTCGAGGCTTTCATGTTACTCGGCACTTGCAACAAAATTGTGCCAGTCTGTCTATGCTTTTCCATACAACAGTGACATCCAGACAGGACAGCAAGATAGAAAGCGTCGAGTGTGCAACGTCTTTCTTATTCAAATGGCACTGCCAGGGATGGCAGACTTGCAAGGGAATAGTGAAATAAATAACACAGAAAATGACAATTAGGCACATAGATTATATGTGATAGAAAGTAGAAGGCCGAGGGTCAACAACTCTTTCCAAGATGAAAGTGAGATGTAAAAAAAAGAAGACTCGGGAGATGTGAAAGTTAAGGCTTAGAAAGCCTTCAGGGCCGGTTTAAAATACTTTAGCACGGCAGTGAAACGAAAAAAGAAGTGAGTAATGTCAGGAGCCTTCAGAAAGAACCAGGATGGATGGTTGAATGTCAAATTTCCACATTATTATTGTTCAATGTTTGCTGTGTGTTTTGTTTGGAAAATTGAACATGCCCGATTGCCTAACACACGATGAGATGAAGTAGTGAACATGACATTTTTTTTTGAGGAAAAAAAAGTGATGAAGAAGAGAACGCACCAGACCCCTAGTGGTGGTTGAAATTCTAGGAGAGAGCACTTTAAAAATGTCTTCTTGGCCTCTTGTGGAGGAAGAGACGTTTAGTTTTAGGCAGGGATCTTCGCTCGACCCCGGCAGGGGACGAGGGGATATCAGCAGTCAAGGCGTTGTAATTGGGATCATGGGGCGGCGGAGAGCTTGACATTACGTTGGGGTTGTTTCCTGGGCTAGCGGGTGCGACGGCCGGCGGCTCCGGGGGCGGTGCTCCAGAGTTGTAGATTCTGAACGCGTCGGGGTTGGGGCCATCGGTCAATTGGCTCGATTGAGGCGCTCCCGGCTGGTTCACGGCCGGCTGGGGTGGCTCTGGTTGGACGACGGCTGCCGTTATGGGAGGACTGGCTGCTGGCGGAGGCGGGGCTACCGTCGTGTTGATGGGAGCAGGAGGATCGGCGACTGGGGGAGTGTTGGTTTGGTTGACTGGTTTGGGCTCGTGGGGTGGAGGAAGAGGTGCCGAGTTGGACTGATTTTTGGCGGCCGTGTTATTCGCGCCAGTCTTATGACCTTCTTTCTCACCTTCCGCCGTGTGGTTAGCATGGGTTGAGTTTGAGGGGTGCGAGGGCTTGGCCCGCTTAGCTGCCTCACCCAATTTGAGTGCGGCACACGAGCCAAAACCAAGTTGATTACGGCATCTTACAATGCAGGTATCCTTGCCTTTTCCACCAGTGCAAGTGGCATTTCTGTTGGCGCGTACATTTTTGAGGGGAAAAGTATAAGGGTTCCAGTTAGTGATGACTCAACCTGGATCGTTCGTAATTGGGACACTTACGGGAAAAAGGCGGCGGTTAACGGATAAACGTAATTTTCGGCTGCTGGGTTAACACCGTCGACACCTTCGATTTGAACAGTGATGTTCATGGGTTCGAATTTGGACAGTGAGGCGTCCGGGGAGTAGTCGCATTTGAATGGTCCAGAGCCGTCAGGGTTGTGGACAAAGACACCCATGACAATGGAGCCATCCTTATGGACTGTGGAAACGCCGTTGGCCTCGGCTGTTAGAATAGGATGCAGATGGTCAGTATCAGGGTGGCAAGATAGCAATCAAGAAGGTATGGGCTCTCTCTTATTCCGAGACTCACCTCGGGCTAATTCAGCATGGGGATCAATCACGAACGGCGGAAAGTTGTCGCCGCCAAAAATCTTACCACATGGGCCTACGGTTCCAGCCTTGATTTCCTTGTCGGTGATGATACCGGTGTATTGGTGGACTTGACCCCGTGTGGTAAGCCGAGTACCAAAGCCGGAAGATTGCACTCCGTTTGCACCATCGAGTGCGATGATAAACGAATGCGAAAGAACCTGCGGAAGAAAGACGGAAAAGACGGGCAATATTGAGAGCGGTTTGACCATCTCGATTTTTTTTTGAAACTGTTGATGAAAATTGGGATTGGGGGTGTAGTTGGGTTGGGTTGGGTGAAGTCTAAAGGTTTGTTCCAGACTGTGAGTTTGGAGGGATGGAAGGATGGGCGGCTCTTGGTTGAGCTGTCTTTATCCCGAGGGAAGAGTGCTTTTCTAGATGCCCTGCTTTCCTGAGATGACTGATATCTGGAGCTTGCCACCCGATAGTCAATGGGGTACATTCATGCTTTTGGTACTACGACAAAGGGTGTGGAAACATGATAACCTCAATTGATCAGGAAAGTACTCGGAAATGCCAGCAGCAGACTGAGAAACTAAGCTCGCCTTATCCAGGCTTCAAGCGCCTCCGTCCTGCAGGGGCGCTGAGCCTGATTGCCTGAGCAATATGGCAGAACATGGCATGTAGACAACCACTTTGCACTATCCACGAGTAAGGTTTGCGTCGTTGCCCGGGTCGAAGCATCAAAGCAAGCCCAAAGGGCTCCCGATGCCCGGCGGTATGTGAGAGGTGTCGGCGCCCTGACTGAGCTTTTCAAGCTCCGGTACATTCTTTCGGATAGCACACACCCAACTTAGGGTGAAAAGGCGAGAGGGCGAAAAGCACCGAGGGTATTTAAAATATCCGCGGTCGCCGACATTTCGATAAAAGCGCGTGCGCATTCATGCCCTAACATTGATCAGTGCCTTCCTTACCGGAGAAAGCCTCAGCCAAGGAATTAGGGGGACCTCAGTTTGGCATTGACTGCCACAGCGGGGACGGGGCAGCATGATGTTTTCGATAGCCCCCTTGGGCGCCGCCGATGCTGTGTAGGCCGACTCAGCTCATCTCCGCATCCGGCTCCTCCAACAGAGACACTACCCGGGCCGGCGGCGCTGGAGTTGATTGAGCTTCAGCCTTCAACACAATTGACAATGTTTTTCCGGCCGGCCTCCGGAGCCTTATCGTTGTGCTTGATTCGGCTCACAGCACTCTGTGTTTTGGATATTGCCAGAGTACATAGCTGGGACTGGCACCACCTCTGCCCCATGCCCTCCTTCGACTCATGACCGCCCTCACACAATATCTTCCTCCTGGCCATTCTCTCCCAATTTCATTCAACTCTTGACTTGGCTAGTAAATTTTTAATAAAGGCAGACCAATCAGACACACACATAATACTTGAGAAAAGTTGCAAAATTTTAAAACACTCAAGGGTGATGAGTCACTCCAACAACTCATCTGATCAAGCTCACCATCTCAATCGACAAAGCCCTCCTACCAACCCATCATCATCATCATCATCAGCTCAGACTCATGAGACTCATGCTCAAGACTGGAGCAAGAACAGTCATAATAAGAGTAGCAACCAGGAGAACAACCCATTGGCATCACCATCACAGCCGCCACCCATCAAGCCAAAGAAGAAACTAGGCCGTCACCTTCCTACCTGTTCTGGTTGTCGGTCAGTCCAACTATTCTTTGCATTATTATTATTATTATGCGACTGACATCTATGTATCTGCGTATTATAACAGCAAGCGACGGACCTGGTGCGACAGAGTGAGTCGTCAAACCCTCACACACACACACAGAGAGAGAGAAAGATCTGGAGACCTATAAACATTCTTCATTTCGCAGGGTAGACCGTGTTCTGAATGTGACAAGCGCAACATGGCTTGCGATTATTCGGCAACAGTCCACTAGTAAGCTCGCCCGTCTCATCTTCTCTCGCCTTGACTTTTTCCAGGATGCGGCCATATATGTTGTATCCATGGACTGATCCGCTCAACTTCAAACCATCACCAAATCAGTACCTCGATCGCCGAACAAGTCGACCGTGATGAATATATCGAACGACTCGAGGCGGAGGCACGTCTCCGCGCCTTCGAAGGGCCCACTACTCTCAAGTAACAGCAGTACTGGCTCTCTTTAAGCCCGGCTTGCTCATCTTGGCCTCGTGTCTTTGTTTTATCATTCCTTCCATCATGTATCCTATCCTACAAGCTGAAAACTGTTCTTGATATTAATTGTACCCCCAAAAAAAACACGAGTCAACATGTACTACAGAATACGTAAAAATTGAGCAACCCCCATCTATTGAAAATGTACTCTACCACAAGAAAGTAAAAGCTTCGACAATTGATTTGTCTTGTCTTACAAAACAAAAATAAAGCGAGCATGGTGTTCATACAAGGATGAAATATTGAATACAAAAGATGTTAAGAATACAAGAATACGAGTGAATTTGATACACAGGTACTTGTACAAAGATTCCGTCGAGCTGCACGTAATAAGTGTGAAAAATACATTAAGTGAAAACGACAAGGTTCTGGATGGATTGTCAGAGACGGATGTGCTAGTTGATTTGGGCACTGCTTGTCTCACTCCCTCTGATTTTGAAAAAAAAAAAAAAAAAAAAAAAAAAATCCTAAGGGATCCCATGGACCCAATACTTTCGATACAAGACGACCATCAAACAGATCGAGGTCAATTCGAACAGACCAGAGATTTCGTAGATCTTGCCGATCGAATTCGAGTCATTCGGCTCGAACAGAACCCCGAAAAGGAAGGTGAATAGGAAGCTTCCCGTAGCAAAAACTATTTAAAAAAAAAATCAAATATTGGGATCAAATCGTAAAGGGTAGCGTTGTCAGAGGAAAATTCAGCGAGTCTTTTTCGATGCAGTGTTTATGCAAGAAACTGTGTAATAGGGAAGAACTGACAGTAAGATATGACGCCGTAATTTCTTCCAAAAAACTTGATTGGCCATACCGTGGCCACCAAGCTTGGACTATTGTTTTTATTTATATATTGAAAGGTTCAATGTAAGCACAAAGAAAGCAATCAATAGACAAGACTGCATGGGTTTGGTACTGACGCTAAGGTGCAAACGACTCCGTAGCAACTCCCGGTGACAGCGCTTAAAACCCACACGATACCGCCATTGATGGCGACTGAGAAACAGGCGATTGCATAGAAGAAACAAGCATAACCCCAAATGACCAATCGTGACCCCCAACTGGCATGGCAGAATCGATCGGATAACCATCCAGAGAGAAGACGGGAGAAGGTATTGGTGATGCTGATCAGCTGGACCTGTCTGGCTTTGAAGGCCGTCCCCAGGCCAGGATTCTTGGCATCTGCAACTGCTCCAATCGAGGCGATCGTCATTTCCGCAGGTCCCACCGAAAGCAACGCGGCCATCCCTAAGAACCAGACCGTTGGACTAGCCAAGAACCTGAGGATCCCTTCGGGGTCTCGTTCGGCTCTGGCTGCCGGTTTCGGGTGCAAGGAATGATTGGGGAGAGCTGGGGAGGTTTGAAGTAAAGGTGCCCGCTCGTCGTGGTCATACGAGCTGAGAACATTTGTCAATTCATCCTTGCGTGGGAGGCCGATCGAACCAACCAGGTTAACGATCAATGTCAAGATTGCCAGGAAAGCCAGGTAGCCAGAACTATTGAATGATCCATCGGGGCTTGAGAAACATTTGACGCCTAGGAAGCTTAACAGGAGTGGGCTTAATCCAAACATCGACGATGGCCCAGCGACTGAGAGTCCAGGTTTCCTTTCTCCGAATATTCTAGTCGAGGCAGTGATTGCAGAAAAATACCTAGTTAGATCACACACGAATTGAGGGATCAGCCTATGTTTGATGATCGCTACGTGATAGACAGATCAGACTGACGAGGCTGCTGTGGCAGCCCCACAGACGGAATATGCTGTTGTGACCTGAATCCAAGTCCCGAAACCAGCAGATGGGCTGGAGTAATTCTGATACTGGAATGCATTAGTCGAATGAGGTTCTTCTACTGTGGATCTGAGGAGTAAGTAGGATAATGTGCTGTAGCCGAAAAAGAATAAGATCCCTGCGACCAGCGAGACTCTACATGATCAAACCACGTTCAAGTTAATTATTAGCATCGACCAAAACTCATTTTACAATTATCAAATCTTTACGCCTCAAGCGATAAATTCACCTGGCCGATCCAAGCGTGTCAGCTAAAGAGCCCCAAAGACCAGCAGATAGGTATTGGGTCAAGATAGCGATTGAAGCTGTACCTGAAGCCTGAAAAAGAGATTGTCTTTGTTCAGTTCTAGTCAAATGGATTATCATTTTCAAATACCATGTAAGATTTTCTTGGGGACGGACCTGTTTGATCGAGAAGTTGAGTTGAGATTGGAGGGAGGATGAGAAGATGGGGTAGGTGAACAGGGAGCCTGCAGTCAATCTGAATCACTTGTGGAGATTACAGAAGTAGAATGGCCATTAATGTAAGGCGATAGGAAGTCAGAATCTGGATTTTCTTTTTGATGCAGAGTGGATGTAGATGAGAGGATACTGACGAATTGGCGAGGATGGAGAGGACTGAGAAGGACTGTCGGAAACCTTGGGCGTAGGCCATCGAGGAGAGTACATATGTAAGTGGGAAGGAAGTTGTTGGGTGGTGTTTTCTTTTTTGGTGATGGGCAAACCCCTGGGCAATCAAGAATACCCGAGCCTACCCCGGGGGAGACTCAACTGCGGTTTCTGGTTAACCACCACCCAACTTCTGGCGTTGGCAACCACCTCTCTTAAAAGGGACGGTTGAAGATACCACATGCCAGGTTGCCCCAGCAAACTTCTGCTTATTTTTTGTTCAATCCTCTCTGGATCTGGATGGCCTGGGACTGACTTCCATGAGCTTGGTGTCTTTGTGGTTGGCTTGAGGAGTCCTCCACAACAGCTGGTAATTGACACACAACTTGATTGGTGGACTTTGTTCAAATGGTTAACGACAATTCTTACACTCTAACATTAATGATATAAAGAAAACAGCAGAGCCTGAGGCGATACAAAAAAACTTAGAACTAGACTCAGATTTTTAAGAATCCTCGTCACTGTCATCAATGAACAGTTTCCTGGATTTGATGGGTTTCCTTTTGACGCCAGAGATCCCGTCATCTTCATTCTCTCCTTCACCTTGTCCATCGATCATCCCCGCATTCCTCTTGAGGCCATTGACTTCACTGGAGCGATTAAGAGACTGCAATCTATCAGGCTCTGCATCCGATTCATTGTCGGTTAGTGTAACAAACTAAGAAGAGAAAGTCAGTTGAATCAGTATATAAAATCAAAAAAGAAAGAAAGAGAAACAAAACAAAAAAACTCACTGTGGTTGAACGCTGCCCGGTGATTTTGGGTGGTTTCTTGGACTTCCGAGGTGCTTTCTTAGCAGCTTGTTGCTTGTCACTATCCGTCGATTCATCCAGAGCCAATTCCGCCGGCGTCAACTCGGGCAACTTGGCGCGTCGTTTGCGTTTCTTCTTTGTGAGCTCGGCCGGGGATTTCCCGTCGTGGTCAAGTGGATTGATCAAGAAGTGGTCAATCACTTTGATATCTAGGTCAAGTTCACTATGGGTACGGCCCTTTGGAATCGTCCATCCGAGGTGACCCGGGTATTCTGAATAAGAATCACAGCGTGATGTTAGTATCGAGGAGCATGCTCGGTGTGTTAAAAGTACCTCCAAAAGCATTGACTGAATACCTTCTTCGCTCTCCCAAGACAGCAAACGTAACAACATATGCAACTCGGCATCCCGAGCCAAGGCGGTCTTAAATTCGTTGTCCTCACCTGCTTCAGCTCCTGGAGGCAACAACCAGCAGAACGGTTCATGTCCATCGATTATTTACTCAATGGCTACTGAGAAAAACAAAGCATTTCCATAACTCACGGTGGTCTTCGAACTTGCCCATGCTGGTGTCTGAGGGTTGCTTGAGCTGAGCTCTAAGCTCCTCGCTTGGATCCTTTCCTGAATGTTGGAGCCAGCTCTCCAAATCAACTTGCGGGTCATCGTCATCCGGTTCATCATTCATCAAGACAATTGCCGTCCGCGAGGCCGACGCAGTTCGGAGGATATCCTGTACTTTATTGACCAGGTCTGATTTCGATTTATCGACCAGGAGACCGACAGCGACGCCTAAGCGTTGAGACCAACTCAACCCGGGTCTAACTTCGATTTCAACAGGAAGTTTGGGAACCTATGCAATTGGCACGAGACAGTGAGTTATGTAGATCTTACTTTCTAAATTTTGTTTCAGAGGATCATGTTGGTGAATGCTTGAAAACGGAAGGGGGCATACTTTGCGGCTTGTCGAAGCTTTCGACGGCATACCGTCTGAATCTTCACTACTGCTATCAAACGTCCGATTCCAGTCTCTCATGCCGTGATTGCAGAGTGCTTCTATGATTATGAACGGTGATTCACCCACAGACTTGAAATACTGTTTCAGGATATAGTCGATGAACCTAAACAAATCAGTATAAACTGGATGCTTGGGCATCGACGATTTTTCCTCGATCATCGTGTTGAAAGTATCTAATACAGATACCTACACCAACTCCCGGTCTGCATTAGCCCTAATACTTATCGGTAGAAGAATACAAAAAAGAGACATAAATTTCATTCACTCTGTAGAACAGTTGGGGAGCGCTGGCGCCCACAGCTTGGCGGTACATCAATTTGACGACTCTTTTCATCAACTCGGGGTCTGTGAAATCTCGATAACCTCGAAGATAGGTGATTAAAGTACTGGCTACTGCTTCATGGGCAAAGCGCTAAGATTAGAGATTCCGATAGAGTGACAAAGGGAAAGAAAAGAAGAATTATGAGACCGATCCGTCGAGGGAGATGGGAAGCAAACATGACTCACCTGTTGGAATTTCCCAAATTCAAACTTGTGCTCAGCGAATTCAACGCCACTCCGTTCGGCCTCAAGAAACGCTTCTTCTTCATCCTCCACTGGATTTCTAGTCTCGCCTTCATCCGCGCCTCCATCTACTTGGTCGGCGGATTCAAGCCCAGTTTGTTTCTGCTTCGATTTTCTCGCCTTCTTCTTCTTCCGCACGTACATGTAATCTGTACTTCCTGCATATCGTTCAAGAATCTTCAGAAACACAAACGAGAAGTGGACGATATTTTCAAGATATTTGAGTGATTGATTGGTGTATTTCGACATCAACTTGATCACCATATCCAAGGTATCCGCATCGTAATACAATCTATTGAGCATCACATTGGCCACCTGAGTGTAATCTTCTACACCCGAAGTAGTTAAACCTTCGATGACTAGCAACTAAAAAAAAGTATGGCAAGATTCACATGAGTTTTGAGCCGTCTCCGAAAGAAGAAAGAGACTGATCAGAGAGTGGGGGAGCTTTACTTGTTGGATAAGACACTCTACTGCAGCATGAATCTCAACGATCGGCATTGGCTTATCCTCTAGTCCTGATTGGATCTTACCGAAAACCCAAAGCATACACTCGGGTTCCATCAGATCAGCTACCAAGTCGAAATCATGACCTGTCTCGCTCGTTGGTAGAATTCCCACCGATTTCTCTCTTTCCCTCAACTTCAAAAAACAATCCAAGAAAAATCCCAAGAGATATAAAAGCCGGATAGCGTCCGTTGCCTTGGCTTTCTCTCTTTGGATATCTTTCAAAATTGATAGAAAGAATGCTACCAAAAATGAGAAAACAAATGCATGGGTTCCAAATGATGTGTTAGGATTCATGTTGCTGTTTTTTTTTTTCTTTCTTTTTAAAAAAGTCCTACTGACGATTGAAACCTGATTCGATGAATTCGATCGCCACGCCTCTTAGGATCTTCATGGCATCTGATTTGAGGACCGTTGGTCTTCCAAACTCATCCGCCACACGATTGGGTTTCTTTTTTTGGTTTTTACGAGCATCGAGTGCAAGTTCAACTGGAGTGGTAATAGCAGTCTGGCTGTGTAAATTGAATTTTCTTTGGCCCTGAGTTTGTGTTATTATTTAAAAAAAAAGACTTAGCCTGACATTCAAAAGGTCAGTTGGTTAGGAAGGAAAAAGAGGCTAACAGTCGTAACGCTAAGTGTGGTTCCAAAGCGAGAATGTCGAGTGGTACTCTTCCTAGCTTTTGCCTTTCGAGCCTGTTCTTCATCCAAGAGCAAACTTTCGAGTTTCTTATCCGACGCTTTGACGGTAGAAATCGTTTCGCCAGTGTCATTGGTACCCACACAGGTTTCAGCATCGATCAGATCTTCAGCATCAACCCCTCGGAAAAGATGATCCCAGATATTGAGTACAATCATATTCCATTGTCCAAACTCATCAAATCGGTTCGACCCATGGCTCATGTGGATCAATAAATCAAAGATTCCGAATTTCGATAGTTGTTGAATGAAATCTGATTGGAGATGCGATTCTTCAATCCCAGGACCTGAGGCCGGTTTATCGCGAAGGGCCAGCAAGTTCCGAATAATATGTAGAACAAGTGAGATCACATTCTCATCTTTTTCTGTCCGTTCACTAGACTCACAGAAATTCTCAATCAATCCCATGTTGATTGATATGATCACTCAGCTAGGTCTGCAGCTTGACAGGACTTACTTTTTAGGTTTTTGGATCACTGGGACGATTAACCTGAAGATAGGGCCCATGGCACCGGTTCGAACAATGTCACGCTTGTAGGATAGCTGGCCATCGACCAAACTCGAGAAATCGATATTCGTGGCTTGTCTACGCTCTTCCTCATCCTCGATGTCGCAAGCTTCCTTCAACTCTTTAGCAACATCGACCGGCCAAGTCAGAGCTGCTATTAGATCGGCTGGAAAATACGCGGAATAACAAAGGGAAAACCCCCAATCAGGCTTGTTGAGTAAAATGATTCGGAAAATAAGATAAACACACTTACCACATAGTAGAGCAACCCGATGATCTTTCTTGTTTTCGATCTGAGTAGATAACAAGATAGGGAGAAGATCGTTTGGTACTATTTGACTAGAGTATAAGATCCTAGCCACCGTGCGGTTTTCGTCTTCTTCGTCCAACCTCCAAAACTTCTTCAAGTCCTTCAAACAACCTAAACATTCGTCTCCCAACTTATAGACTCGTTCAGTCCGAAAACTACCTGGAGTTGGTTTTTTTTCTTGGCCTTCAATTTCAATCTCATCATCATCATCATCATCTTCTTGGTCTTGATATTGATCTTCATTCTTGTTTTCGACTAGCACATCTTCATATCCACCCAATGCCGAAACGACCCCCAAGACGGCTGGCTCTAATACGAGCCTTCGTTCTTGACGTTTTGTCTCTAGTTCCGCGTTTTTCAATTTGATTGCAGCCGATCGTTTGACAACCATCGTGCGATCGCGGTCCGACTGTCTGCAGAGTTTCTTGATCGATTCGATGAGTTGAAGCACGCTGGACGGCGTGGTATCGTGAGAGCTACTGGTGGTGGTGGTGGTGTTGGTGTTGGGTGTGGGCTGTGGTGTGTATTTCTTGTGCGCGCCAGACGCGTCTCAGTCTACCCGCGTCTCGTTAAGCTTATGTAAGCCAGCACTAACAAACCTGGAGCACTTTTTGTCACCAATTCCCCAGAAACTGACAGCAGCCTTCCTCCAGCACATCTGCTTGCTTGATTGACTACATAACATTTTGACCACAAATTTATTTGCACCAATCTGCTCCAACATCAGCCATTGTTAAAGGCAAGGTTATTTATACTACAGTTATCTACCAGGTTGACTCCAATCATCCTTCCTTTATATACACCATGGGGCGGGTTTTTAGAAAACCCCCCAGCAAACCGATGGTTTCCGTCCCGAGCGCCGCAACTTGGTTGCGAAGCATCCAACGGACGCTTGGTCGGCCCGGGCATCGTTTGGACGCTTCAGAAAGCGTCCAAGGGATGCTCGGCAGGTGAGACCATCCAGAGGATGGCATACAGCCCACCGTCCATCGGACACTTGATTGAGAGTGTCCGATGGACAACAGGAAAACCATCAGTTGGACACTTCTCAGAGTGTCCATTTGATGGTTTTCACGTGGGTCCACAGTTGAAAAAAAATTGGTCGATGGTCGAAAAATAGGTTTGGAGGGTGGTCAATGGTCGAAAAACCATCCAAAAATGCAATTTGGGGGATATGAATAACGTTCGTGTGAAAAGGGCATGAAGCCACATAGTGTACACCACGCGCAGGCAGGTGATGTTTTCTGCGGAGCTGCGGCGTGTGGTTTTCCCAAAGGCTCACGCGACCTGTGAAAGCCTTGCCTGAAACATCAGGTGATGTTTCCCATCTGCCATGCATGTCACTATGCATATGTACACCTGTCATAGGTAAGTACATAGCAGGCTAGACATACAGAATCCTGTATGTCAATACATATTTACGCAACCCAACTCTGTGGAAACTACATAAATATTTACACAGCTGCAACTTCATCACTCGCCCCACACCCTTGAATTCCGATCCCGACTCCCCAGTTATCCGGCTTTTCTGTGTAAGTCCAGCGACCTGTCTCTCCAAGCTACAGCAAGATGAATTGCTAATGATTTTTGATTTTTCAAACAGGTTCAATCTTTGCGTTATGGATTCTCCATCAAGAAGAGAGCTTTGTACATGTCCCAAATGCCGAGAAAATATCTTTATCAAGAATGGTCTCACCCGACAAGGACTCTATGTACATCCTAGAACTCGACAGAAGCACTGGCATGATACTGGAAAAGACAATGGAAAACAACTAGCGGAATCAATGGTCAAGCTCGCCCTCGATGAATTTCCATCCCTTCTCAGCGACAAAAAACCAGCCCAACCAATCCCTGAAGTCGACGCTAGTAAGAGAGACTCGCGTGGTTCAGACGACCACGAATACCAACCAATTGGAATCTCCCATTGTGAGTATGAGTTTCAACTTCACTGCCTGGCTTACCAAGCTCATTAACGTGTACACTTCTAGATTATGTCCTATACTTTATCGCATGGCTCTATTTGTTCTGCGGGATCAGTCAAGACAAGTGTCGCGAGGCAGTTGACTATATCTTATATCTCATCAAACATTGTCGCCAGCTTCCCCCCGATGCCGATATCGAAACAAAGATCCCGAAGGATGTGCGCACCATAACAAAGCAATTGAAACTCACCCCTGAACTTGAAGAACACGTCTGCTGCCCCAAGTGTTACTCGCTGTACGACATTGAAACAGCACCATTCACATGTGGCTACCGCGCAACTCCCAAATCACTAGTATGCGGGGAGGAACTATTTGACACAAACAGAATCCCTTCGCTCAACCAAGTCTCGCGTGCTCCAAATCAACGGTTACCACCCTCAAAACTCCGACGTCAGCAGCTCCAACAGCTTCACCCAACAAACCCCTCAAGTATCTTTATCACTCAGGACTTGACCGACTGGTTGAAGTGGTTTCTGTCCTTACCTGAAGTCGAAGACTCTATTGAAGAATCTTCTGGGCCAGCGGATCCTCGTCCTGACGGCATCTCCGACTATCTTCAATCACGTGCATTCAATAAGCTCAATTCACAGGATGTCTACTCAACTAACCAGCCTCCACCTCTCAACCTAGTTTTCGCTCTGTTTGTCGATTGGTTCAACCCTCTTGGAAACAAACTTGCAGGGAAACAAGTCTCGCTCGGTGTTCTTGCTCTCACATGCCTAAACCTCCATCCGGAATTACGATACAAGCCACAATACACTTTCGTAGCTGGAATCATTCCTGCACCCAACCAACCCGACATGATAACAACCAACAATGTGTTACGACCACTAGTAGACGACTTCATCAAGCTGTATAAAAGTCAGAAAATCCAGACCCACCAGTTCCCACAAGGCCGAAGGATTACCGCTAAGCTGGGTGCCTTGCTTGGCGATGTCGTTGCCACCCACAAAGTCGCTGGATTCACCTCGCATTCTGGGAAACGTTTTTGCTCCTGGTGCAATGTTCTCAACACAGAGATTTCACAGATGAAAATTGGACAGCCTCGGACTCGATTGGCGACTTTAGCCGCCGCTCGGCGTTGGCTTGAAGCAAGTGCGACAGAACGAGAGGCTAAGGTCAAAGAAACGGGAGTACGATCTTCAGAACTAAACCGACTTCCTTACTGGGACCCGGTTAACCATGTGGTGCTGGGTATCATGCACAATTGGTTCGAGGGTGTTTTACAGCATCACTTTCGATTTCGGTGGGGATTAAATGGAAACCCCGATAAGAAAGACAGGGCTGCAGCCCACTCAGGAATAAGCAGAGCTGAATCTAGCAACTATGTCACCGAGGATGATCGCTCCAATGCCGAGGAAGAAGATGACGACGACAACGACGAGGTTGCAAGCTTGTTCTTAAGTGTGGCACAAAAAAAAAACTAGTCGAATCAGTCCTCGATGTTGTGGTTCCGACTGGCATTACTCAAATGCCTCGGGGGCTTGGGACAAAGAAGAATGGGAAGCTCAAAGCCAGTGAATGGAAAAGAAAACCAAACGACATAGTCGAGTACATCAGCAAAGACGGGGAGTTGGCTTATGGACAGGTGTGTGACATCATTCGTCCAACTGGAATTGGCCACAAACATTCAGATGTCATAAAGGTGATCCGGGGCAAGCAAGTTGCGCGAGGGGATGCCTTGCCAGTTTATTTAGAGAAGCTCAATGTGTTACAATTGCACTTTGGGACAATTGAATATATTCATCCCCCCCAGGTAGTTAGCCCGGTAGCCTATCGCCGCCTCCCAGCATGGTCCCTTGCAACCGTCAATCCCAGCTATCTCATCAGACCACTTGGTGGCCTTTCCTCAGCTCCATCTTCAACCAATGATCCAATGGAGCTAGACCCCTGATCTTTCTTCTTCACATATCTTTTTTCTCCTTTTCTTTCTTTTTTCGTGTAACCTCTTTTTCAATTATTTGTACTTTTTTACATACTCATTGTCATATTCTGAATTGTCTTTGACTTGATTCTTCACTTATTCAACTCATTTGTCCATTTCACTTATATGCCGCTTTTTTACTAGGAAATTCTACCTACAATTTGACTTGCCAGCTCATCATGGTACAGGTTACATGCCTCATCCAAGTCAGGGTGGCTAGGCTATTTCTCTGCCCATTGTAACTCCGAGTCAGGGCCGCTAGGCCATCATGTTAATTATTACATGTTCAATTTGCATTGCACGTTGGGAGAGGGTAAACGAGTGAGTATAATTTGCATTGCACTTTGGGAGAGGGTAAACGAGTGACCAGGTGTTAAGAAAAATCAAAAAAGGAAACCAAGTGAACGAGCGACAATGATGTTTAAAGATCAAGAAAAGACTATGAAACTATTCGCGGAGCAGGATAAAGGATTAAAAGAGTGACAATGATACGTGAAAGGAATCAAGAAACATACAAGCTGTACTGAATCAAAGAGATAAAGAGCGAAACTGAACGAGTGACAGGGATCAGTTCAAGAGATGGAGAAAAAAATCAACCGAGCAACCTTCACTGCCATGCGTTCCATTCCTCATCATTTAGCCCCCCCGAATAAGACCCCTTCCCGTAGTGTTCCATCTTCATGTCGGCCTCTGGGTCATCAAACTCCTCAAAGTTTTCATCGGCTTCTCCTCTCATGTTGACATCATCATCTGCGTCCTCTTCCTCCTCTTCCTCCTCCTCCTCTTCCTCGTCATCATCTTCCCCATCGGTTTTCTCCAAATCAATGCTCTCGCCATAATCACTGTCCCCGTCTTCATCGTCGGAGTCGGAGTCTTGTTCTTTGGGAGTCAGGAAGTCCATGTTGTACGGCTTTGTGGCGTCGTCCCATCGTTCTTCAGCAAATCTCTTGTTTGAGAGCTTTTCAATTGGGTCTTTGAATCTAAGAGAGTCGTTGGGGTTTGAGAGGAAAGCCACTGCGTCGATGTTGGCCAGGTTTTGGCGCTGTGCAGGGAGTTTCTCGTTGAACCACTCTGCGTCGTAGAAGTTGATCGGCAGTCCTTTGGGTGCTTTGGGAAAAACAGTATTTGGGGCGTCTTTGACGCGGATTCGTCGTCTGCTTTGATCACGTCGACCTTCTTCAAGCGACGATTGTTTCATGACTTCATCGAGGCGGCGGAAAAATATATCGGCCGATCGGGATCGAAAGGGAAGCTTCTTGACGATGTACACGGATTTGGAAGGGTAAAACTCATCATCGCTGTGAGCCTGCACGCACTTGATAATCTCGAGGTATTGTTTAGGAAAGTTGTTATTGACTGCAAACTTGTAGCGTTTTTCCCTGAGCTGGAACCGAGGTTGTTTTATCAGCAACAGTTGTGAGGATTCAAATAAACTAAAAAAAACTTACCCTTTCTCGGGCGGTCTGGAGCACCTTCCTCTCCTCATCACAAAAATGCTTGCCTTGCTCTTTCTTCTCCTTGTCGAATATCTTTGCCAGCACATAGTGGACGTAGTGGTCGTAAGTTTGTTTCAAAAGATCGAAATTGTCGACGTAAGTTGCGTTTACGTTCATGTATTGGTAAGCCCCGCCTGCAACCATTTGTCGAAAGCTCCTGATGGCACAGATCTTGTGGGCCTCGTTGTACAAGGAGTCAGCTTGTCAGCCTATGTGATGCCAAGACACGTGTCCTCTAGCTACACAAGGTGCAAAAAGTAAGAGTTTTTATGGCAAAAACTCTGGGATAGAACTGGTACAGGTAATTCAAAAGAATTACGTGAAATTTATGGATTTAAATCAAAAAGTGGCCAATTTATATTAATAAAATTAATATAAATTAAACCAGAGGGGCCTGATAAATCAGGGGTGGTTTAATCCCTCTAAGGTATCGTGCAAAAAGCAGAGGATTTAGGTACCTGATACACTGGGGCCTGTAGCAGGTGTGGTTTAAATCCCAGGAGATAAATTTTAGGGGAAAATCTTCAAGAAAGGGTTATTACTTACTAGTAATAATCCAAAGGGGTCTTGAGGATCTTCTTAGTAGAAACTGGACAGTTGGGAGCGCTCAGAATGGTTGATTTTGGGTGCTGGGAGATAACTGGGGAGTTTCTTGAGGGTTCTTGAGGCTTAATAACAGCAATTATAGTAGTAACTAGGCTAATTACAAGTGTAGGGGACTTGTAAAGGGTAAGTAAATTTCTATAAGGTATTCTAAAGCTGGGGGATCATTATTTGGGCGGTCAGAAGGCCCTTTAAGTACCTGTGGAAGGCCTCAGGGGTTGCCCAGGGGAGCTTAGTAGGACTTGGGGGCGCTTTTTGGCCCATTTTGGCCCACATGGTGATGTAACCAGGGCTGGAACCTTGTGGATAATATTCCAGAAGCTCCAAGGGGCCATGCACGGAATTATTACAGCCAAGAATTTCCCATGGGGACCTGTGGATAGGGGCTACTCTGTTACGTGGAGCAGGTTCCTTGGAAATGGGCCACAGAATATTCCAGAGGTGTCTTCTGAGGCTTGCTACACGTGTTACCCATTGGAATATGGTTACTGTAGTATTTTCATGGATATTCTAGCTTGTTCACATTCTTATTACACGTGTGGAGGCTTTGTTGTCACGTGCAATGGGGATTCTGGGGCTTTTGTGGCCCAATCCTTGGATACTGGTGCGCAGCATGACTACGTGGCGCGTGGGCTTGGAGACAGGACTCCACACAGCTCTATCTTCTAAACCGTGCACAATACTCCAATTCTGAGACTGGATTTGGAGTATATGCATTATGCATTATGCAGAGGAGTCACAGTACCCGTGATATGGGGGTACCTGTTAATTATTCATGCATGTATTACAAGGTGAAGGAGTTATAATTTGGGGTACCTTTGGCTGAGGTACCCTAGGTTAAATTGTATGCTGATTCAGAATCTGCAATAATATTTAAGGTTTTGTTTATACTTTTTAAGTTATTAATTTATTTTTATGTATTTTTTATCTTATTTACATAAGTAATATTGCTTCTTTTACTTATGTAATATTTTTACTTTATACTTAGATTTTTTATGTAATTTATTATTTTATTTGCTATGACAGGTTGTCTCTGCCATAGTAGCAAGCTGACACAGCTTGCTCGTTGAGATTGGGGTTCCAAGCGAAGAGACCGAGTTGCGACAAGGAGGTATGAATGTACCGAATGTGGAAGTCGGATATATTCACAATATGCTTGCCAAGTTTCATGCGCTTCTCTCGAGCTTCTTTGAGGGTATTGATCATTTCGAGAGCTACCAGGTTTGGGCCTCCAGTGACGGCCGATTGAATTTGTTTGGTTGACGAGAATCTCTGGTAAAAGGTAGCCAACTGTTCCGGGGAAGGGGTGTTGGGGACGGCGTGTTTCTTGATCAAACCCCACAACACCTTGATGTGGACATAGAATGCCTCCTGAAATGCAAACGAATGGTCAGCTGTTGTTGCAGTTGTGTGAGGTAGAGCATGGAGGACATACCTTGGTGTGCTCAAAGCCTTCAGGATGGTCTTGCTTCACCATTTGAAGCGGACTTTTCTTCGATGCGGAGGCTGGGGTTGCCGATCGGGCGCGCTGCTTCACGGGAGTTTTGGTGGCGGAACCTAAGTTGGTCGGAGGTTTTGGAACTGCCTTGGAGGTTGGTGTTGGGGTTGTTGTTGCTTTCTTTTTTCCGGCCTTGTTGGACATTTTTTTCTTGCTGGTTTCTCCGCTACCACTTTGAGCCGCGCCTGCAGATGTTGACTTTTTTTTCGAGCCTTCTGGAGCCTTGCTAGCATTATTAAGTTCCATAGCACTAACTCGATTGAGAAGCTGAGTAATCAAGGCATCTCTTTGGGCGAGACCAGCTTGTAATTCGGCAATCATAGAGGCATCCATAATATTCTCAAAGTTAATGTAGATTATAAAATAACTGGGGAGTCACGCTCTGGGTTGATAGTAAATATAAGGTATGTAGCTAGGGATTCACGCTTTGGGTTGATAGTATGTAGTGACAAAGTTTGAAGCTTGAGTACTGGAGTGGTGGGGATGGCGGTTTGGATGAGGAGGAACACGGTGAACAACCCAGGTTTTATTTGTCCAAGCCGCCACCCAGATTTATGTCGCTGTGTCACTTGCAGACACCTAGGCATTGATGAGTCGAGTAGGCAAGATGATGACTCTCTGTGCTTATACATATTTGTATTTTTAAGCATAAATAAAATGTCGCTTATGTATGCATTTTAACGAGTGTGAGATGACTTGTGGCTGCCACTGTAAAGTAATGTATTGACATACAGGATTCTGTATGTCTAGCCTGCTATGTACTTACCTATGACAGGTGTACATATGCATAGTGACATGCATGGCAGATGGGAAACATCACCTGATGTTTCAGGCAAGGCTTTCACAGGTTGCGCGAGCCTTTGGGAAAACCACACGCCGCAGCTCCGCAGAAAACATCACCTGCCTGCGCGTGGTGGTAGTGGTTAGGCACTCCCTTCCTCCATGTGGCTGGTGTGATGTGGCATGGGAGGCAGGTTGCCAGTTCAATCCTGCCTATGAATCATTTTTTGTGCCCAGAGGCTTCCAAGCCTACCATCCGATGGATGGTTTGGCCCTACCATCCGGCTTCAGCAAAATGCAAAGCGCATCCGATGGATGCTCCTTGCAGGGCCAAGGCCGGATGGCATCTGGTACATCCGATTGGGTGTCCAAATGCCATCCACCACGCCCGGTGGTGTACTTGTTTTGTGTGGAGGAAGTAGGAATGGACAAGGGGAGCAACAGCAAGACACTCTTTGAAATGAGTTTCTCTGACAAATATTTGGTGGTCCAAGTGAGTGTATGCTATTCAAAATATACGAGCTGCTGGCCAACCTTACATTTTTTTCCTTCGTCCACCTCAAGTTTCTTATAGAAAGGAAAAATAATATCATGAAATATTTGCCCTTATAGTATACTGCTAATAAAATCATACATTATTATTGGGTAGGAGAAATTTGAAAATTATAAATTGCAGGGGTTGAGCCTTGTAAACCCAATGGACTGCAAAAATACAGGGCCTGCCACCACAAAGGAATTTTACAAGGCTTATGTTGCAAGGCTGGCCTCACAAATATTGCCTGGGTAAAATAACTCTGTCATGTGTCAGTACAATTTTTTCCATGGCTGTATTTACATTCTTTGCAACAGAACAGCTCAATAAAACAGTTCATCTGGGAGGAATAGAAAAGGACGGGTATCAGGTTAGAAGGGCTCACCCATGTATTTGGGGACCATGGCCAAAATGCATTCTCAAGTTGTGGGTGAAAATTTTCCATCCTATACGGCCCGCTTTTGATCCCCATCCCAAAAACCTTTGTCCAGTATCTCTGTCATCCAGATCATTACCCATTCACACAAATCACTCTCTCTCTATCCTAGTTCCTTGCCATGTACAGTGAATAATCCTGGAGGCTGGAGCAACTACAATCACCAGGCATGGGAAAAAATGAGGAGGAATCCATTGCCTCTGAGCCCCCCCCCCCCCCTACCAGCAAAGTTAGTAGTTCCCATTAGGATGTCCCAAGAAAAAGGGAAGCCCAAGGAACAATCTGTTGAAGCGGAAGACAAAGTCAGCATTGATCAACCCATAAAGAAGAAATTCTTCTTGCAAACAGGGAACAAACAAGGTGACTTCTATTGAACACAATAGTGCTTTAGACTCTGAAGGTTGTCCAATTCTACCAAATGGAAACACGGTATTTGTCAAACCAGCCAGATTCAAGATCTCCAAATGGGGTGAAGTTGGATTTACAAAAAAGGGTTGGCACCAAGTTCTGAACTTATGGCCTCTCTAAGTTGAGGCAAATTAGCTGCCTTGGAGTCCAAGTCCATTGTGACTTTGATGGATGTCAATGGGTGGGGTCATCTTGTACTGGAGTTCAGGTTATTTCTATTTGGTTGCAGAAGTGAGTCCCAGAGTCCTTGGGTAATAGTGACTTTTTGGATCAAACAGGCACACAAAATGCCAAGCTTGGGGTGTGAAGTGCCCTGGGAATGCACTACATGTCCCCTGCACAAATATCATCACCTGATTGGATACAAACACAGAGAATGGGTCTTCTATCCTCTGCCATCATGGCACCCATGCCATTTTGTCACAGAAATGGTTTCACACTCATTACACTTTTAGCAACTTGCAGTTTTTTTGAAGAAAAAAACCTAAATATTGGTAAGGAATGTGATACTTTTTGAAGATTATGGCATGTGTTGCTTCCAAAGCCCAAAAATAGAGGCTTTTTGAAGATTATGGCATGTGTTGCTACCAAAGCCCAAAAAGAGAGGCTTTTTGTCACTTAAAATGTGTTTAGAAAGAAAAACAACAACAACAACAACAGGGCTTCTGAAGAAGTTCAGATCCCTAGTTTTGTGATATGGATCAATTGTGGCTCTATGTTGATTGATTGTCTTTTCAGCAGCCAACAACAACAGAAGCCCAGCACAGGTCTAGTTCAGCAAAACAATTAAGCATGCAGTGAACATCTACATAAGTACATATACACACACATAATGTACTCATAACATATACATCAACCAGAACAACAACACTATGATCCAAAACAAAAAGAGAGAACTCAAACAAAACGAGAATGGTAATGAAAGAGACAGATAGATTGAGCATTGTCAGAGGGATAAAAGAGCAGGCCCAACAGTCTGGAGAGTGGTGGATGGGGAACAACGAGGTGGAGAACAACAGATAGATGAATCAAGACAGGCTTAACTGTCTTTCCAGTATAAACTATCAACACCTAAGAGGGGGGTAACACGGGAAAAGGGAGAGAGGTGGAAATGTGTGATCAGGCAATTGCAGATTGTACTTGCTGTTGGATCAGGATACGTTGGTGGAAGCTAAAAGAATGCGAAAGGGCTATACACAACCTTTAAAACACGAAAAGTTGGAGACCCAGGGTAGAACAAAGGTGGGGAGGGGGTGATAAAACTAGCATGTGGCTGAGAAGAATTATCCCCAATGAACGCAGGCAGACAGTTTTGTGAATAGATAAAAGCGGATCTCCCTTGAGTCCAAACAGGATATGATGAGGTTCGGGTAGATAAAATTGGAGAGCAAATTAACCCGCCCTGTTGAATTATCATAGCGAGGCTGTTCGTGCCCACATTCAATATGCGATTGATGATAATGAGGATGACTGTGTTGCTGATG